TGAAAGCCCTGTGCTATTGCAGATTCGGGCTCACCTTGCCTTTTTTGGGGGGGTTCTATTGAGCCATTTTGTTGTCCTGCGTTGTGGATGTGTTGGCTACCACGCTGCAGTATTCATACCCTAAAGCTGATGTTGAAAGCGATGCTGAAAGCTTACAATTGCTTTTTCTTATACCATCATTCAGGCTTTAATATACCGGCCAATGAATTAAAAAGGACTGATTTCTTTTTTTTTTTTTGGTATCTTTAGCTGTTTGATTCTACTGTTACAGGACAAGAACAGTATTTATCAAGAGCTTTTATTTACCACTTGTTATATTAACAGTTTTTCAGGCACTCATAATTATACTGTATATGTGTACATGGTATAATCAGCCTTTACAAACTCTCTTTTTATCTTAAGGTTTACAGAACCACCAGCACTTGGCATGGCACGAAGGGTTTGGTTTTTCAGTTTCTTGTGTATCATTGTATTCAGCACTGATAATTGTGCCTAAACACAGCAAGTGTGCATGCACTGCTGCTCCTCCCATGTTCTCTACTAGAAATATAGAAGAGAAATGTTGGGGCACAGGTGAAGATGCTTTGAATTAATTAGCTGGCATGGTGCACATATATTGAGATTGTCTTCATGATGAATAGGCCTTCAGTAGTTTAAAAAATAAAAAAAGAGGTTCTCCTTGTCTCTGGACTTTGCTTTTGTAATGGAGATGTGGGTTGGCAGAGCTTTTAAGCGAGCACAAAAATCAGCCCAGAAGCACATCTGTAGAGATGTAGTTTGCTGTGGGTTTGAGTAATCTCTGATGTTTTCACCTTAATTCACTGCCATGTAAACAGGCACATTCTTACTGCTGACCCTTTTCATTTTCTAAATGGCTATGTTATTCAAAATATCTTTTTAATTATACTAAACCAAGCACACAAACTGTAACACCAATCTTTGAAGGATTGGGAGAGGCCAATGCCAATGTTTTTTCATTGTTTTAAATGTTTCCAGTGTGCTAAAAAATTACTGTTTTAGAAAAAAACATCAATTGTGCTGTTTTGCTGTGTGTGGCATAACAGCCATGGAACGATCTGGCTATGAGCTGCCTGACAGACACCAACCTGCTTTATGGCTAAGCCAGAGTTTGTTCCAGCCGCTCGGAGGACGTGTTGCATCAAGCTGACAGCTGCCCTATAAAGCGTGCAATCTGGATTAATTCAGTTCTACTTTTATCACTTTACAGAAAAGCAAATCCGCTGTTTGTGGTGTTTGTCATTAGCAGACCTTCAGCCATCTCAGGTGCTTTTGCAGTCCCTGGACTGGAGCTGCTGACCTCTGCCCAAAGCTGCTGCTGGGTCTGTTCCTCTGTGTGTGTGCTGAGGCTCAGCCCATGGGGGCAGGAGGTTGGAACTGGGCACAGCAGTGCTGCAGCACTTCCCTTGTCACTTCAGGTCCTGCTGCTTTGTCCCCTCTTCTGTTTGGATCCCTCATTACGAGATGGACTTTGAGATGCTGGAGCGTGTCCAGAGAAGGTCTGGAGCACAAGTCTTATGGCAAGCGGCTGAGGGAGCTGGGATGGCTCAGTCTGGAGAAGAGGAGGCTCAGGGAAGAGCTCCCTGGCATGGGGTTGTAGTGAGTGGGGGTCAGCCTCTTCTCCCAGGTAACAGCAACAGGATGAGAGGGAATGGCTTTCCTCCCTGCTGGCCCCATTGCTTTTGTTCCTTGGTAACTGATTTCCTTAGAAAGCCTTTCATAGTTCCGTTTCTCAAAGTTGGGCATTGTTCCATAAACATTCTCTTGCAATAATTAGATTGCTTTGATTCCTTTTAATTAAATCATGCTAAGTAGGCTGTCTGCGCGTGCGGCGAAGTCTCGGGTTTAATGCGTCGTCTGCATTCGGAAACTGGGGTTCAGATTGGATCCAAGTCACAGTGCAGCAGCAGCACAGCATCCCACTGCGTCCCCTTCTGCAGAGATTCACCTTGAGCAGTACAGCTGCTCTGAGAAATGAAGTGGGAAAGATTATTACAGATCAGCGTAAGGAAGAATCAGGCCATGTTGGTTGCTGGGAAGCGCAGCTGAGGTTTGGGGGCAGCTGCCGCACAAAGCCTTTAACACAGCTCATCTGATTTGTTTTCATCCCGTTCAAAATAAAGGGAAAACCTGTCATTAGGTAGTGGTTCTGTGGCAGAGCCATTCATTTAGGCACAAAATCCATAAAACCGTGGGAATGACTTCATGCAGCCAATAACTACTGACGTTTCCCAGTGGGATAGAAGTTGGTGAATTGGTTTTCCCTCTCCAGTCAGACTCATTCTGGGGGGTTCCTGTTATCCCCTGCTGATCAGGGAATGCAGCATTGTTTTATTTATCCCCTGAAAGATCTACATCCCCCTGAAATCTATGGGGCAGTGGTGGGGAGGGGTGATGAGACAACTCACTTCCATCACTCACATTTGTGATGCTGTACTTAAAACAAATGCACGGAGCTGGTGTGGGGATGGGATGTGCTGCCCTGCTCCTTGCTCTGGGTAGGAGACTGCAGGAACCTCTCTCAGTCAGGGAAATCCAAAAGAAAAATATTTTACTTTACTGTAGGGAGTTCTGTGTGTTTTAATGATCTAGAGTCAGCTGTTATTTATTCATTGATATTGATGGCTTTATAAGACATTTGCAAGTTTTTACTATCCCAAACTCATTAATTAATGATAGTGACATCTTTCAATTAGAAGTGCTGAGCAGTAACACGTTGCCCTTGCTTAGCAGTGTTATATGAATGTGCATCATGCTAGAGACAGTCTTTCATTTCCCATAGGAAAGTATCCTGCTGTCCTTAATCTGCAAGCATTTATAAAGCCTCTGCTGAACAAAAGATTAAAAGCATTGCAGGAAAAAATAGGATTTTTTTTTTTGTCTTTTTCATGCAACGTGCAGTTTCTCCTTCAAGTTTGCTATTTAGCCTGTTTTGTCATAATATCTATAGCTATCTGTATTTATCTCTGTGTTGTAGGAAAAAAGCACTTCTGCCTTTTGTGCTACAGATGACTGTGGTTGCAAATGGGAGCTCTCCAGAGCTGATGAATGCTGCTTTGGTCTCTGTTCTCCCACCTTTTGAGTTTGAAAGCTTTCCTTCTTGAAGGAGAGAGCAGGACTCCTGGCAGTAGAGCTCAGCCTGCCTAGGAATGGGCATAGCTGCATTATTTTTAACACAGCACTAAGTAGGCAAAGTGTGTGATGGCACAGCAGAATATTTGTTGGTTTGTTCTCAACCTTAGGTTGATTTCAGCAGTCATTGGGAATAGCACTGTCCCAGAGGGCATCAAAGGAAATGTCAGCTGCTCCTCCACCCCACAGCTGGCATCCCCAGCCCCCATCAGATCAACAAATTCTGGACTTGTAATTACAGCACTTACTCTCCTGGTATTTATTCCATACCATTGAAAAAGGTCCTGAAAAATCTTAAAAAAAAAAATAAAAATAAAAAGAGGGATCGTATGGTCTGCTTCGTTTCTCGGATATCCGTTTATTGTATCGTGCACCTGAATGATGTGTAATGAACTGATGCTGGGGAATCCTGAGCTGACAGGTAGGCAATTGTCTGCTTATTTATAGGCTCCCTCCTCTCCTTTTCATTCTCCTCCACCCTCTGTTTCTCAGTGTGTAAATTATGTGTTTACAGTTGGGGTCTTTAGATCTACAGCCTTTAGTTTTAGGGTATGAATTCACCTCCATTAATTGCGAGCCGTATTTAATATTTATGCTAACAGGGCGTGAGGAGTGTTGCAATGAGTTGTTCTCCTTCAAAAAGGGGAGCTGAAAAATTACCAACCACTCTGGTTATAGTGCCTGGTGAAGGTGCCAGCAGGCAGAACGTGATTTAAGGTGCACGTTTTTGCACATCAGCACCTTGATAACAACGCTGAAAGAGGAGAGAAAGACGTGATGGGGAGACTGTGCTAAGATTAATGCAGCCTCTTACCTTTCCTCAGTGTGGAAGTCCCCAGGAAGATGAGTGTGTCGGATCACCGGCTCTTTCTTAATATTTTTTTTTTCCATTTGCTTGCTTTGCTTCATGGCTGTAATCATGCAAATGATACCATTCATTCTATCCATCCTGCCTACTGGCTTGAGGTACTGCATATTAATTGAGCAGCATGATATCTATTTTTCAAGCTGCATAGATAAGCAAAACATTTTTATATTAAATAAAGCGCTTCGTGCCTTTTACTACGATATTTTAAGACTTTCTTATCCTTGCATGCTATAGAAGGAAGGTTAAAAAGCATTAACTTGTGAGACCTTGGCTTACAAGCAGGCTTTCAACAGCGGATTTTGTAGATGTGTGTGTACAGTCGTCCTACTCTTAGACTTGGTGGTTCTTTATTTCAATACATCAGTACTTTCTAAGCCATTGTGATTCTGGATTCTCAGTCTCTCTGGAAGTCTGAAGAAGAGAGAGATACAGGCTTTTATCTTTCAAAGGACATCTGGAAGACTTGCTGTTATTATTTGGCCTTGCTTCAAGAAAATGCACTTTTGAGTACGACAAACTAGCTTACTACATAGACATCTTGAACTCAGTCGAGCAAAAATGTTTTGAAGTATTGGGTTCTTTTAACATTTTTTTTCCCCCAAACGTAGAAATGTGCTATGAATCACAAGCTTGTTGAGTTAGGTGGCTAGGATTGATAACACAGAGTCCATCCCCGAGGCTGTGATAGTGAGCCCAGGTGCTTCCAAAAGCAAGCTGAGGGCTCTTGATGGTTTTGACCTTTTCTTACCCCCGTGGGAATATCAGGTTCATGTGTGGGTTGTTCTGCATGTATTCCCATACACCAAGTGGAGGGGTATTTTGTTTTTAAATAAGTCCAGTAAACGTTTTGTCATCTTCTTCCAGTGTACCAACGTATAGCAATGCTTCTGTCTCAAATAGTTGCCTGCATTGTTCTGTTGCAGATTGTTCTGTTGTTTTTTCGTTTTTAACATTTATGAACAATGACCCTGTATGTCCACAGGCCAGGTACAAGCAGAGCCTGGATCCGACGGTGGACGAGGTGAAGAAGCTGTGCACATCCCTGCGGCGCAATGCCAAGGAGGAGCGGGTGCTGTTCCACTACAATGGGCATGGTGTGCCCAGGCCGACGGTGAATGGGGAGATCTGGGTCTTCAACAAGGTGAGAAGCAGTGCTAACACAGCTGAATCTCCTTCATGGCTATGTAAGTGCTTATGATGTTCTGTCACAGTGATGAGTTTTCAGGATGTAACTTGCCTACCGGTGTTCTGTGCTGACAGCCATCTGCCTTCTCCATGTTCTTGAAGTTGAGTTCTTAGCATGAAGTTGGCTTCACATCCAGGTTGGATATTAGGAACAGTTCCTTCCTAGGAGGAGTGGCCAGGCACAGTGGCACAGCTGCCCAGAGGGGTGGGGGTGTCACTGTCCCTGGGGGTGTGAGGGATCCCGAGGGATGTGGTCAGTGGGCATGGTGGGATGGGTTGGGGTTGGACTTGGGGAACTTAGAGATCTTTTCCAACCTCTGTGATTCTCTGAAATCTCAACTAATTGTTCAGATTGCATGGGTTTGAGTTGCAGGAGGACAATAAATCATATAATTAAGCTCTCGTTCCAGATCAGAGAGTACTGAGGAACCTCTGCAATATTTTATGTGTCTCTTACTTTTTGTAAAGACTTGCCATTCCTATTTAGCCATGATTTGTACAGCTATGTAGATCCCATGCAACACCTTTCTGGTGATACCAGGTGTGATATAGATGTGGTAGTAAAGCTATTTAGTGCCCTATGGAAGGTAACTGATTTTGAAGGGAGTCTTAGGAATGTGTGAGGTACTGCTGGTAGCGGGGGAGTGCATCCAGCTGACACAGCTTGCAGGGATTCGCTCCTATTTTATTTCAGGAACATACTGAACTTCTTTTCTCATACTTCTCATGTATTATTTTTGTAATTGAATGAGCATTCAATAATAGCTTGAAAGAGCAAGGAGAGAAAGGCAGGGGAGAAAGTGCAAAAGGGCATCACTTTATTCTGGTGCATCTCTACTGGAGGCTCGATTAGTATTCTGACCAGCATCCTAAATGATTATTTTGAAGCCGAATTTGTTGTTTAAGAACAAATAGGAGTGACCTTCTTCTTACTTAACAGCCAGTGGGTAATAAATAAGCCAGTAAGAATGCTGAGCAGAATGTGTTACACATGGAAGAAGAGGAAATTACTGCTCAATGAAGTTGTGTGCTGTGCCAAATGCTTTATTAAGAGCTTGCTGGGTGTTTGCCAGTTTGCCTGAAGTTTCAGCTGGGGAATGTGATGTGGGCTCCTCTGGTTATGAAGAGCTGAGGTCTTTTATGCATCTTTATGGACTGCTGGAAAAGAATCGTAATCGTCATAAGCGTTGACAAGTAACAGTGAAACTTGGTAGTTTTTGCAGCATGTTACCAAATAGTGACTTTTTTTTTTTGGTAGAGAAGGAATTGGAAATAGAACTTTTCATTGAAACAAAGCATCAAGATGCAGTCATGTGCTTTTCATGCATTTATTGTGAGCATTGCTGAAGTAATAAGGATCCATGTTCTCTGTGTGGTTTTGCTCACTGCTGTCTGACAAAATCACAGTGTGGTTTTAAGAAAAAAAAAGAAACAATGAGAGACTGCAAACTTCAAACAAGCTTATCACAGAACTCTGGGGAACTCCTCTGAAAGCCAGAAGAAAGCTCTTTGAAATGTTTTGGAGTTTTTTTAAAGAAATTACAGAATCACAGAATTGCCAGGGTTGGAAGGGACCTCAAGGATCATGAATCTCCAACCCCCGATTATGAAATTAATGCAAACTCACTTTCTTGTTCAGTTGTCGTGCTGTCCCTACCACAGTCACAGGTGGGTGTTGGGAGATGTTGGTTAACCCACAGAAACTTTTTTGTTATGAAACCCAAGTCTGAGAGCAAACCACAAAGTTCTGTGCCCACAGCCCAGCAGCAGATCACCCTGAGTAGCCACACTGGGAGGCCATTATTTAACACTCCTTTTTCCTTCAACTTCTCTCGTTTGCATACTATTAGCAGGCTCGATAAGCTGTGTGTGACCCCTGCAGTAATCGTGGAACATAAATTTGTGCTGGTTTGCAATAGCACAGTATTGGTCAGAGTCCTGAACTGCAGCAGCATGCTTTATAAATTTAAAGTTAAAACAATGTGTGTCTCTAAAATCTCATCAATAATACGTGTCAGAGCAGGTTTTCTTTATGCAACTTACTGTGATTAGAATGTGCTTAAGCCCTCGAGGTGTCCTTATGAAAGGTCTGTGCCAAGAGTAAGTTGTTCGTGTATCATTCCATCCTGTAACAATTTGCCAAGCTCCTAACTTCCTAAAAATTCTGTAACAAAACAAATTTTCCTATTAATTTTAATAGAACAATCAAAACTTTTTATACGTAGGCAAAACTGGATTTTGGGCTGACTTAGTATTACCCACCTTATCTAACATATGGTCTCGAATCACTTCTGTCTTTATATACACCGATGTGTCCTTGAAAATTTGATTTTTGTCAAAGTTTTATTACAGCTATTTTAAGTCTCTTGAATTTAAATGAGAGTTATGATCCCATCCATCATGCTGCTGATGTTAATAGGAGCACTGCAGCTTTTACTGTTGGTTTTGGGCAGAGCACAGCGCGGTACCAACATGAGCAGGTTGCCCTCTGGCTGCGGATGGAAAGGGTTCTGCAGGCAGCCACACTACGTCCAGCAGTGACTCCTCATGGGCTCAGATAGCAGAAATCTGCTCTGTTTGTATTTTCAGTTCTGCCCCTGAGTTCGATGTTCCACTCCTCATAGCTAACTTTAAGCCTGAGCTTTCATTCTGTGTTTCTTTAAGGAGCCGTTGCCTTCAATTATTTTGTTAGAGGAAGAGAAGGAGCAAAACACTTCATGTTTATGGAAACAGAGCTGTTGGTACTTGACTTTGCTTTGTGGGCATTATGATATTGGATAATTCTGAAAGTTGCACAGAAGCTAATAAAATCCTGAAGCGTCTCATTAAATTAAGATGGGGTGGCTGCTGATGGTCTGCGTAGTCTTAATTATCAGTCCTGATTTATTAATGGGATTTTCGGTTTGAGATGATTGATGTTAAATTAAAGACATCTGGTTTACATTTTTGATCAGCATTGCAGAAATTTGAGCTAAAATAAGGACTGTTAAATGTTGGAAGTGTTAGTGTGTATCAAAGCACCCCTTGCATTTCAGAATTCTAGTTTGAAGTTCAGGTTTTCAAACAATACCACAATGAAATCCGATTTGTTTTCTGTACTGAAGTTGGATTTGTAGTTCTTATTAGTAGATGTTGGTTGATATTGATCTTGATTAACATGTCCAGAGTTCAATCAAGATTTTATTTTGTGATTTCAGAATTGGATTTTATCGTATGTATTTTATTACCAGTGGAAGTTGCCTCTCTGCCTCTTTGTAACTTCAGTGTTTCTTTCTTCTTTCAGAACTACACTCAGTATATTCCTCTGTCCATATACGACCTGCAGACTTGGATGGGCAGTCCTTCCATTTTCGTCTATGATTGCTCCAATGCTGGCCTTATTGTCAAGTCGTTCAAACAATTTGCACTACAGAGGGAGCAAGAGCTGGAGGTGAGATAACAACCTGTTGCATCGCTTTTTGTTTCTGTTTGTGCAGTAGGGTTAAGTTTAAGCTTGTTTTGCCATACACAGCTGAAAAAAAAAAGTTTAAAACCACGCTGAAATCCAAATTAGTTTGCAAATGATTTTGCCACTCCAGTCTCTCTGATTCGGTTTGCTATTCTATTCAAGTTTGTATAATTTTTAATACAAGTGCTAATTAAATGATAATGTTAATAGAATCAATTTGTGCCCTAATGGTCTTTTCTGCTGAGATAAATGCTGAAGTGAACGAGACGTGTTTATTTTAGATTCAGAAGTGTAGTGTGTGGGTATGTATTTGGATGCAGTTCATGTTGTTGAGCCGAATGCAAAATTGTGAAACCAAATTAAATAAACCTGGTGCACAGAGGGACCATCACTGATGATTTTGGTTTCAAAGAACGCTTAAGCTGGATGTGTTTCTAATGGAAAGTTGCCTTTCATTGCAAATATAATTACTAATACGTTTATTGAAGTAAATCTGAAATGCAGAGTGAAAGGTAAGGAAGCAGGAGTCGTCCTGGGATGCAAAGTTCTTTGCTACCAGATTCTCCTGCTTGCTTGTAAAGAAAGCACATTTTTGAAGATTAACTTTTTGTACTCTTGTCGTTCAAAGAGATGGAATTTTAAAAAATCTTCAAGGAAGAATATTAATTAATGGGCAACTGACTGCAGCAAGTATAACTGTCAACAGATGTTAACACAACCCTGGCTCTGATTCCTTTCATTCCAAATGCCAGTTTTTGAAGATGCTTTTGTGATGACTTTTTGGCAAGCAGAAATACACCTAGTAACAGACACCAGCCTAATAGCTTCAGACATGTAGATCTTTCCAGCTTTCCTGCCCTTTTCAATCAGTGACTTTGCTGTACTTTGTAAAGATTCTTCCCAAAGTCTGTGGCTTGGGAATAATACAGAACTGCAGGCATGCATCAATGGTACTGGTAATAGATGCCTTTTTGAAAACTACAATCTTTTTAAGTCAAGGAAAATGTCTGGTGGTCACAATCTGCTCTCCTTTTTCAAGTTTTTTTCTTTTATTTTCTTGTCAGCCTACAACTTTCATTGCATTATCTTCTACAATCTTTCTGTTTGTAAAATAAGCTCTTAAGATTTTTTTTCTTTTGTTTTCTCACTCTGTTCCTATGCAGGTTAAAAAAGACCCACCCTCACTCTCCCTCCCTTTCCCTGTTTTCTCTATGAGGCTCTTCTCCTTAGCTCTTGTGGGGCTCTGCAATGACTGCTGGTGTCCAGGTTCATGAAAAGCAAAGTGAAGCTGGAACTGGTGCTCAGAGGGGCTGCTGGGGTGATCAAGATAATTGTTAGCCCATCTTACCGAAAGGAGATTAGAGGAGCTTGCTGTTTTCTTAATCAGATAGAGTGAAGGCTGAGGGAAGATGTGGCTGTATGTATAAATTCCTTGAAGGATAAGCTTATGGGAGGAGAAGTATTCATAGGATAATGTTGACACGAGCAATTAGGTATACAGCTGTCCATGAATAAGTCTAGTCTACAAGATTTTAGAAAATCCAAAAGAATAAGGTTCTAGAACAAGTTGCTGGCTGGGATAATGGAAACCAGCTATTTCTCCATATGTAATTTTATGTGTCTGAGAGCATCCGTGATGTGAGATGGATGCTGGAGGTTGCAGGAGGCTGTGCCTGCAGACATTGCTGGCGGAGATTCCGATATCTCAGTGTTCTGCAAACTGGCACAATCAAACCTCTTACTGATGGGAATGCTGTGTTGAGTTGTACTGTCATGATGGCTTGGGTGTGCTGTGTGTATGAAGCCTTCACTAATTCCTGAATGTTTCCTGGCTTTCAGACAGTGCAGCCCTCTGCCAGAGTAAGCTACTGCAGTAGTCGGCTATCAGTTATAAAGTTATTATTCTGTAGTCACAGCTAATATGCAATTTTTTAGATACTGATAGTAATGTGTTTCTTCTTAATGTGCCTTCCATTAGATAGCTAGAAATTAGTTGGTGAAGTTAATTAAGGAGAGAAAAGACTATGAAGCATAGAGAGGGTGAGGAAGGGATTACATGCCATGAAACTGCAGTAGATGGATAATCATTTGACACAAGCGACCAACTAAGAAATTGAATTTTCAAATTAAACACACATTGTAGCTCATGGTTTTCATTAAGTGCTGTGTGTCATACTTAGAACAATCAGAATTCATATTTTTTCCCATTATTCTTCTAAGTTTTCTGTGGTATTAAGTATGGTCAAGCAATCTTTAAATGCATTTGAGAGATAGGCAGACAAGCCAAATATCAGTGACTTTCCAAGCAGATATGGAGGCTTCATTTTGTGCAAGGTGAATGTTTTTATCTGCAGTGTTACAGCATTGATCAGTGAGGGCTAGGATGTGGTCTTCATTTACCACAGGCTCACATCCAGCCATAGGGATCCCTGCTCACTGGCCAGGTGCCATCAGATCATATATAGTTCTACCAGAACTATAAAAATTAATTACAACGTACTTAGAAGTATGCTTGCAATTCCATTCCATTTAGTTCTCGCTGTCTGTGGGATATAAAGGCTTTCTTAACTCTTTCTTAATGTGGAATCTAAATCTTATCCTGTCTTCAAAGAGTAGAGGCACAAAAAGGAATAACTTGTGAGTGATAGGAAAGCAGTTAACGCTTCTCTACGGTACCTGAGGAAAGATAACACTGTACCACGCAGCACTGCATGTCTTCTTCAGGAATAGTAAATTAAAAAAAATGCCTTTTGTTAATAAATAAGATATTGCTGATCTGTGTGAGTGAAGGGCTGCACGGATGGGAGGAAGTACATCGGTTTCAGTAAGATGATGATGATGACTTCGTGTACCGGAGGCAGGAATCTGTCATGTCTTATCCTGGCAGACACATCACAATTGGAAATATTTTTTATCTTCAACAAGACTGCTGCTCTGAGGGAGGTGAGGAGGAAGGGCAGAAGATGTAGCTTGGGGTTGGTCCCTGAGGCACCAAAGCCAGCTGCAAACAGCACCCAGCCACTTAGCACCATGGCCTGGATGTGGTGATGTAGGAACAAGTGTGATATATCAGATTAACAGTTCATTTTTGCAGTTGATCCTGCCTTTGAGGGGGGGAAGGGAGGTGAAAAGTGCAGGGGAAGGGTTGTTCTAATATATGTAACAGATTGCTGTTGTTTTCTTTTCCCAAAAAATATTTTTAAGAGCTGGAAACCGACCCCAGCTTTTGGAAACAGGAGTTCCTGCTGTTGCTTTCCTGCTTGATGTCCTGTTTGGCACTGCTGAGCACCGTGGCAGGGATTCTGGCTGCCAGGAGGTGCTGGGGCTGGCAGGACTGACCTCGTGCTGCTGTCAAGAAGCAGCAGGGGAATGGTTCCTACAGGGCTGGCAGTAACCTAGTTAGAAAACACCTTGCATATGCTTGCTTTCGAGCTTGCTTATAGCATAATGGAAGTGAAGGCAATGGATGCTTTTAATCATCTCATTAGCTAGCTCTGATGATTCTGTGAGTGCATATAAATACAGTGTAATTCTAGAAAATTAAGCAGGCGTTTTAAGTGTGCTGTGCTAACAATGATAAAACAGTAGGCTGGATATTTCTGATTAATTTTCTGTGTAATTGTGACATGGTGTTTCCTCTGACTCATAATTATTCCATATAGAATAGATCTGTAGTCTTACGGCCACGCTTGAGACGTACAGAAATGAAAGCTGAAAAATGTCATCTGGACGTCTGCTTTGCTGCAAGAGATGCTGCATTTTGCTTTTCAGATATACTGTTTGAGTTTCAGACAGTGCAGCTTACAGCTGTGTGCTGGCTTTTTTTGCTCCTACCTGGCTGGGAGCTCAGTGTTGCAGTGGCAGTGCCTGTGCTTCTCCCCTCCAGCAGCACGTGTGGTCCTAATCGGAGCTGAGGAACTCACAGGTTTTGTTTTTCCATCTTCAACGTTAATTCTCAAAAAATTAGCTTAACAACAGTGTGGCAGAATGTTATCTGGCATTAGCATCATGTCTGGGGGGAGAGATTTTCTAATCCACCATCTGCTGGGAGAGAGGAACAATATCTTCTCAGGGGAAGAGGATTCTCATAGCAGGAATTCTGTCAAGCTAGCAAGTCTGGCCAACACTTGTGATGACAGTGAGTTTCTGTGCTGGGTCAGTTTCTCCCAAGTTTCACTTAGACGTGCCCATCTTGTTTTTTCATCAGATGTTTGCTTCTCAGCGTAGCTGCATATGCACATAAATGCTTTCAGTAACAGCAGTTTCAAAGACGTGCATCGTTTCCCTTTTCTGTTAGTCCCAGGCAGCAGTGCTTGCAAATCTGTTAGCTTGTCCTTCTGACAGTGCTCTTGCAAATAGCAAACCCAAGTGCTCCTTAGCTGGGGCACATATAGTTTGTTTTCAGAACAAATTAATTTCCACCATCTTACAGGAATGATTGCAGCCTGTTTCTATATAATTGAAAAGTTAATATTATCGCTGTTATTTTGTCTGAAAGGCTGGGGGTTGTCAGTTGCCCTGAAGTAACAAGAAGTGAAATGAGAAGTGCTGTGCTGATAGTAAGGGTGTTTTTTTACCGAGCTGATCCAGGAAAGTGTGCATCGTTCTGTTCTGAGAGCGCGATTCTGCTGAAGAAGCTGTGAGATGGTTATGGGCTGCTGCAAGGTCTTCATCTAATTGCTTGTTTACAGAAACTGCTGAGACACGAAGAAACGACGATTGTAGATAAATATGTATTATTAATAATTTTGATAACATTTCACATAGGGAAGCGTCGCTCAGTTTGTTTACTATTCTTACAGCTGTGCATTAGTGCGTTCCTGCTGCTCTGCTTTTAACCTTTTGTTCGCCACGTACTTCCTCCGTGTGTCTCCCTAATGTGGAGTTTTATCCTTGAGGGAGCTGAGCAATGTAGTCACAGTCTGCCTTTGGTGGATGTTCTAAGTAAAGAAGAAGTTAATGCTGGGCTTTACCCTCCTTTGTCTTTCACGCTTACTTTGTGAAAGAATGTTTTGCTACATCATTATCCCTAGAAATCTAACAAGGTCTGTAATTACTAGCTGGTGCTCCATGTTCACTTTTTGCTTGTTAATTGTTCATCTCCTAATGGGCAAATATTTATATTGAATGTGTCACAGCTTCTTTAGTTAGTCTTACTGCGCAGAAGCCAGGAGTTGAGCAGGAGCTCCTTCTCCATCAGAGCATAGAGGCACTGCCAGCACACAACAGCCAGCAAGGCTGCAGTGCTTCTCACTGCTCAGAAAGCAGAAAATTCATCTAAATGTTCTCCCCACCTGTGGAGCTCATTTATGAGGATGCCCAGAGAGCAAGTCTTTCTGTAAGAAATTAATAGCAGATGTGAAGCAGTTTGACTGCTTTGTATTTATACATCTGTGAAGAGCTGGCACTTTTCCACAGTCTGTCATGCCTTTCTCCTAAAATAAAAGATGTTTTCAGCATTGTCATTATCTTCTTTTGTTATTAACATCCAGGTTACATTTATGAGAAGTACAGTAAGGACTGTTAGGTGACTTGGGTCACCCAAGGTGTGGCATCGGTCTTTGCTGAAAGCAGAGTGGGGAGCAGGGACAGATCTCAGCTAATTTGGCCAACTTGGGAAAGCTGAAGTGTGTCACTGCCTCCTCTGGGGTTAGAATGGAAAAAGAATATTTAAAGAATCAAAAAACTTGGTAGGCTGAAGAATTGGTGAAATAGCACCTGAAGCTTCTCTGTGGCTTATCAGGGTGCTTTGCTCAGCCAGAGGAATCTGAATGTGCCAGGCTCGTGGTTTGTAATACAGGCATTCCCCATAACTCTTGTGAGACACAAAATTAATTTCCTCTTGAGACAGATGGAATTTCTCATTTATAAAGTTGGTAAAGAATGAGTTTTCATAGTCAACTGTACTGCCTTACTCAGGAAAAAAAAATGGAGCAAAAGGAGCTGGCCAAAGTGTTTGTCTTTGAGTGGAAAGTATCCTGTTAGCTTGGATAACGCAGCACATGGGTCGCTGTGCTAGATCTTTGCTTTCCAGGTCCTGAATGAAAGGAAGTGAAGGCACTGCATACATTACAGTCTCTTGGTGCAATTCATTTAAGAACCTTTGAGCACCACAGATGAAAATTTTTGGGTGGCTGAATGTTTATTTTGTTCACCTGTTTCAGAAAGGCACAGGGAAGGTTTTTTTTCTCTGAATTGAAGATCTGTTGCACGTTGGCAGCTCTTCATTGGTTACTTTCAAAATGAGATTGAAATTTACTTTTCTGAATTCCTGATCTCACCAATTCTATGATTTCTGTGCTCTGTCCAGGTGGCTGCAATTAACCCAAACCATCCTCTTGCTCAAATGCCTTTGCCTCCATCGATGAAGAACTGCATTCAGTTGGCAGCATGTGAAGCTAATGAATTGCTCCCTATGATCCCCGATCTGCCGGCCGACCTTTTCACATCATGCCTTACTACACCAATCAAAATTGCTCTGAGATGGTAAGTATCATCTCCACTGTTGATGGCAAGTGCATAATTTGTGTCGTTGTCTGTTGAAATGATGGATTTTCTTAATCCAAGTGCTTCATTTAACCTAATGTTTCTCTGCAATATTGAATTACAAGATTTGAACTATGTGTCTGGGATGGACTGTTATTAATCAGAACTAGAAAGGTGAAAAAACTGTTATCTTCTACTTATTACATTTTAGATTCCAGCTCAATATCTAGGTTTGCTCAGATTAAAGGATTTACTGTTCTGGGAATTAAATATCTGCTTCTTCAGAGAGCAGAAATAGTACATAGTGCAATAACAACTCCTTGCAAATTGTCCTTCATACAAATGATATTCCAAATATTGCAGTTGCTGTAAACAATGCAGTAGCATTAAATAATGCTGTAGTGAAAGAGACCGAGCGATAAACCGAAGAAAGATGTTACATAAGGATACAAAAGCCTGCTAGATACAGGAGGAGCTTTGAAAGAACAGTGTTCTTACCCAGCAGCGGAGAGGAGCAGCAGCAGTTTGGTGCCAGCTGAGGACGTGGTGTCAGGAATCCGGTGTGTGCCCGCAGGTACAGAGCTCTGTTGATTCATTCCTATCAGCACATTTCAGTTGATCCTCTTAAGATTCTTTGTAGTCCAGAATGAAAAACTCCAGGTCGTTAGCTAGACTAGGTTAAAACAGGCAGAAACATGTAGACGTGGCAGACAATCATAAGCAATTGAGTCACTGCATCTGCAAGAGTTATGACTTTTGGAGATGCTCGTAATAACTTCACAAGTCAGATTCTCTCTGTGTTCTAAAAGCAGCAAACAAAGTGACTTAATGTGGCCGGGTTCTGGGTTAGATCCATAGTGCCTTTGAACACCTAACTTTTGCTTGTAAGCACAGTCAAAAGTCTTTGATAGTTTAGCAGGGCAAAGAGCTGCAGTGACATGAGGATTATCCAGGAGGGATATGAATTTTTGGGAAGGTTAATGAGAAAATGGTTTTCCAACCCATGTGTCAGGGACCTGGAGTCTGAAGTTGTGGGAGTTTAGGCTAGGGTTTCTGCCAAGGAATGGCAAACTTCTGAATGAGAGAGGCAGCTGTGCACTCCTCTCGTTCCTTTAATATCCTTTTTCTATCGTGAAAAATTAAAAATAATATTGTTTATCTAAGATAAGTTTGGTTGCAATATCAGGCACTCATTAGAACTCCCAAGTGAGCACTTGCAGACGGGTGACAGGGTTGAGCCTGCTGCTTAGCCAGAGGCATTTAATCTCTTTTAATCCTGAGAGAACAGGATGCTTCCCTTCCAGGCAGGTGGGGGAAGGAGCACGCTGGCTTCCAGTGCAACTGCTGCTTGGCAGTGCTTCAAGGCGAGCTGTCTGCCTTGACTGGAGCCTCGTCTGCATCCTGGGTGCTGATGTGGTCCTGGTAGGCTGCTCCTGAACTCTGCCTACAGCATGAAAACTCTCAAGCTGCATGCATAAATCCTGCTTTCTTTAAAAGCTGAGGAAATCACTATGTGGCAAAATTCCTTGAGGGGAACTTTGAGAAACAGTGTGTTACTGTGGTTCCAGGGAGCTACTCGTATCATATGGCTGCCATTGAATCACTGCTAGCCAAGCAGTGTGATGTGAGTTGAAGCTTTCAGCTGTGTTTATCTGTAGAGGTAGACTTGGAAATTGAACTCAATGTTCTACCTGGTCAGTTCAAGGCTAGCCACAGGTGACCATGAGTGCCACTTGGCAGATACAAACAAATGTGGATTTTTCTTTAAAAAAAAAAAAACTTTTTGAAAAGAGTGCAAAACAGAAGTAAAACAAAAAGTCACAAAGATTCAGCAAACGAAGGTCTGAGCTCAAGTTCCAGGGAGAATATTTTCATCAAGACTTCATGTTAATGTGCAGTGAGGAGTTAAACGATTGCTTTTCAGGTTGTCTGAATTGAGGCTTGCAATTATTCTGAGTAACTCATTATTGTGAATATGAGTTAAATCAGTACCACAAAGACGCAGTGATCCTGCTTAATTTGTGTTGTTTTCACTATTTCGTAAAGACTTTGTGGGAATCCACAGCATGGGCTTTGATCTCTGTTGAAGGTGAACTGGTTTGCAACAAACTGAAGCTTCGTAAGTAAGGTGAAGGTGTTCTTGTGTAATACAGAGCTGTGCTCGAGTTTGAGTGATCGTTAAGGTGAAGATGTGAAGGCTCAGGTAGAGTTGTTTTTGTTGGAAGTCCCCTCTGAACATTAACCCTTTACACAACAGTGTTTAATGCACGACTTGTATGTATTGAGAGAGGTTTTTCCAGATACTGTGATCTGTTCAGGAGACTTGTGTTGCTGCATCTCCATGGGAACATGGCTGAGGGGTGACAGGGCAGGTTCTTGAGCAGAGCTGCTCCTGGTGTAAGCATGAGATGCTTGGAGTTGTCTCACTTGTGTTTGGCAGGAAGGGTTGCCAGAATGCTCTTCAGGTAAAGGATTTAGAACTATGAACCTCAGCTACCCTTGATGCTGATGCAGATGGGTGCTGTGCTGACTCCTGCTTAGTGAGGCCTTTCCTACTATATCTAATCCAAACGTTGTGTGTGTTGCTTTTTGTTGCACGTATTAAAAAGAGAAAATCTCTATAATCTGCAGATTACACTCCTTTTATATTCCCTATCGATTGGCATTATTACTGTTGTATTTGTATCCATGCAAGTTCTGTAAATAAGAGCTTGCTTGCAGACTACTGTTATTCACTGCAGTTAAAAAGAATAGATATGGAGCCAGGCTGCCCTCCACATCCAGTTGTTCAGTGCAAGCTGTATGTCAGTGTGCTAAGGCAGGCACTTAACCAGAAATAAAGATACAAGCCTTTGTCATTAAAGATACTCTTCTAATTCAGTTGGGCCCTTTTGTTAAAGCTGACCCTGAGCTCTGCAGAATTATTTTTGAAATAAAAGATTTTTGCAAGTCCGGACTGACGGGTTAATGAGGTTTCGCATATGGAGGTTATAGGCAAATGAAAGCTGGATGAATAAATTCCTGTACATCCCGTTTTGTGTGTGTATTTGGGATAAATTGATTGACAAAATCACTTCACTAATGGAATTGCATCCACTTCAGTCAGGGAAAAAAAAAAGATGCTGGTGATAGAAACGCAGATCGATGAATCGTGCACCTGAATGTGGTACACAAAACTCTTAATCAAACTGACTGGCAATTTCAGAGCTCTGGTGCCTGAGCTCTGTGTAGCTTCATACTGACTGTCTTCATGTGTAGTCACTGCTGAGAGCTGACATTCCAGATGTATGTTGCAACTATATATATAAGGCAAGTTTAAAGATAAGACATGGATTGTCAATCTTGACTGACCTAACCAAGGAGAACCAGCTATTGCAGAGAGGCAGAAATCAGAATACAGTTGCTGTACTTCTTGAGCAGATCTATGTGCCTCTTGCACTGTCTGCAATAAAACAGCATTTACGTTGGAAGTTGTGATTGGTGGTGCATCATATGCTGATGTTATTGTCAGTCCCCTAAGACATAAACAAGCTGCAAGTGTAATTTCACAATTTTACACTTGGAGGAGAAGGCTGTAATTGTCTGGACTGTCTGAGGAAGCCCCTTACATAAGGTTATGAGGCTCCTGAAAAGTACAGGAAACCCCTCAAGCCAAAAAGAAACAAAGTTTGAAAGTGGCTCAGACTCAAGAATTTTAAATGTGCAGTTGTGTGCATTGGGACCCACGTGTAGCAAGCTTGTCAGTGCCTGGGAGTCAGTGCTTGACTCCTGACAGCTGATTTTGTGTTGGGTCAGTTGAACATTTAAAGTATTTATTCCCAGTGCATGCATTTTGTATTTCTGCTTGCAGGTTTGGGGGTTTAACTGAACCAATCCCCTGTCCTAGACTTAGGCTTCTCTAACTAAACTGAGTTTCAAAATATTCCTGGGTTATCTGAGAAAAATCTGAGCATTGTTATGCATGTTACTGCTTTTCTTCTCTATTGTCTGGTGTGCACTGGCACTTCTACTGCAGCTCTGACATCTCCTGCCTGATGACACCAACCATCCACTTGAGACATCACGTTTGGAGCCTTGGAGTGATGAGAGGGAGGTTGCAGATACAGGATGAGGAACATTCTGTTTACAAGTACATTTTCTTGGCAATCACTGCTTGTTAGAGAGGAAATGCAAATAGTCTGTTAGCAGTTACATGGGGTCTTAATGAACTCATCTCTTTCAAAATTTTCAGAGGTGGGGATTTTTAAAATGAATGCACCAATAGATCAAGCATAGACAAAAGCAATAAAAGCCTGCTTTACTCCCATTCAGGTGGATCTCAAACAGGTCTGTGGTAAGGGCAGAGTGTTTTTCTTCTCTAAGTCAAGTTCAGTCTGGTTGTATATTGTCAACTTTGAGCAGCCAAGGCTTGACCAAAATAGCCCAGATGTAAGTTTATTTACATCTTTGCTCACAGTGCAGCTCCCGAAGGATTGTGCAAAGTGACAGCTGTGCAATGCATTTAGTGTGAGAATGTCTGGTTATAGCTGACCCTCAAAGGTGTGCATATCTCACTGCTGCAGATATTGCAGGAAATGGCACAGTGGCATTTCTCGTGTACACATGTCCTGAATATCTGTATGCAAGGGGAAGCTTTCTGCTTCTTCGTCCAAACAACTGTAATCGAAAGCCTCGTGCTCAGGAGAAATCCTTGCAAAAAGGAGGCTAATATATTTGTTTGCCCTGAGGCAAACCAGCACCAGGTGAGACTCTGCTCATCAGTTCGGGGTCCCTTGCTGCCTGCCCAAGGAACCAGGCTGCACTTTGGGGCTGGCAGCTCATCCTTCTTCTGCAGCATGCCTTGCTGCTTGCAGCTCTGTCCTATTAATCTGGGAGCTTGTAAAATATTGCTGAGTGCTGAGGTCATATCATAACTCACATGAGAGGCTTCCAAAGTAAATACAAAATGCTGTGTGACATGGTGATAGGTGGAACCCTTTTCTTTGTGGAAAACAAATGTGTAACAGCCCAAAGTTGTGCGGGCTTTGCTTTAATCCTTTCAGATATGTCGTAATGTAGAGACATTGAGCAGCACAGTGAGAAAGTGTTTTGGCATCCACAGTCTGCAGGGAGATTCCAGTCTGATTCCAATAACCCAGTTCTGCCGTGCTGAGATCTGCTTGCAGTGTTTGTCTGAGAGTGGTGTTTCCCTCCGTGGCTCTGTAATGCAGCACTGCAAGGTGTCTGTGTTTAAGGGATTGTACTGGGGTTCTGCTGTAGCACTCATAGATAGTATCATGCCTTTTTGCTTTTTTTTTTTTTGTGTGTGTGTGATGGATGGCACACACCTCAGCAAAGCAGCCTGGAGAACACTTAGGTTTTCAGAGCCCATCCCTGGTCTTGGCAATAATGGATGTCCTGCAGGCAAGGGGACCACAAGGACATCCAGAGTGACTGAAAGGTTTCAAAATGACCTCAGCACATCTTGATCTTCAGAGAATTGTTCTCTGGTGTGCTAGGAGAGAGCCTTATGGATGCAGGTGTCGTGGAAAGGAGAGGCTGGGGAGCCCTGTCTGCTGAGGGGCCTCAGCTCTGGAGTAGGGGCTGAATACAGACCTCTTGTGCTGCACGATGAGCTCTTCCACAGCAGAGAGTGGATTTCTGAATGCTGAGAAGCAGGCCAGCATCGTGGTGACACAGAGAGGAAGTCATTTCTCCAACTGACAGCTCTGTTATTCCTCCTGGAGCTGTGGTTTCCCAGCTCTGCTCTCTGAACCACAAAGCACATCCCAGCAGCGGGGCTGTTGGCCGTGCTGCCTCCCACCTGCACCCAGCACAGTGCTGTGCTGATGGCAGTCCTGGAGGAACAGGACTGAGGAAGTGGAGTCAGCATTTCTTTAATTAAATAACGGTGATGTTAGAACATGACACATTGCTCCCAGCCTCCATCACCTGCCCTGCCTGCAGTGTTGGCTCCTCAGGGATGCTGGGCACTACTTCACCTTCCCTTCCCTCCCCAGGGACCCTGTTCCCCTCGTGCACTGGGGTGCTGTCACTGTGACAGAGCCCAGCTCTGACAACCAGCACTGAAAACGGCCACATAATCATGAGTGTGACAGAAATGGAGGGCCCTGTGTGACACTGGTGTTGTGCTGGGTGAGTTTTCCACCCAAACTCTATTTTAAAAGCAGAAACGCTGTAACAAAGAAACCTTCTTCCATGTTTTTTTTACATAGACCTTGCTGTTAAATATACAATTAGTGTGTTTTGTTTTTGTTCTCTCCCCCACAGGTTTTGTATGCAGAAGAGTGTCAGACTGGTGCCAGGAGTCACGCTGGATTTGATAGAGAAGTAAGCCAAATTTTATATATATATAAAATGTATATATTTTTCCCCTGTTGTTCTATTTCATGACTATTTCCGGCATTTCTCTTGTTTATCCAAGGGGAAATTTCTTTGCAAGCCTTGTACAGGGTCCCTCCCTGCTGGGTTTGCTGTCTGTGTCCCATTGCAGCCAGCTCTGGCCATGGGCATGTATGGGGCAGACATGCTCACCCCACATCACCAAAACCACCACGAGCAGAAAAGTGCTCACCAAAAACACTGCCTTTCATTTCCTTGCTTTGCTGTCCTGTTATCCTTTCTCCAACAGTGCTATGTTTCTGACTTAACACTGAAATGAGCTATAATCCTTCTACACAAACAATATTTGAGCGTAATTACTGATTCTGAAGCAGCTGAGGAAAGAAAGCTGTTCGTAAATCTCCTTCAGTTTATACCAACAAGCTGGCCTTTGAAATAATAATTGCCCACCAGAGTCCCTGCTGGCTTTTCAGAGTTTTTTTTTAATGGGAAGCGTGTTCTTAAAGTCAGGGCAGTAAATGCAGGCGTTCTGTCCTCCCTGTGGATTATTTTTGAATATCCTATTCTGGGAACATTGATACACGCACACAACCCGGGAGTAATTAATTAAACACCGTTCAATTTCTGAGGAGTTTGGATGCTAGAAATATCATTGTCAAGATGAATTAGAACAGCCTGCATGTCTGCTATTCTGACGTGTGGGTGCCCACAGCCCAGTTACCATCCTTGGTCTGAGACAAAAGCTGCGGAACTGAGAGGCATCCTGAAGGGGCTGAGGAAGCAGGAATCTGGGTAATAACTGTGCTTTTAAAGCAGAGATATATTTCAGACTTACTTATTTTTCTGATAATCTTCCAAATAGTGTCACAAAGTACAGCACTCATTGCTCATGCTGCCCGTAGCAAACTGTTAGCAGGAGTGAGGTAAGGTAAGGTTGCATCAGCTAACGTTTCTTGTTCAGGTTTTGCTTTAGTGAATCATTCCCTGTTGAGTAACTTGCACGTTTCTCATTCTGATGAGGTTAAAGATGCTTCCCAATGCCATTAGTTCTTCCATGTATTTTAAACATGGACAGCTTATCAGGAGTATCTGGGTATTTAATCACAGCAATTTTACACGTGAAAATTTGATTATCCTCTCTCATTTCAGTCGGAGAAACAAAGCATTGATTCTGCAAAACTGCATTTCAGTGGCACTAGACTTAACCAAAATTAAAATCATTTCTCAGCTTTTTGAAACAAACACGAGACCTGTAAGGCTGACAAGCAGATGATTTAAGCTGTATTTGTTTCCTAAGTTTAGTTGTTTCCTGCCCTGATGCAGTGTCTGGTTATTCAAGCCATGTAGCCACAGACTGCTAAAATAGGATCTAGATGTAAATTGCTTCCAAACCTAAACCAGTATGGCCCACAATGGGAAATTGCTTTAGGGATCATTTAGGGAGCTCATTTGAAGAAATAGAGATGACTTCTTTCTGAACCAGTGGGCTCATCATTGGTGCCGGCTGGGGTCTCTTTGGGTCACTGAATAAATGTAGTCCAAAACTGTGACTGTGTTATGTTAATTGTGATTAACATACTGCTACAAGAGCGTATCAAGGCAGAGAACATATGGCAGCGTCAGTGACAGTCTGAGCCAGGTAGCTCAGGAGTTGGCTTCACTGAACCTTCATGTTACTGAGGGTTAAAACCTCTTCAAATAATGGTTTACTGGAAAAAATAATCAATATCCTTGTTGATAATACCATGAATGTGGGTTCTGTGGGGTCATAGAATCATAGAATGAGCAAGGTGGGAAAAGCCCCTCAAGGTCACCAAATCCAAGGTTGTTTTAAAGACCCTCTTCATGGAGGCTGCACTAGAAATAGGTTCCTGTAGATATCAGGTATTTAAACCCTCACATAATAATATGCTACATATCATCAGTTATAGAAAACATGTTTTTTATTGCAGTCCCAAGATAGCACTAGAATACTTCTCAATTTGCCTTTGTGTATATTGTAATTTATAATTTAGTTGTCTTTAGAACTGTGGAGAGAGTTTATATTCTAATTAGGCTGCAGACTTTGAGGCTAAATTAGTCTGTACCTTCTTTGAAGGGCCCAAACTAATAATTATTTAGGCTAAACCAGCGTCCTGATGAATAAATGCATGGTGCATCCTGATGTGCGTTCCTATTACAAATCTGCTGAGATAAAGGCAAAAAAAAACATCCCTCATTTAAAAATAAAGGTGTTTGCTGGAGCCAGGCAATAAAATGTGAAGGAAAAAAGGAGAAGTTTAGGTCAGTGGAGTGCTAAGAGTTTAGGCAGCCTCCTGTGGCAGCACTGATGTCAAGCATCCCTGCTGGCTCCGTTGGTCTCTTCTGCTCGATGACAAGTTGTCCTGTCATCTCAGCCAACACAGCTGGCTGTGGGGCTCCTGAGTGCAAGGAACCGAGGCTTTGTTGTGCCTTTACACATTTTTAGTAATACCCTAAGGGGCAGTATAACTTAGTGTAGGGTGAGGTGTGAGCTGGGTACCAAGAGCTGGGGCTGAACAAGAGCACGTTCACCTGCATTGTGCCGCATAGGCTCTCCCTCTTGAAATCACGTTCTCAAAAGAGTGACAACAGGATATTGCTTTCCCAGGATATTTTTCCCTAGGTCCATTTGATGCCTGGCAAAGGGAGGGATATCTTGTCCCCCATTGTTATGCTTTGTTACAGAGGGCCTATTCTGGATGTCACGTAGGCAGGAGGCTGTGGGAGAGATCTGTCTTGCTGCAGCGTGTGCTGCTGCTGCTCCCAAGGCAGAGCACCCATCTTGGGGCTGTTACTCACCAGCACAAAATCTATTTATAAAAATCACTAGAAATAATAAATTTGGGACTAAAATTAATTTTGTTTCCATTTTAAGCATTATAGACTGTCAGGGATCAGAAATTATTAATGTTTGAATGTCTATTGATTATTGATGGTGTTCAGTAGGAGCCTATTTAAAGAGAAAGTAGGAAAAATAAAATCCCAAGATATCACCCAGCAAAAGTAATGTAATTGGAGAAAAAGTAGAAATTTTGCTGTAGTATTACAAATATCTTCTGTGTGTGCCCTCAGAACTTAATTAATCAGCTGTGTCAGAATGGTAAATTGGAGGGTGGGCTGTGGAGTGCAGCTGGTTAATTCCTAATTCTTTTTCCAGGTGATCTCAGCTGAAATCATGCAGTGTGAAGTTACAGTTGTTCAACTAGTCCAATTTCTGCCATTCTGCAACTTGTTTTTTTTAAATGATTTTAATTAGATTTATAGTGGGAAATCTTAGTTTGCCTTTAGGTCTGACTTAGGCAGCTTTCATTCCCTTCCATTTTCTTCTGCAAAATTCAATAGAAAGCATTAGAGCACATATTTCAGGATGTCATGTTTTAGTCAGTGCTGTTCAGTCAGTGGTGTAAGGATGCTGTGCCATGCTACCTGTCTGCAGTGGTTACTCGTTGGTACTCAAGTGCAGGGAGAATGCTTCCTTGGAAGATGCTAGTCTGAAACATTTCTGTTCCATAGTAAATCCGGTTTTGCTGAAACCCACTGTTTAATTTGATCACTCTTGTTACAGGGAAACAGCCTCTAGTGTAGGCAAAGTCTATTGTATATACAAAGTGAAGATTACACTCAACAGGATGGTTTTCATGGCAACACTTCTTTCGTATCTTTGTGCAGAACGACGACAGGATTGAAAACTGGTGTGCAAAGCCTGACAGAACTCTCAAACAAATCATTTAAGAACTTCAAACATTTTGTCTTTCTCAAGGAGTTTGCCAAGGTTTCAGGAGCTCCATCACGACGGCCCCGTGCCATTGGTGTGATTTGTGATGAGAGCACGTTGTCTTTGAGCCCATTAGCTGTGTTGATCATTTCTAAGCAGTTCTTGCCAGTTCAGGAGATTGCCACAGCACATATGCTGTGTGCAGTATTGTTTTACCATTTTCTATGATATACTCTCCTCTTTTTTTTTCCCTGAGGCTATAAAATGTGAAATAGACGTACTTATTTTTCCCAACACTAAAATTATGGTGAATGTTTGCAGCTATAAATCAACGCCAATGGGTTTCGTTTTTTGAAGTCTTAAGTATCACGTTGCATATCTCACATTGTATGTATTATAGTACAGAAATAGAGGTAATGGTGGAGCCCATCCAAAGGGAAAATCTGGCATCCTTTGAAGTAAATGCTTCCCCTGTAATTAAAGTGATTCATAGGATTTTGCTAAATTTCTGACAAGGACATTGATGTTAACACCTAGCATGAGCTCCTTAGTGACCCTGACATTTTGTAGTCTTCACTTTTCACAATAGACTGCAGTGATTTAGGTCTTTGTAAAGGCGTCTGTCAGGAAGTTGATGGAAGAAGCAATCGAGAGTCCAGAGATGTTAAATTGAAGGCAGCAGCTGAGGCAGCCTGCCCTTTTTTCCTTTTCTTCCCCTCCCTCAAAAATAGTTTTTACAAATGAAGCCTGCTTTGTCCTTACTGTCAAAGGCTCTCTGGTGATTGTCAAAGCGTAATGAGAAAGGCATCAGGAGAAGTGATGCCAAGATGATAGCAGTGTTCCTGGTGGGGGGGAGAATACTTTCTGGGGCGTTGCAGCCTGCTGGCTTTGTAGGTGCCTGTCCAAATAGAAGTTATTAGAAACTTTAGAGACATAGGACAGGTTTGGAAGGGCTTCTTGTGGAATAGAAATGTGCTGAGTCCCTCAGACATGCTTCACCTGAAAATTTTTATAGTGAAACTCTACAAAGATAGCAATAGTTAAGTGACCTCTACTCTTCTAAGAGAGATGTCGATGGTGAGTTAAAAAATACAAAACAGGAACCCCACGATTGATTATTTCAAATAAAACTATTTTTGATCAGGATCTGTTGACACTGAGTAACACTGTGTTAAACCCCCCCGTCAATCAGTCAGCTTTTCATTCGAGTGGTACAAGCTGTCCTCTGGTTTCTGGGATGAGAGCTTGAGCAGTCCAATCTAGGAACAGAGAACACGTGTTTATTTTCATCTGTCCATTTATCGTACTGACTGTTCCAACTTTAATTGATTCCTGTGTGCAGCACAGAGAACAGCAGTGCTGCCAATTTCATCCTAATGGCTCATTCTAGCTCTGCTTCAAAATCGGAAAGCCCTGATACGGTTTGGCGCGGTTATTGAAATGTATTGCCTTTCATTCTAGTGCTATTCCACACTCTACCCTCACCATTAACACCTAACGCATAGGTTTTCAAAGCACTGAGCACCATTAATCTTCGCAGTGCTGAAGCTTGTACCTTCCTGAGTGTATATGAGGGCAGAGAGGAAATGAACTCACCTGATGACACGGCAGATGTGCGAATGACATCCTGTTAATGTCTGCTTCGTGACTGCAGTCCCTACAGGCAGCTCTGTTTCTATGAATCTGGCAGCTCGTCTTAGAAAGCACAGTTGCTTGGTGCAAAAATACCAAGTGTATTTTAACAGCCGAACTAAAACCTGTATTAAACTAACAAGAAGTCATTTTTAGCCTTTCAGCGCAAAACAATAAGCATACCTTGCTCCTTGATAAAGCAGATTATTCAAGTTGAAAGAGTTTCTAAGGTTGTGCTGCTAGCATCAACTTTTGGTTTCAGCCTGTCATTCCTGCGTAGTGCCATCAGTAAGATAATTATCAACACACAATTTGCATTTAATAAACAGAATCTAGTATGAACTGAATGCAGAGCTCTCCATCTGCTGTAAAGATTCGACCTCCACCATGAAATGCTATTTCTCTTTGCACCGAAAGCTGACTTGAAAGTGGCCCTTAGAAGGTTTAAGCTCAGCATTTGGCTTGCGAGGAAAACCTCAACAAGGAATGCTTTGGTTTCTAATTAATAGCATTGCAACTTATGAAATGCTGTTATTTTGCTGCAGAGGGTGTTCTGCAATGCAAATATTGATGTGAAATCCTCCTAAGAGCGGTTGTGTGGCCTTGTGTTCCCTCTGCTTGCTCTGGGGGATCAGTTAACAAACACTGTTTCAGAGCTGTATATTTTTCCTCTGATATCAAGACAGACAGGAATTTTTTATAAGATGTTAATTTCTAGCTATTTCAGAAATGTATGCAAGGGAATATGCTTCATCTGAACCTGCATGGGGAACGCTACTGCCATATGTATCAGAACAACTTAGCATAGACAAAGCTTTGCTCCTCGTATAGATTGTCTTGATACTTTTACTGTATGAATTTGTTTTTCCCAATGCAAAGCAACAAAGCATTAGAAAGCACATCTGAGAAAATTGAGGAGGATGGAGCAGGAAGCTGAGAGACGTGGAAGAGCAATTCACAGCCTCTTTTCTTTCCCTCGGTCCTGAGTGTATGTTGATGTGGTGTCCCAGCAGACTTCTGGCTGCTCTCTTGACTCACAGCAGACATCACTTGCTGGTCCTGCAGTTCCTTTGGACTGTTGTTATGGATGAGCAAATACAGCACAAGCTCAGCTGGGTGAAATGATTTTGAGCACCTTCTTTCAGTTCACAAAAGCGAGCTCCTCCCAGGTGGCAAACAGGACAGCTGCTTTCCCTCCTTCCAACATGAAACACACCTGGGCAAGTGCTGGAGTGTTTTTTCAGTTACAACCAAAAAGCAAGCAGCTCGATGTAGCTCATGGAAACGCTTCCAGATTAAAATCTGTCCCTCCATGGATCACAGACTGAATCTCTTAGGTTTGCATTGTGCTGGCAGGCTGCACTTTGGTGCTGTTCTGTTGTGCTGAATGCCTGTCAGGTTGTCCCTGGTGCATTGATGCCTGGAGTAACAAATGGGCAGCCCATGGGGATGGGATGTTATCTGCTCTGCCCTTCTGCCTATCTCTGGCTACAGCTTTCCACCTGGCTGCTCCTCAGCAGAGCTAAATAGCTCGTGTTCCTCTGAAGCATGTGTGCCTGAAACCTTTAAAAACGTTCAGTTCCTTCCCTTTCTTAATGATTAAATGCTATTCTTTCTTCATCCACTAGCACAAAGTATTCGTTAGCATGAGGATTCTTCCCTCTGGTGGGTGTTCATCCACAGTGCTCAACTTTTTCTCTGCTGTAGGAATAACCTTACATTTCTTACCCCATGGCACCACGTGTGCTTGGAGGAATCGGTTTGGTTTGCTTCTGAAGAGAGGGGATGCAGCTGCTGTAGTCACACTAAAAGCCTTCACTGTGACAAACCGAGTGCCAGCCCAGTCTGCTGCTGCTTGTGTGCTGTATTGGACCTCTGGCTCCAAGGAGGTGTACTTAAGAGCAGTTATTTAGTTAGTGCTCATGTAACATGCTGCTGTTTTATTCCTGTAGAATCACTGGTTGGTCCTCTGCTTTTGCTCTGTCTGAGAAAGGGGATAGCTCTGTGAGTACTTCAGCTTTTCAGAGGGTTTGAGTTAGGTAGGAAAAAATAAGATATAATCTTAAAAACAGTCTTGCTCACTTTCAGTGCATGTCCTGTGTGTTTGCAGTGCCAGGAGTCTCTTGCTGTTCGGAAAGCTGCCATCCCAGCTATTGATCACTGCCACTTTTGTTTCTACATCAAAATATTTGATAAAATTAGCAATTGGATTCCTCAGCGTTTTTAGTACCACAAATAGACTCCAGATATGTACTGCTGACAAGATTTTGATATTTTTAGGGTTGACACAGCACTCCCTGTTGCAACCTGGGTAGGTGTGCACACTGAGCAGATGGAGGATGGCCGTGGCTGAGTGCAGCAGCAGTGCCTGCTTTGTGCTTCCCTTCGTGCTGTGCTGGCAGTCTCCTGGCACTCTGGGGGGAAGGAATTCATTCTCTTCAGGAGAGAAAGAATAATAAAGCAGAATAGGGAGAAAATTTATTTTGTTTTATTTTTTTTATGTTATGCTTTTTGGGCATAGAGGTACCACCATGACACAAATGGTACAATTATGAAGTGGATGTGTGCAACGTGTTTAAAAAGTAAAAATAAAAACCCAACTAATAGCGAACGTCCTTCTTCCCCCCTACATCCTTCCCCCTCCCTTCTCCCCCCTGTAGGATTCCTGGAAGACTGAATGACAGGAGAACTCCTTTGGGAGAGCTGAACTGGATCTTCACAGCCATCACAGACACCATTGCGTGGAACGTGTTGCCTAGAGGTACGACTTGGGCAGGCAAAGCAAGTTTTCATCAGGAGGGAGTATTGCTTATTCAAAGCAGGATGAAGAGTTAGATAAACGAGACGCTGAAATAAGGAGAAAATTAAAGCTTAATATTGAAAGAACAGCTCAGGCATGATCTTGAGGCTACTTAAATTTTTTATATTCGTTCTTCTCAGCAACAATTTCAGCAACATGATAATTAGAAACTAGGAAGGCTTTTTCCAGTGCTAATGTGATTGCTTTAGCTTGAATAATTTTCTTACTGTATCTGGAAAGAGCAATCTGTTTTCTTGCAACCTTTGTTAGCATCATGGAAAAAACAACAACTTTCTCTCTCTTTGCTGATAAGACCATGTATCTTTTGCCAAATAACTTCACCTCATTTTTCAACCTCTGTTCTGCTCTGAGTTCATTCTTCTAAAGCATGAGCAGCCAGATTTATATACATTTGTATGCTAATGCTCATTGCTGCATAAATACTTCTTTGCCCTTTTAGGAGATAGTGTGTTTGTTATCTTTTACTGTTCACGTTGGCTTTTCGTGGGCACATCAAACTGCCAGTTAGTACTGTAGTTCTTTATTAAATGGTACACACAGGTTCTTTTTTCCCTTACAATGTCCAAATCACTAGAAGTGAAATTCTGTCCAGAAAAGGCAAATCCAGCCTGAAGTAGACAGTAGTTAATTCTTTTCATGTGAAATGCAGAGTAATAGTGATGTTTTAAGGGAACTCAGAGGGCAGATGTCCTTTAAGAGTTGGGATATCCTGCCACTAAAAGACTGCTGTAGATTTTTTTGTTGTTGTTTGAATAAAATCTTTACATATTTTTATCACTTAAATGATTTTTACATAATACCTAGGATACTCGAGTTAAGTAGTAATGCACATGTAGTAATCTGTGCTATCTCTTGACAGATCTTTTTCAGAAGCTCTTCAGGCAAGACCTGCTGGTGGCCAGTTTGTTTCGTAACTTTCTCTTGGCAGAAAGAATTATGAGATCCTACAACTGTACCCCAGTCAGCAGCCCCCGCCTCCCCCCAACGTACATGCATGCAATGTGGTAAGTCACAGAGTTCCCTGTGCTGCAAAGGCTGCTGCTGCTGCCTTAAGGAGATTTGGGGAGCTGTACTCATGAAAGATTGTTACTACTCAAATCTACACGGTGCTTTGCTGATTAAGGCTGCGGATCAAAAATGAAAGAGCATGTGGCAGTGTAAATACCCATCTACAAATTCATTTCTTCTCTTTGCATGCACGAACGTGATGCAGTTCTGCAATACAGAGGTTCTATTCAGCTATGTAATTGTTCGTTCCAAATAGAAAGGGAATGGGACATCATCTTTATTTGCACGGAGCAAAGCTGATCCCCTCTGATTGCAAAGGGTGGGGAGCATTGGGGGCCTAAGGGAGAAAATCATAAGTTGCATTGTAGAGTTCTTTTGCCGCAGAGTTCATCTATTGTCACTGTTGCTTTTAAGATGATTAACAGAAACGGAGGTGGCACAGTTATGTAAAGCCTCTTAAATGTGGTTTTGACTATTGAACAAGCATTCCATTATCAACAGCAATACAAATAATGTTAACAATAACAATAAAAACGCTTGCTTTGATTCTAGAACAGTGTAAAATTTGGCTAAGTACAAGCCAGTATAGTCAAGCTAATGCAATTTCTTTAGGAGAAAAAGATAGCTGTGTGACTTGCTAAAAGGCTGATAGCATGGCAGGTAAAGGTGACTGAATGGGCTTAATTTGCCTGTGTTTTCAGATTCCTTTGGTAAGTTTTCTTCATTAAAACATAGAGGAAAATAAATGTAGTGGTGTTACGAGGTGATAACGATCAGTGCAAACCTGATAGCAGCATCAGTAAGTTCAAATCACGTTGAAGAAATGGAGATAGGGTCACAGAGAGCCCCAGCAGCACTTGTGAGGTGCAGGCAAGGAGTTGGCATTTGCTGGTTGAATGAAGTTGCTTTCAGAATTGGAAAGCTTGGAGGTGATAGGATAGACTTTGGATGGAACCTTCAGCAGGTTGGCAGCCTTGCTGAGTGTATTGTCTGTTTGTACGTGGCAACGTTCTTAAGTGCTCTGAATTAACAACTTTGGAGGAAAATTACTTCAGTTGTTTGTAAATATGGGGAGTGGTCTTATTGTGTGCTGAATCACAGGAGTGAAACTCAGAAGTCCATCCAGGATCCTCTTCTGTTTGCTTGGTCCAATGGTGGATTCTAGAAAGGCTTTCTTCCCTTGTGTTCTTCTGCAAAATGGCACTAAGAATACTGTTATGAAGTCCTTCAGACCATACCATGGGATAGTTGCATTGTTGCTGCTTTTTAGGGTTTACCAAAAGAAGGAATTCCTTAGGAAAAGGCTTTTCTCCCTCTGAATCCCAAACACTGGCAAAGTTGAAAGCGAGTGAGTGGAGAGGATCCCTGGACACGTTTTTCTTCAGTGTCCTAAAAAAGCTGCAGTTTGAATCAAATCTACCAAAGGGGAAAATTCCACTTTTTGTCAGAGGTGGCTCAGTTCTTTATTATGAACTTTCAGTAATGACAGATTTAGAAACTAATTTAGGCCTTGCTTAAATACTTTCTAAAAATAATCACCTGCGCTTACCTATCACTTTTCATTCAGTGCTTTTCTACTGGATTCCAGATCCTCCAGACCCATTTTATTTAGATCAGATGGATGAAGGCAGGGAGAGCTGCTAAATGGGTGCTGAAAAGAACTGAAACTTTGGATTTGATGATCTGTGCTGATAAGTGGTGGAGACTGGATGATGCAGCAGCTTCTGCTGATGGTGGATGTGAATAGAGGCAGTGTGTCTGTTGGTGTTCTTCAAGGATCTGACCTCAAACTTTGGGACTTCCCCACTCCTTGTCCTCTTCTTCCTCTCTTCTATGCTTTCTGGGTGTTGCTTTGTACCTTCCTCTGTTCCCATGGAGTGATGATCCTCTGTGCACCAAGTACACGTTCATGGCTCAGGTTTGGCTTTGTTGCTTGTGGCCTCAGTGTGGCGTAATGTTTAACTTCTCCAGTACAAACATGTATATATTCTCCCTTCCTTTGTCCTCTGGACTTTGCTGTCCATTCACAGTGTCCAGAGAGGACTGCCATGTATCTCTGCTGTTACAGATGTGAGCCATTCTTCAGATTCTGAGCTGAGAAGCAAAGTAAAATGGGATCTACGTGCAGACATGATTTGTGTCCCAGCAGAAGGCTGACTGGAGAAGCAAAGTGCTTCTGCCTTAGTATTATATTTTGCACCATCTTTTGCAGGAAAGGCATAAGTTGACAGCAGCATTTTGCTGAAGTAGTAAGGCACACACAGACCCTTCTGAATTGCATGTGGTACCCTGATCTCAGCAGCAGCAGTGAGTGTACCTGGGCTGCTCTGTGCTGTCCTGCAGCTCCTTCTCTCTGGGAGCCCCTCACATCAGGGAGAGGGGAGCAGCAAGCCCTGCCCCCCTGCAGCTCCTTGGAGGCCTTCTTCCTTTCACTGGCATGCTGTATTTTACCTGCATTAGGTGTAAACCCTCCCAGGCACATGCTGTTGTTATCTGTGGGTGCCTCGTGCTGCAGGTCCCTGGCTGCTGTAGGCACTGTTATAATACACGTATTAATATTAATATATATTGATTAACTGGCTGAGCTGTTCAGATTTGAGAGTTGTTTTGTCTATTGTGCGGTACGAACAGGGGCCTGGTGCTCTGTCAGCATCTTGATCTGTGTTTTGATGGATTACAGTTTATACATTACTGCTGTTGGCAGCAAGTTATATTCACGGCCTTCAAAAAGACCCAATAATGTATTTAGAAATATTTCCTAAGCTGGGACATAGATTAAAAATGAAGTACCTTAATTACACCATGGAAGAACTATGATTTGCCCATAATGGAAATATTGCAATAGTATATAAAGCAGGCATGAAATTGTAGTTGAAAGAAAGTCATAATGCACTGCAAATAAAATACGTGTGGAATTCCAGCTGAAAAGGAAGTCATAATACAGCAACCCAATTACAGGTGGTGAGGAGCAGCAGTCTTTGTGGCAGCAGTGCAGCGCCCTGATTCCTCAGAGAAATGAGTCTCTATTTAGGTACACGGAGCTCTTAGCATCTCAGGAGGAGGAAAGTGATTGTTTGAAAGGGTATTTGGAGCCATTTGGCGTTTGAAGGATGAGTTTAATTCAGATTACGCTGTTGCCATAACCAGATTTTTTGTTTGCATCTGTGTTAACATCTCCCAGACCCATTCGTGGATTGCAGATAGTTTAACAGAGAGAAATGTAGGACCAAGGCAGCAAAGTGTGTGCTTTAAGCTGCGCTTGGAGTAGAGGAGCACAGTGGCAGAAGAAAGCAGGCCTTCAGAGTTGTACCAAATATTCATAGCAATAAATATTGCTTTAAAAATAGCTGTTTGAGCACCTGCCCAGCTGGCTTCCTCTGAAGCAGGCTCAGTGAGTGCACGGTGTCATTGCTGAGCAGGTGAGCTTAGGCTGAGATGTGTACATTCGGTCGAACAGAACATGTTGTTGAGTCGTACTTGCAGAAAAGACAAACACAGAAATCTTATCCAACGTGTTTGATACAGACTGAAATATTTAACAGTTCCAGAAGTCCAAACTCTGAGCAGTAGCCCTGATGCCTGAGCCCTACACTGCTGATGGCTTCAGCTTCTCTGTAGCTGCTCCTTGGTATGGCTGTCCCAGCAAGAAATATCATTTATCACTAATATTATGTGCGGTGCAATATAATACGAGCCATTCCCAGAAAAAGACAGAATGCTAGAAGACATCAATATTACTTTATTAAAAAATGTGACATGAGAATTAAAAGCATTAGGCACTGACTCAGCCTAAGTGGAATGTAAGAAAATCTGCCTTTGTGCTCTGCCAGCTGAGGTGGTGCGTGTGGGTGAAGAGAAACTAAAGCACATCTCTGTAACCATGTTTCATTTATGTTGTTGGGGTATTACTGTGGGCTTCCAGTGCTGAATGTTTCATGGGTTTGCACAATAAAACCGTTGCTGAGCAGAGCTGGCACGCTCAGCCTTCCCTTCTTTGTGCAAAAGTCCAAACTTTGCAGCACCTTGGGGGAAACCAAGTGAAGGCAGCTGGGTGAATTAGCATTAGAATATTAAAAGTTTAAACAGTCCTACTGCAGTGAGATTGGTGTGAGGAGCGGGCAGAGGTGGAGTTGCATTAGCACACAAATGGGAGCTTTGTGCTGAAGGGCTGAAGAGAATTGGAGCTGAAACATAAAGACACGTATGAGTATTTTTATAATGGGAGGAGAGTGTTAATGATTGAGTTCAAGGCAGCTCTTTCCCTGCTGAGTTCTTATTGCGGATAATGGAAGAGTAATGTCTTTCCATTCTTAATTTTCATATATTCTGAGATGTTGTATCCTGTCCTGCGATGATGGCTGGCACCTTGTCTGTTGAGTACCTTGTTGAAGGGATTGATCAGTGCGGATAGAGACGCAGGGCATTGTTGGCTTGTTTTCTTTACAGGCTGTTTCTGTTGGCAGGCTCCATTGCTTCATCTGTATTTCAGAAAACAAAAGTACATTGCTGCCTTTTTTTGTTGTTTCAGTTGAGTCAATCTTCCAACTAAGAGAGAATTTAATATACATTTATTCCAAAATATACACAGGAGGTGTCTGCATCCAAGCATGCTCTGCTCAGTTTTGGAACCAAAGCATCTCCTTTCTCCTCCCAACACAGCTCAAAATCGATGACTTTGAATCCTTTCTTTCATAAGACTGCTTCACAGCACAGCATGGAGGAAACCACAAAGTGCTCGAGCCCCTTTTGAGATGTGGTTCTGTGAAACTTGCTCAGTCCCAACAAGTGCAAGGATACACGTGGCCATGCTGTGAGTTGTTGTGTACAAAGCTTTCGAGCTCGTGCTTTGGTGCTGGCAGCCTGCTGGCTGGGCAGCTCCATGTTGTCCTGCCTCGTGCCTCTGCCAAGTTGGTGCTGCTGGGTTCCTCTAGGTGAGATGGAACCTTCATGTCACCTGCATCGCTGGCTTCAGCCTGCAGGGAACGTTTGGCACACAGAGATAGGGATGAGGACCCTTGAGGTTGTATATGATCATGTTGGGAATAAAGGCGTGCAGGGCTTTTAGTAGTAGTGATATAGGGACATAGAAATAAACTGCTGGGTTTGGAGAAAACAAGCTGAAAATCCTGTTAGGCTTTATAACGTGATTTTTGACATATCAGTGGTGAGTATCAGACCTTCTGTTACACGTATGGTGGCTTCTAATTTAACTGGGGTGTGCAGAGAGCACGTCTCCTGCTTTATGTACAGAGCAATTAGGACAGCGTAGTGTAAAATCCTCATTAACATGCTGTTTAGCAGTGTGGGGAAGCTGGAACACGGCGGTATTTCAGTTGGTTAGAGCCATTGGCTGCATCGTGGTGTCACCTTGCTTAGTTGGGGCTGCGGGGGTGATGGGGAGAATGCAGTGGGAGGGGGAGGAATGGACAGTGCTGAGGTGTTGCCAGGCTCCTGTAGCTGGTGCTGGGATTACAAATCTTCCATAGCACTTTGCAAACAGTAATCTCCATGAAGAAGGAAGGGAGGCAGTGATCTTCTGGGCTGGCCTCTCGTAAATCACTTGTAGGATGCAGTGGCACCCATCCCTGTTCCCCTGCTGCTCCTTAATTTATCTCCTGTTTGTGTGCTAAAGCGTAATATTAGTTCAGGGAGCACATCTACAAACTGCCCACCTTTCTGGTTCCCTTTGGCATATTGAAGCAGTCAATCACTTCCTACCCATCGCCAACAGCCATTATTTTCATGATGGCTCTACCAAGTATTTTTTCCCCTTCTGTTTCTCTTCACATTGTCAGTGGCATCAGTCCTTTACCATTCTCTTGTGGCTGATTTTTGACTCTTAATTACTGCAGTGCCTATTTAAAGCAGCTCTTTATTTTGCCCATACCATGAGTTAGCTATGTGACATCTCATTCATGAATTATGCAGCCCAAAGTCTAGCAAGCGACATGTAGCTGCTCTTGTAGTAGTTGGGAGTAGCGTGATGTTTACTTCAGGCAAAACTGTTGTTTCCTCATGTGTCTGGGTGGGTGGGCAGGTTTGCTGTCTCGTTTCTTACAGAAATGAAGCAGAAACAACATGTTGGGCTACTTGGGAAAGGCTGGAGCATCATTTCAAGTAGTTGAATCGATAAGAATCCCTTAACACAGTTGATGTTAATCAGTAGCTCTCTAGACTGTGATGAGCAGTAACAAGATTTTATATTGCTGGTTACACTCTTTTAAAAGATGGAGTAACGTTAGCTATGTGGCTACATTGATTTTTAATGGCTTGTTTTTTGAAGCGTAAAAAGAGATTTTGTTTTAATCGACTTGAATCGCTTTTTAAATTTTGGGTTGTTCTTCCTGATAACATTTAAAACCTTTGGGAATTGACCCTGCAGGGCTGCTCCAGACATTTTTATAGCAGTATTAGTTCTTCTTACCTAAAATGACTTTGGAGCTCAGCATCTTAGTTCTGTGCCCCTGCAGTATAATGGCCTGTGCACGATTCTTTTATAGGCAGCCAAAATCAGACCGGTTGTCTCTGATCTCCAAACCATTTTCCTCCCACCTCATAAAACTCCTCTCAAAGGCTGTATTTATTGGTGTTTTCTGAAGTCTGACAGAATTTCTTTAGGTGACACTCCCCATTCCTCCAAGCACCTCCAAGTCAGAAATGTTCATCCTTTACTTGTAGCGAGATTATCTTTATAATTGGACTAATTGACTTTTCCTCCTCCACGAATAAATCTCTCTCATCAGCTCCACACAAACATTTTGTCTCCAGCATGGGTCTTTATTGAGCATGTGGGAAGCATTTGTTGCCTGTGCTTTGATTATCTCTTGATTATCTCTTAATTATATTGGCAGCATACTGTCAAGTGGAAGGTGAATGCTGTGAAGCCGAGGGACAACTAAAACAAGCTGCAGCTCTTGAACCCATGGAAAAATGCGAGATCCCTGTGGTTTATCTTTCCATTTAATTGGAGAGATTGGTTTTAGTTGAGAGTAGCTGCCACTGAATCCAATGGGATGGATTTTGCTTGGTAGTTGTTCTAATGGGAGGCTTTGTCTGACTCCAGGCGAGGTGATTTAAGAACTTATTAGAGCAGGTAACTAAAATACGCCGTATTGATTATCACCTATGGCCTTCTGTCTGCAAGTGTTCCTAGGAGGAGAAAAATTGCTTAGCCTATTGATGGTAGCACATGATGGCCACAAGTCATTAAAGAGCTAATGTGTCTGGAGAGTAAATTAGGTTCTTTTGTTTAAGAAACCCATAGGGTGGTGGTTTAACTCACTAGCCTTTCAGAGTGCATAAATCCATATGCTAAAATGAAAAGTGCCTGGAATGTCTATGTATAGAGTAGGGATAATGGTTTCTTGGGTAGGATGTACCTCTTTCACATTTTTAGATGTGTTTCAGGAACTCTGGAGACGAAATCCTTTTATTTTAATTTGCACCTCTTTCAGTTTGACTGTGAGCATTTGGAAGCAGATAGGTATCAATTTCATTTGCACTGCATCTACCACAACAGCTTCCCTTGCCACTGCACGTGGTTTATGTGCTGTTAGTATTACAGATCACCATACTTCAGCTATTCTATAGCCTAGTGGATAAGTGTAAAAACAGTTAGGAAGAAGGAACACTAAGTGTTGTGCAGCCGATCTGACAGCACTGCTTTATCCATATTCTTGTATGACGTTGCTTATGAATAACTCTGATAACTTCTCTTTCCTCTTTCATCTTTTTCTGTAGGCAAGCGTGGGACCTTGCTGTTGATATTTGCCTTTCCCAATTACCTACAATTATAGAGGAAGGAACTGCATTTAGGGTAAGTCACACGATGTATTGAAATGTCTCCTTGTTTAACCCATTATTTGAAGCCTCAGCTCAGCACGTCACTTTTTCTTATTGAATCTTGAATTTAATGGTTTTTTTTTTTTTTTTTTTTGAAAACTGTAAATCCAGATTCACCTCACTTAGAGGAAATATATGTGGATTTGGAATATTCATATCTAATTATAGCAAGCAGCAAGCATCCTATCTTCGAACATGAATTCACTGCTGGAAGTGTACCCAAATAGATTCTGTAAACAGCTGCCATCTCCATGTAGATAGGAGTGAAGTTTCAGAGTTTTCTGAAATGCTTTAGTGATTGAGTTGGTTCAAAATTGGAAAAAAAAAAATCCACCATAGCCATACAGTTTCTACTTTTTAAAAAGGTGTTCTTAAATTAAATGACTATTTCCACTGAAACAAGCACTAAAAAGAAAAACAGACATCTGCTTTGTGCTTTTCTTCACAACCAGCACTTCTGGTGTGGCTGATTGGGCAGAAGTGTGGAATGTCACTTGGAAACATAGAAAGCCCAGAGCCCAGCAAGAGGAGAACGATCTGTGCATTGCCCCCTGCTCACAGAGCAGCTGGGGAGTGTGGGGGGGTGCCTTTACAGCCTTGTAAATGCAACTGGAATAGAACCAATTTTACTCTGATGTTCTTGTATTATATTTATGATACCAAACTTCATAAAGGCTTTCTGGCAGTGATTGCAGATGGTCTCCAAAGACCCAAATACAGGAGGACAGCCATTAACTTCTGCAAGGATGGGGGTTGATAAAGATGCCCTTTAATTCTCCCACCTCTTTTTTCACCCACTCTACGTGCTGTATTTTAAAATGTACATAAATACAAGTCTGCCAACCTGTTCATTTTTATATCAGGTATCTGACAATATCAGTTGGGTACCTTTATGTTAGATTTGGATACCATCTGTCCACCCACTGTCATGTGAGTTGAAATTTACCAAATTTATGTCTATTCAGGGATGGAAGAAGGCAAATACTTGACTCAGAGGATCAGCACGTGTCCTGCCTGGTTAATATTGTGTAGGTCTGTGCCTGTTCCTGCAGAGAGAGGACCTGTTGAAGGTCTCCATCAGGCACCTAGAGAAATAGTAGGAAACTTGGCTATTAGTTTAGGAGGATGTGGAAGGGCTCAGCTTTACACTGTGACAAATGCTTGCAGAAGACAGGCAATTGCACATCTTTGATCTGTTCCTTGTGTTCTAATCAAAGTTTCGCCCTCACACCTCTTGATTTATGCCAGCAGGAAGCGGTGTTTATCATCAGAGGTTGGCAGTTGCTGGGCAGCAGTAATCTGGGCAACAGTGGTGGCTTGGGGTGGGGAGAGCATTTATGTTCCTGAGGTCAGACCACCATTTCATAACAAGGCTGCCCGGTGAGTCACAGCATCACCTGCTGCCAGCCCTTCCTCCATCCCTGCCACCACTGCAGGCTGGGTGCCTGGGCTGGCCTGGCCTGAACGAAGCAGCTGGTAATCTCTTCAAGGCTGGTTTGTTTCAGCAGCACATTATAAACCTGCTCATGTCTTCTGCTTATTCTCTAGCTGTTCTTTGCTACTCAAACCTGCAAAATGTAATAATTTGCTGGAGCCGAGCCTGGAGACTAATGTGGGAAGTGGGCTCCTAGCAGCTCGGAGTGGGCATGAGTTCCTGATCCCACCTCCTCCCTGTCCTCAGCCCTCAGCTTTGTTTCCATCTGGGTTTGTGGATGGGGTCAGTGTTCTCTCAAACAACTCTGTGCAAAAGGAAGGTTTCCTCCAGCACTGGGGATGCTGCCCTGGCCAGGGATGTTGCTGAGCCCCAGGGCTGTCCAAGAGCACGCCGTGAGCTCTGGGGACTCTGTCACATCATTGACCACTCACCACTGCTGTTAGGAGAGCAGAGGTGTTGGATGCACCCAAGCTGCCTCCTGGTACTTCAGTGTCACATCTCCCCAAGTACTCTTCTTATTTCATCAGCCAGTGAACCTGCTTCATCAAAGCAAAGCCATAGCTGCATTGTGCTTTCGAAAGCCTGCGGTATTTTCTTTTCTCCTGCATGTCTAGCAGTACCACAAACTAATTTTATAGGCTTTTCCCTGGTGCTTTTCACACTAATGTCTAAGCACCAAAGCCCAGCTGAGAGGTATTAACTGATGCTGGGAGCTCATCCCACCTGATGAACTTCAGGAGGGCAGTGTTAAAGTGTACTGAATGCTGCAATTCTGCGTGCTACTTCTGTGCTCATTTACCCACACTGCCAGGATATCTCTATTGGTGGATTATCACTAATTAAATTAGTGGATTCAGTACTGTAAGTAAACTTTCCATTCTTTGTTTGCCTACACAAAGTACTGTGTCTGTGTTCACTGTGCTGGGCAGAGGCAGCAGTGTGTGCCACGGGAGTGAAAACTGCCTCTGCAGAGCAAATGAAGGCAATTCTGCTGTGGCTGCTTCTCATGTGGAAGGGATTAGCTAGATTTCCCCAAGAGCTTTTGTGATATCTTTTCCAGTTTCTCTGCTTTTTCCTTCTTTTTCAAACACATTAGTTAAATGCCAGTATATTTAAAGGAAACCACATCTGATCAGTCTCTGGAAAAAAAAGAAAAATTGCAGTAAAAAGCAAACCAACCAAACATCTGCCAATTACTGTTTTTACAACCAATACACCGTGTGTGAGCCCACAGATGCTAAATCTAGTTGCTTTGCTCATTGTAGAGTCAAACATGCCATCTGTATTCTTGTTCCAACAGCACAGCCCCTTCTTCGCAGAGCAGCTGACTGCATTCCAGGTGTGGCTGACGATGGGTGTGGAGAACCGCAACCCCCCCGAGCAGCTGCCCATCGTCCTGCAGGTGAGCAGCCCTGGGCACAGAAATACCTCAGCTCCTCCAGGATTAACGAGGGCTGACGACACGTCTGCTGGATCTGTGCAGATGAGGACAAGGTGCTTTTCTTCCCCCATGCCTTCCCTTTCCATTGAGCACAACTTGCCGTGGCCACAGCCATTGGGCTGCCTCGTGTTTTGCTCTGAAGTAGCAAGACTTTTTTGCAGAGTAGCACATCTTTCTTGTTTCCTCCTGTAGCACCTCCTCTTATATCCCAGCCATTTCAGGCAGAGACTTTATCTTCTGCCTGCTTTCACAAAATGAGCATTACTGCAGTGTGAATAGTTTGGAAATAGATTATTTTTCTGTGCTGCTGGTACAGCCTGGAAAGTGTTGCCTTTAATGGGATGCTGAAATTTTGTTGCAAGAACATAGAAACAAGTCTCTGAAGACCATGCCTGGAAGGAACATAGGGTTCTGGTAGACATTTGCTTAGATGAGATGAAATTCATTTTTAGAAAGAAGTAAATCCAGAGGAAACAACACCTCATTTCAAGTCACCTTTTATCCAAGAGAAATATAGCAGTTGTTCATCTGTTCTTGCCCTCCCCTCTCCACCTGTTTGCATTGACAGAAATACAAACCCTAATTGAGATTGCTGTGGTCTCTTCTCTATCACGCTACAAAATTTAAAGTCTTCCTGTTTAAAGAAATACGATTCCAATCACTTATCCAGAGACCTGTGATTTCTTTCACTAAATGTGAGAAGACTTGCCTTCCCTGTTAGCTGCCAGCTTGTTCTGTGACTGACAGCACCATCAATCATTGTGAGACCGAATCTTAATTTCCCTGAGCCTTCCAAGTCTTGAGAGATCAGCTGGATAAACAAATGTAAGGTTTATCTCGGTCACTGCAATAGGAGAAGGCAGGCTTCTGCTCCAGCACCAACTTTGCTGCTTTCCAGTGAATTATTTGACACCGGAGGGCTCTGCAGCAGCTTAACCTTGCAGTGGAATTGAGAGGTCATCTGGCAAAGGAATCTGCTTTCCTTCCTGGAGCAAAAATGAGCTAGGACAATGTAATTATTCTTTTAATTAAGGTATATGTAGTTGTAGAGTGGAATAAGATGACTTGTTAACAGGTTTGAGGTGGTTTGAAGCAGAGTGACTGCTTAAGAGAGGAGAGGAATTGTTTCACACCTCTTGCTGAGTGTCTTTTTGCTTTGAGCCCCTGGGAGCACTTATACTGTGCTGCTGCAGCCTGAGGTTGATTCTGTTTTCCCATTTTAGATGTGCCACCAGAGAAAAATGGTGTTTGAGTGCCAGGGGCACAGTGCCAGCCATGCAAAGCTTGGCTTTGTGTTGGACAAGGAAACCACTCTTCGTACATGGCCTTTCTTGACTTCAAGAAGTTCCAAATTGCATTTCAGGTTTGTGCTGTGCTTGGACACAGGTGACCTCCTGGTGCAGGGACAAAGAAATTATCAAAAGCAGAAGTTAGCAGCTGCAGATCCTGGTGGAGGTGCCTCCTGCCATGGGTTGCTGGCGCACGTGGCCAAGGCTGTGCCCACTGCAAGCCCTGGAGAGCTGTTGCTGCAGTCCTCTTCTTCCCTCTGTGTTTGTTAGGGAATTCCTAGTCAGGGAGGGATGTCATGCAGCCCTGAGCACACAGTGGCACAGTGTAGCAACTTAATTTCACTCCAAGTAAATTGTGCATAGAGTCCCCACATCCTCATCCAGGTCTCCAGAGTTTGTGTCAGTTGTGGCCTCAGTTTATTGTTCGAGTCAGATTGGGAAGTGTGAAGACAAAAACCTGAGAGTCAGTGCTGGCTTTTTTGTTTCTGAGAATAATGAAACAGAGCCTTTGAAAGAAGAATCCTTTTCAATTGCATCCATTTATTTCCAGCTACAGCAAAATGTATGGCCTTCCTTGTTTGTTTTTTCTGAAGGTTGGATAACAGAAGCATTGCCAAATCTCTCTGCCCAATGTGTCTGTAAGCACCCTGCACCTAACGTGCTCCTCTTTCTGTTGTTTCAGCTCTGCCCCAGCTTCCACCATGCCCTGGTTTCTCTTGCTGCTTTAATCTCAAACATCTGGCCCTGTTATTCCTGTGCTGGGCATCTTTAAAGCACATGGTTAATCACGCCAAGTTCTGTATTAAGTTTATGGAATAGGTTGGTGCCAAGTAGGGCAAGATGACCAAAATGCTTTCTCTTATGACCTGTCTCGGGATCTGAGCAAGGATATTCAGACATGAAACCATTAGAGGGATTAATACACCCTCCCATGTAACTGTCATTTTCCTCTGGACTTTCTCTGCACAACTTCAGTATCCAGTGTCACTTGTCCATGGTATGAGGTCTGCGCCAAGTAATTTAGTTGTTATTCTGTATTAAACATGAAAAATAATTTAATTTGCATCTGCATTGTGGAAAGAAACATTGAGATGGGGATGGAACTGGGGAGCTAAATCAACGAGTTGCCTTCCCTGAGATCCATGCTGAGGGATGGTGCTCAATTTAAACTGAGGATTAAATGTTGCATTCCAATATCTTACATCTGTTAAGGAGATTAAGAACTGAAAGTCTGTCTGTTAATATTTCACACCAGGGTAGGTATAAGCCAGTAAACTATCACCTCATTATCGTTGTCAGACTCCATTTTAATGAGATTTTTATTAATGACTAATGTGACCTTTTGCTTCCCTCTTAAGTCTCTTATATTGATTTGCTGAGGAAGCAAAGCCTCTTTTTCTGCTTCTGAGCTGTTTTGAGTACTGGCAGGCTGCTCCTTTTGCTCACCTTCGAATCCTTCCTGCAGATACAATCCTATTGCTCCTTTTCTGAGGAAAGGCAGGAAGATGAGACTGTTTGAAATCCATAGTGGCTGCTTCCACCTAGCAGAGCTGAGCTGCATAGGAACCATTGCACTGGAGAGAAATATTAACAGGGAGAGAACTGGGGCACCAGTTGGAGACTGAGGTTAGCTGCCTTCTGAGGGAAAGATTTGTGAGTGTCTGCAAAACCTCATGGAAGAGAGCAGTGCTGGGGGGCAGTGCCCCACTGCTGACACTGTTCAGTAGAGTGAAGGATCTCAGCAACCAGGGTTTGTCTTTCAGCTTTTCCCATTCAGATCATCAGTGTTTTTCTAAGTTACGTGAGGTCCTCCTACATTTGCTCTGCAGTCACAAGGAGCTTTGTTCCCTGATAGTAACTGTTGTCCCTTTCCTCTGCAGGTTCTGCTGAGTCAGGTGCATCGGCTGCGAGCTCTGGATCTGCTGGGAAGATTTCTGGACCTGGGGCCCTGGGCAGTTAGCTTGGTGTGTTTGTGCTGCATTTTGTCTTGTGAAAGACAATTAGACTCTCGGTACAGGTAGTAAATATAAATGATGATTTACGGAAGGAAGATGTGGAAGATACTCCACAGATTTGACAAATGGCTGCTGTTTTTTGTAGTCATGCATATGGAATGGAGCAAGCATCTCTAAAAGAAAAGTGGTTTGTGTTAATCAAGAAGGCCGAATAGCTTTTCATTTGTGCTATTATGAAGAGGAGTTATTTAGACAAAGTTCAGTGTAATATAATGGAAGCTACAAAACAGAAGGCAGCATCCAGGACAAATAAGGAGGTTTGTCATGTAAAATAAATAACAACAAAAAGCCCATATGTTCGTCATCCTCTGCTCTCCTCAGCTTACTGGCTGCATCGTTTCTTCTCTTCCTTTATCTATTTGGTCTCTGGGTTGTATAAGCTCTTCTGAGAGGAGGCAGCTGCCTTCTGTGTTTTGGAATTGGCTTGCATGGTGCAGGTAATAAGTAAGAACGTAGCAGAGGAGCAGTTTAAAGCACTCTTGTAAATGGATCTGTTTGTTGATAACAGTGATGAAGACAAACCAGCAGCTGGCAGTGGGATACCTCCAGGATGGGGCTTCTTGTTGGCTTTCTTTCCCTCCCATTTTCATCTCAGACAAGGCTCCTTCCTGCACCACAGACAGCTTAGCCCACAGCAGCACGAGGAAAGTATGATCTTAAGCTTCCTAGATTAGAAACTTTCATGAGGGTCAGCACATGATGCAGGGCATCCGTAATGACCTCTGCTGCAGCTGTTCTGCTCCTCATGAACTGCAACTCCACTGCTGTGTGGTGCCATGCTGCAGCCCAGGGAGCCCCCAGAGCCTCCAGCACTGGCACATCCCCTCCTCCTCCTCATGCTTCCCTCCCGTTGCCCTTTGGGAAGGGATCTGCAGTCACGGAGAGGTTCTCAGAGATTTAACGAGTTGCGTGTGCTCCTGTGAGCAAAAGGCTTGGTAAAAAGCGAGAGGCCTAGTTAATTTCCAGTGGGAAGGCTGTAATTATTGAGCTTTTGCAATATGTTTACTTGTGAAAGCAAATGGCCCCATCTGAGAAGAGCACAGCGTATCGTGAAGCATAAAATAGCACAGGCTGTAACGAGAAGGAGCGAGTGCTAGATTAACTCTGAGTCTCACCGGGCCAAATGAGTCTGAAAATATCTGGTGACATCCACGATTAAAATGAGCAATAGAGGGATCCCTTCTTTACTAGGAACGTATGAAATTGCATTCTACCAGGTTTTTCATCTGTGTCATTCAGATCTGCTCCATCTCTGCAAAGCGGGCAGCGCTGCCCCAGTGCAGAGCAGTGCCATAGGGCTGAGATGTCTCTGAGCATTTGCTCTTCTCTCTGGCTCCCCAGGCGCTGTCTGTTGGCATTTTCCCGTATGTGCTGAAGCTGCTTCAAAGTTCAGCTCGTGAGCTGAGACCGCTTCTTGTCTTCATCTGGGCCAAAATTCTCGCAGTGGACAGTGTGAGTACTTGTCAGCATGGCTGCTTTCTCTGGTTTTCAGCAACGTGCCTTTATTTTCCCATTTGTTTCATCCAGTTGCTTTGGAATTTAGAATTTCTCATGAGGCGCTTCAAAAGGATGCTGTATTATCTGAGGACCGGCGTATCTCCTCATTTCTTTATTTCACTTGTGTGCAAGCTGGCTTCTGCAATTTTGTGAATATGAAATCCCCATTCAGGTACTGGCAAGCTGGACTGCCCACTTCTTCATGCATCCGTGAGATGAAGGCATGTTTGCTCTGTGCAAATGCTTCAACATCACATTAATGTTCCCACCTTAGTTCCTCCTTTGGTCCTATGGTGCTCAGGGGGGAGGGCCGTCAGATCTCCCTGACTGCAACTTTACTGGGTAGAGTACTGCTTCATGTGCTGAGGGGCTTAAAATGCCCCTTTGTTCCCCTTCACGCCCTGTGTTCTCACCTGTTCCCCCTCACATTTTTCATTTTAAATTGTTATCAAACTTGTTTTGTTCAAAATCGTTTCTGTCAGTGTCAGAACAGCCCCTGCCTGGTCTTCAGACCCTGATTCTTTCTGGAAATAAAGCAGAACTGATTTTTTGGTGATTTGCATTTAAGAGTCCTCTTGCAAGTCCCCTGTGATAGTACTTACATGCAGTGCTGCACTGAACATGGTTGGCATAGCAGTATCTGTTGCCTAGAGAAGACAGTTCGTTCCTATCACAGGTCTGTGATTCTGCCTTTCTCTGCAATATTTTGGCACCTTTGGGCTAAAGCTTAAAAACTGAGCCCTGTTATTTTATTTTTTCTTTAAAAATGGCCTTACCCAGAGCTCTGGGTTTGGTTTTGTTTTAAATAAATAATTAAACCAAGAAGTAATTATAGATAAATTTGTATTGTCACATGTGTGGCTCTGTGGTTTGTGAGTACAATTAGTTGAGCAATTTAAAGTTATTAAGAGAGGTGCACACAGATAATTGCAGGCACAGTTGTAAGCTGATATAAAATTGTCTGAACTGCTTGTAGAAGTTGGCTTTTGCTTATTTTGGGATTTGTTTTTGTTAGGTCTCTTCCATTTCACTATGGAAAATAATGCTGATTTTGTTGGAATTTTTCCCTACTGTTGATACAGCATTGTCGGGTTTGGTTTTATAAATATATTTTCATTAACATCCTAAGAGGATTTTGGAAAGCAAAGAAAATGAAAACTATTCATCTTAAAGCTACTCTTGAAAAGCTTATTTTGATGCATGCCCCTCTGCAGCTCAGGCTTCAGCCCCAGGTAGCTTTCAGAGGGGGCTCATGTATAATTCACGTGGGTGCTGAGCCATCCTTCACTGTCTCTGTATTGAAGCCAATCTGAGAGTGCTTCCTTCCCCTGCACAATCCTGCCACCATCAGTGTTGCTCCCTGCTATGTTTTACTGCCCCACTCCTTTGGTAGACTGCTTTAAAAAACAACAACAACAACAACCAACATACCAAAAATACACACAAAAAAACCCCAGCCAAAATACTTGGGTTCCTTTCCATTATTTTTTCATTCCCAGCTCCCAGGCAGTGGTGTGAGAAGGGAGAAGGCAGTGACAGCAGGCAGGTGGGATGAGTGCTGCTGAGGGAGGGGAGGGGACAGGGCGCGTGTGGTGATGGAGCAAACGTGTTGTAATAGCAGAAAGCTAAGGGGGAAAAAATACCCAAAAAACAATTGACAAAACCATGCTGAAAAGAAGTAAGTAGTGCTAACGTGGGACAGCAAAGACACAGATCTCAGCACTCCAAATAATTGGCTGAAAACAATAGAAACCAAACATTTCTCACACTGTTCTAAGGAATTAAGAGGCGTAAATAGCATCCCTGCTTCCCAGCTGTGACCTCTGCTACCAGGATGGTGATGCCAGCTCATGGTGCTGGCTCTCCATGTTGTTCCCAGGATCTAACAGTGAGGGTTTACTTAAATGTATTGGTTCCATTGGAGCTGCCCCTTCCTGGAGCTCCACGTGGGGGGCAGCAATGGGAGCAGTGAGAGCGGTGTGATGATGGGCAGTGCCCTCTGGGTTGGTGCCTGTTTGCCTCCTGTGCAGCTGAGAAATGTTTGGTTTTTTTTTTTTCCCCAAAGAGTAAAGAGTGTTCATGCTCAGAATGAAGTGGGGAGAAAAAAAGCTTTTTTTTTTTCACTATGTGTGTGTGTGCAATATTACACAAAAGTCAGGGAAGCCTCTCGTAGCTGCAGCCTGGCATCAATCCATTCCCTCTGCTCTTTGGTCTGCCAAAACCAGCATCTCTACTCCCTTCAGCAATAAAATATTCTCTTGCATCTCTGTCTTGCCATCTCCTTGCCTTTCAACAATTAGTTTCCTCCTTCACCTTCTATGCCTGATAAAAAATACATGATTCTGTCTCTGGTGTGAAGCATACAATAGAACTGCTGTCACAAGGGAAATCGAATGCCAAGTCAGTTTTCACTCACCTAAATTTTCACTTTAATAATATGTATTTTCTTGGTTTGACCCTACTATGTCATACATGAAGCCTGACTTTGTATGTTTGCAAAAAGAGCTGTGAGAGGGAGTTCTTGGTGCATGCTGTGCTGTGGGATCAGGGCCGTGTGCTCCACTGCTGGTGCTGCCCCAACAGCTGCATCCCTTGCCTACAGAGCTCTGAAGACAGTGATGTTCCTCCATGGGCTCTGACTGTGTGTAGCAGGAGATCGTGTCACCGTGTGCTGGTAGCGTGCCAGTTCAGTGTGCCTCAGCATTTGACCAAATAATGCAGAGATTAGAGACGTGTGTGCGATGAATTGAAATCTTCTTGTCAAAATACAGTCCCGCCTGGGCAGGGGATTGGATGGAACACAGGGAACGAATAATTCCTTCTCCATCCCCCTGCAGATTTACTGGTAATCGCTTGCTGATGTGGGTCACTGTATGCAAACACGTGCTAGGTTTGTTCAGTGCTGCAGTCTGAGATGTCCTGGTGCACAGGACAGTGCTTTAACGTTCCCGTGGATGGTCCTGCATCCTGAAGCAAAAAAGTGCTCATTGCCTTGGCATCAACACCTTCTGATCAGATTCCTCTGAGGTTTTGCTTTCGATGGCTCTCAAATAACAGTGAAGGTGCAGTGTGGGTCAGAGATGTCAGGTGTGCTCTTCTCCCCAGTGAGAGGGCACGTCTTAAGTTGTTTGTCTGTCACTGCTGGAGGTGAAGTGTGTGCTTCTCTGCTGTGTGCAGACACTTGGCCGTGGCTCTGATGGAGGGCTGGCTCTTTCCTTCCGTTCTCACATGAAAACTAGATTGGAGAAAAATGATTAAAGCATGGAATATGCACGCACCATTGAAAGAACGAATATTTTTGCTACTGTACTCACTGCTTTTTCTCCTTCTCTCTGTCTTGTTTCAGTCATGTCAAGCTGACCTTGTGAAGGACAACGGTCACAAGTATTTCCTTTCCGTTTTGGCAGATCCTTACATGCCAGTAAGAACAAGTCATCTTTATTCAGGCTCTTCCAGCACTTGCTCAGCTTGTCAGGGTTTGTACGCTGCTTTCTGACACGGTGCTGCTAATGAGGGCTGCTCCCACCTCCAGCTCTGGGACCCACTGCAGCCACTGCCAGGGGAGCTGGTGCTGCTGCTGGGCTGCGTGATGCAGGCAGCCGCCAAACAGGGAGCTGCAAACTTGCCTAAAGATATTTAAGCATGAATTACTCAGAAAGATAGGAGCTGTGGGCTTCTGGGGGCTGGGTGCAGAGGCAGGCTCATTTCGCTGTAACTTTCGTAATTCTCTCTGCAAAAGTTTTTTTTTGTGGTTTCCTGTAATGAGTATTTGTATGCCTCCTCCAGAACAATACCCAGGGGTTGGTTGGGAGGATCGTATTGGCAGCCTGATGATATGAGATTATGAAGTGTCTGAGGAGTGTGACAGAATGACAGGAAAATCCTGGCTTTCTCTCCCTTCTTGCTCTTTTAATGTGATAGAAACCATACTCAGAATAAGCCCATGTTTCAGAAAACATGGAAGGTGGTTGTTCTCTGACCTGTTTTGTAGATAACAATTAGTTGTATGTTGTTTTAAGGCTGAACACAGGACAATGACCGCTTTTATTCTGGCTGTAATTGTTAACAACTACAACACAGGACAGGTGAGTCCCAGCATCCTCTTTCCTTTTGTTGTTTCTCCTCTCTCTCCTCTGCATTGTGCCTTTATTTTGATGATGAACGTGTCTTGGCTCACATTTGCACAACCCTGAACTAAAGAACTGAAATAGAAGATAGCTTTACATTAGGGTTGTTTTTTTGGTTGGTTTTTTTTTTTTTTGGTGGAGTAAAAGAAGAATTGGCCTGGGGGTGTCATAAACACACAATCCAAATGTGTCTGCTGGAAGAGGAGCTTAAGGACGCACCAGCTGCCCTCCAGGCAGTGCACTGATGTGCTGGTAGAGAAATAGCACCTACTTCTGTCAAGTGAGAATTTGATGGCTGTGATACAGTTCTTGGGAAGGATATATGGAAGGAGCCATAAACCTTAGGGCTCTGACAAGTGCAAAGGAGTATTTCTAATGAGGAGAAAAACAGGCTTTATGCATCACAGGAAGTATTTCTAATGCTGAACTATTTAGCTACTGCAGCATGTAGTTGACCTTGCCCCTATGCTGCTTCCAAATGGTGTTTTGTAACAGAATCAGTATATAACCAAAGGATAATTATTTTCTTTTGGTTTCTGCTCTATTTCTTCTTTTTTGATGATGAGGTGGGAAGCTGTCAACCAAAATAAATGGCATTGATTTGTGTTTTAGGAAGCCTGCCTTCAAGGAAACCTGATTGCTATTTGCCTGGAACAGTTGAACGATCCGCATCCTCTCCTGCGTCAGTGGGTGGCCATTTGTTTGGGGCGTATTTGGCAGAACTTTGACTCAGCCAGGTGGTGTGGTGTGAGAGACAGCGCTCATGAAAAGCTCTACAGTCTCCTCTCTGATCCAATCCCAGAGGTAAGCATTCCAACTGTTTAAATAAACACCAACCGAATTGTTAGAATTGCGAAAGCAGGCTGCAGGAATACTTACAGAAACAGTGCCTTCAAGGGCTTCATGATTGTGTTTGGTTCAGAGAAAAACATCTTATTGCTCTTCCTTCAAGATGGTTCAAATCACACGAGCCCTGTGAGAGAAGCTACTGAGGAAATGTAGGGGCTGTTCATACAGCCCAAGTCTCAGAATCTTGGAACTGGCACAAGGAGGCACCCCCTTTTTTACTTCCTTGCATATCAGAAGCTTTTTAAAACAAGTGGTCCCAAAACTCACTCTGTGTTTCAAAAAACCATCTCATCTTTTTATTTGAGTACGAAAGCTCTTCTCCTGGTATGTGTGAAAGTACATCTTTAACTGAATGTGTTTTACTCTCGTGACCAAATCTCCAAGAGAGCAGAGATTCTTGTGCAGAGTTTGGCTGTGATTGACAGAGCCTGTCAGACCCTTGTGGGATTACGTGGTGTGTGGGAGAAGTAAGCCTGGAGATAAACACCACTGCTGACTTGCAGTGATTAAAGATTAGCTTCCCTTTTACACCCAGTCCTTCTCTCCTGTATCTTCTACCTCCTTTCTCTTGCCTAATCTTTCCCACACTCTGTAATCCATATTTGTGCAGTGGTCGGGTTGACCTGTCTTTATGACACATCTGCACCTCTGTTTGAGAAGCCAGGGTGATCGTTTCTGCTCTATGAAGCACGTCCTGCACTTGCTGATTATACTGTATCCCCACCGTTTTTGCTCTCTGCCAAGGCAGGCTGTAAGTTTACCAAGCCATCTGATCCCTCTGTTCTTTGTGTAATCTGGCAAAATCTACCTTGATTGCAGCTGCTGCCTCTTTCTTTTTCCCAACTTGTTACCTTTCTGCATGCCCTTAACTGAAGGCTGGAGTTCAGTGCTCTTGTTAAAGAGATTCACATGCCAACCGTAACTCCCTGTATGCCTTACTCCTATTAATTAATATTCTAGGCAGTGTCAACTGGAAAAATCACCCATGGGAAGGTCACTGAGTATTCTGGGAAATTAAATGTACTCCTTCATCTGTGAATACTTATAACTCAGCGCTTTGATGAACCTGGTTTGGTTCTTAGTCTCTGTGGGCTTCCATTCAGCCCTCACTATTTACTTGACACAGCAGCCCAGGTTTCCAGAGACACCATTTGTGGGTATAAGAGCTCCCAATAGCAAACTTGAGGCTGGAACGGAGAAGAAAACTAATGAGGAATGTTTCCCTCCCCCAGGTTCGCTGTGCTGCCGTCTTTGCACTGGGAACATTTGTGGGCAACTCAGCAGAACGGACCGACCACTCCACCACCATCGACCACAACGTGGCCATGATGCTGGCCCAGCTCATCAACGATGGGAGCCCCATGGTTCGGAAGGTACGGGCAGGGCTGCTCTGCAGGAGTTTGCTGGAGCTGTGCTGCCAAGCTCTGTGCTACACTGAACAGAATGCATTATTTAATAGGCTTTTCACTGATTTTTATTTTTGTTGTTTTTAATTTTAAGAGAATGCAGTGATGAAGGTAAGGAAGGAGAGTGGTATCGCAAAAGGACTTGTCAATGCACTTCTGTTGGTTCCTGTTTTGATTGAAAATTTTCTCATTACACGGACTCAGTGAAATAGTAATTTCTTGCTGGAAACATGGAGTATGCATTGGTCCTAGGTGAGGAAGAGGAGAGGGAAGTAAGAGGGCTGTGAGAGAAAATGAGAGCTCACATCAGATCCTGTTGCTTTTGGAAACCGTAAGGAAGGATGACAGATTGGTTCAAAATAATTCTTCAGGTTCTGGAGTATTATTTTCTGATGCACCATTGTACAACAATAGCACGTTAAATACTTTTTGATGTTTTCAGTTGTTCTTGATGGGATGCACTTAGGTGTCCTAACGTTTGTGTCTGCTTAACCGGAACATCAATACCCTGACAAGTTGTCACCAGCACTGTGAGGATTAATTTTTGCTGTCTTGTTCTAGCATTTATCAATTTAACTCAAGAGAGAACTGCATGTCCCACTGTATGCTCTTTGAGATTCATAAATCTCTATTTTGAAGATTTGTCCTCTGAACAGAGAACAGCGAGAAATGCCCGTTCTCCACCTCTCCTTTTTGCTATTTCCACATGCCCAGCAAATGCTACCTATCTGTGGGTCTGAACTCCACCACCTCCTCCTTCCCCATCCCTGTAATTGAAGGTTCCTAAGCTGCACCTCTGGGAATGAATTGGCTGTGAATTGGCTGAACTGTCCTTTGTGGGTGTGCAGCGTGGTCCTCACGTTGGCTGTTGATGTGGAGGTCGGGGCTCCGAGGCGGAGAGCTGAGCCACGTCCCCAGGGTCCACATGTCAAATTCTGTTTCCTTCTGCTCAGAGCAAATGTAGGACAGGCTGTGGGGCGAAAGCTTGGCTCCCTGTTTGTGTGGCACAGGGATGGGGTCATGCTGTGCCACTGCAGGCTGTGCACCCATCCCAGCTCACTGCTGCTCACATGCAAGAGAGCTGGGCGTTAATTCAGTGCTTTCTGGGACTCAGCATCGTTCCACAATATCAGGCAGAATCAAAGAGCAGTGGCAGACTGTTCAGGTAGAAAAGACTTGTTGTGAAGAATTAATTTTGAAATGGAGCACTTTGCCTTTTTTCAGATCATCCCTGTGAAGCAAAGGAGAAATCAATGCTTCTCCCAGCCAACCATAATAAGTGTCCTCGTCTCTACTTGGTGACAGATGGGTGTTAATTTTGTCAAAGGGTTGATTTCGCAGGGACCTGAGTCTCCATAATTTAAGAATAAAAAATAAAAACAGAAAGTCCTTGCAGAATAGAAGGCCATTCCCAGTTATGCTAACTCATAATAGAGGTAACTTGCTAAACTGCCATCATCTTCATCATCGGCTCATCTCTTGTGTTTGGAAGTTCAAGTGGAGTTTTGTTCTCTACACTGCATTAGGGAAAGTGTACGTAGGGCAGCAGACCCACAGCCTCCTGCCCACTGCAGCACTGTCTGTGTGGAGAAGTGCCCCTTGGCTCAGCCATGGTGGGCAGTCTGGGGGCTGAAGCACACTACATACCTCCCCTGTTGAGGCATCTTGCAGGCAAAGAACCTGTGTGTTCCTGTGCCTCTCTTCATGAACTCCTCTGGATCTTGGGAGAAGGAAATGTGCTCTGTCTCGCTGGTGTTTAGCCTCTTGGAGAAGTTCTGATTTTGTTTCTTGCTGTGGTGGCAGAGGATGTGGGTATGTGTGAAGCAGATCCGCAGGAAGCCAAAGCAGCTCATGAGACAATTTGCTTATTGCTAATGAGTGTTCCTACATTTTTATTTCTTCTTGTTGCTAGTCTGGATGGTTGCCCAGTCATATCAGTAATAATGGGCATATGGTTCTGCCTTTTCCTTTTGTTCACTGTTTCTGACCTATACAGCAGTGAAATACCTTTTTTATTCTGCTCTTTCCATAGGAGCTGGTGGTGGCTTTAAGTCACCTGGTGGTTCAGTATGAGAGCAATTTCTGCACTGTCGCCTTGCAGTTCATGGAAGAAGAGAAGAATTACCCTCTCCCTTCTCCAGCAGCCCCAGGTTTGTGCTCTGTGTTCTCATGGCAGACAGCACTGGAGGATGTTATTTGAGGGCTTTGCTTAAGACAGTGAAATTCTTGCTGGTGGTGATTTGTTAAACAACAGCATTGCTACAAAGCTGAGGGACGTGGCAGGTAGGTTTGTCCTGGAGAAATGCATCCTCAGCTGGGTCTCCATCTCACTTGTGGAGATTGAACACCCAGCCAAATGCAAAGGGATTCCCTTCAGATCAAAACTGAAGTATGTTTGTCAGATGGCACACAAGTTTTACCAGACTTCTTATTCTGAAATTATATCTAGGCCTTCAGTTTTTTGTTGACCTAAGGCTGATAGGAAACCTCACAACAGAACAAAGAACTCAATGTACCCCTTTCTACTGTAGGCTCTGTGCTTATAGTCCTTTTTTTGAGTGTTGCTTTACACAGGGAATGAAAAGCCCAAGTGAAGTTCTTGCTGGCCTCTTATTTTCCTTAGATACTAAGTACATTTGAAATAATCAGAGATAATGGGGCTGTTGCAACAGAAGCCTGGAGGCAATAGCATGTGTTGTCTCTGCAACAAGTCGTTTAATCTCTGCATTGTCTGAATAAATTAATGATATTAGAAAATAAGTTCCACATTTGTCTTTGCTGCAGGAAATAAGCATTATTTACCATTTATGTAAGTGCTTTTCTTTATCCAAAATGATCCTAAAGTACTCTATAAGTAGGATGTACTGGAAGTGATGCCCCAGCACCATAAAGCAGCCACCTCTGCTTTGGAATAAAACAGCTATTCTGAGAAGTTGTGACACTGTGTGTGTATTCAGGAATGAAAATGGAAAAAAAAATGGGAAATTACAGTTATCTAATTCATGGGTGAAATACAAGTTGTAACTAGGCCTGAAATTCAGTCAGGAAACTGATTTTTCATAAGCCTTTGTAACAACAAAAAGAAAAGAATCCAGAGCTTTAATGAGCAGGAGCAGACGGAAGCCTGCAAATGCCATCTACTAAATGGTGTCTGCTGTAGCAGTGTGTCCTAGCACAGTGTCTGGGCAGTGGCCCAGCATCAACCTGGAGGGAAGAGCCATTGTGTCTCTGGGTAGTCTGCAGGCACTGGCAAGGCTCAGCTCACCTGAATTTATTGGATGGAATAAAATCACAGCCTGAACAACAGCAAAACGTGCCAGTTGTGTTCAGTGAGGATCCCGTGTTTTACCTCGTTCTGTTCATGCTTAATGGGTGAATTCTGCATTGGTAATGTTTTAGCTCTGCCTGGGAATCCACCAACAGGCTGTGGTCTCTTTGGTCACATCTCTAATGGCTAAATTTTGCATCCACAGAGGGTGGGAGTTTGACACCAGTGCGAGATGGTCCATGCACACCTCGGCTGCGCTCTGTCAGCTCTTATGGGAACATCCGAGCAGTTACCACAGCCAGGAACCTGAACAAGTCCTTGCAGAACCTCAGTCTGAATGAAGAATGTAAGAGATTAAAAAATTCTGTCATTTTTCTACACCACCTCTTTTTTCACACCCTCTTGCAAGCCGCCATGTGTGAACCAATGTGCAGTGTGAAAATAACTTTTGTGCCTAGATTATTCAGCTGCCAGCTCCAAAGGATTAGGTGAGGGGCCCTCTCCTAATTAATTTCAATTCACTGGTCATTAATATTGATTTATTTTTTTTGAAGTGTTTGGGGATCAAGATGATGTCTTTCAGTTTCCTGCCATACATAGATTTTTCACTGTCAGAATCGTTTATGACTCTTTGATGCTTACTCTATATTTAAACATTCAGTTTTTAAAAGGGGACTTTGTGGATTTGCCCACACTGACCGTTGTAGGATTTGGAAAAGCGCTGTTACACCCGGGTGAAAATTGCTCTCCTCGAGTCCCTGTTTCAGCATCTGCCCTCCTTTCTTTTGGCAGCTGGAAGCTCTGTTGCGTTTTCTCCTGGGAATCTCAGCACCAGCAGCAGTGCCAGCAGCACCTTGGGCAGCCCTGAGAACGAGGAGTACATCCTGTCGTTTGAGACGATTGACAAGATGAGACGAGTCAGCTCTTACTCTTCTCTGAATTCACTCATAGGTGAGTAAAGACTCTCCCCCTTCCTTTGGTGTCACCTTTCTTTGCATGTTCACACTAGGTTTTGTGGAAGGTTTGGATCTTAGCTCCTGCTAGATCTCTAGCAGGAGATCTTATAGCAGCAAGCTGTTCTTGTGTCTGGTTAAGGCTATATGCAGAGCACAGCCCCTCCTGCTCTGAAGCTGTTGGCTTCAGCTGTATGCCTCGCTGTGACAGACAGCAATCCTCCTAGGAATATGAGCACAAAAATGTCACACATGAAGGGATTTTATGTCCACCACGGTTTAGTTGCCTAGATAATCAAAACAAAGTCTCCCCGTCCCATGGATGCAGCAGCTGGGCTGTCTGGCAGTAACAACTTCCCCCGATTATTTTTCATGTAGGTTGTATTTTTGTACAGCACAGCCATTTTGTTGTGTTATTCATACAAGAAAGCCTTAACTAACTAATTTTCCTTGCACATTCATATGCACGTTGTTAAAATAGGACATAAAAAAGAAGAAATCCTAGGCTGAGTCTCAAAAACAGAGACTGATAGTTTCACATAACTTGTTTTTGTGCAAAAACTCTGACTGATCCCACTGCCTCCAGTCCTCTCTCCATCATTTCCTCTTGAACAAGCAGCTCCAACAGCAGGAACTGCACCAAACTTCTTAACACTGCTCAACAGTCCTTTTCTTCCTGGGCATCTGACTTTGTGGGTAACATACATCTTTCTGCAGAGTGAAATGCTATGGCACATAAAGAAGGGAGTTTTTAGCTGCACTTACGCAGTGCATGGCTGATTTGCGTGTAATGGCTGATTTGCATTTCTTTTGTGATACACAATGGGTATTTTTGTGTTGGACTACTTCCACTCAGTTGTTTTTTCTAATAATGCTCCCAGTCATGTTTGAGTGCTACAGTAGCACTGCTTTAAACTGGCTGTGGCTTTCCAGTCTGAACAATTTTGGGATTATAACACAGCCAGTGTGCAGAAGGGCTTAACTTCTGAACGAGTCTCCATCCCGGGAGCACAGGAGGTAGCATGTAGCTGAGATATGTTTGGGGAAACCTATATGTATCATCTTTGTTGAGCTATCCATGTGCCACAATTTTCCAGCCTTCAAAAAATCAGTGCAAAAAGAGAGGTGTAAGTCTGAAGTCTCCCTTGATGCTAGGCTTGCCTTGGCTGAAGAAGCACTTTCTTCCCTACGTTTGCTGGAAAAAATGATGGTGGTTTGACTCTCCTGATGTGAAAGATTCTGGGATTGTGATTTGTGAGACCTTAAGCTCCTGTGGCAGTTTAAAGTCATTTGTTTCTTAGAAACTTGATTGATTCATTTGCTTTTGGTTGTAGTAGTGAAACTGTATTTTCTAAAGCATGGCAGAAACGTTAGGAAATTTCTCTTTCTCTTAAGCTCGAGAAGCTAGTTTTCCTCAGTTCCTCTGGTGCTAAGTGGTGTCTGCTCGATGCCTTCTGCAAGTCTCACAAGATTTTTTTTTCCAAATGTGCTGGAAGCTCTAGAGATCAGCTGGAGGTGCGTCAGGGAAACCTAAAGAAACCACAAGAGCAGTTCTCTGAAGCCTGTCTCATTCCTGTTTAATCAGAAGAGCTCATAGCCAGCTGGAAACAAGAGAGCTTATAGAAGTGTTTAAAATTCATAACTCACAGAGAATCCCATTACCTTCAGCATTTGCTTCCCGAAAGCTAGGCTTTTTTCATTTCTACTGAAGAAGCATCATCTCTCAGCCTGCTCTCTTCTGGTCCCCAAGGAAGGAGTTTTCAAAACCCCATCAGCTCCAGCCGCCCGTGGTGCTGCTGTGCAGCCAGCCCAGACTCAGATTAACACTGCTGTGGGTATTTGTCACTTACAAGTAGCAGCTGCAGCTAGCCTGTAACATTCCAGAAGTGCCCATCTGTCTTGGGGTGAAGGTCTTTAAGTTCTAGCAGAGAGTAGAATCCTGCTGTAGCTCAGAGGAGTCACTGGGATGATGGACCTGCCCTGAATGAAGGAATGTTTTGCTCTGCTCTGTATCTCCTGGCAGAATTAATAGTGATTTGGCTCTGCAGTAATGACTGTGCCCCAAGTGTTTGGGACAGAGAGAGCAGTAAAAGGGATGCTTGCACACATGGGTAGAATCAAACCAAAGCAGAAATCCAGTCTGTAGTAGTAAAAGGAGAAAATATCAACCACAGTTTTATTCTGCATTCCCTACATTGATTCACTGATGCTCTGGGCTTTCTTCCTCTCCTGTGGTTTTAGGAATGTGGCTCTGGAAGGAATTTCCCGGATCAGCCCTAATCCACTTCACTGACACTGTGGCATCATACAATGTAATTCTTCCCACAAACCCAAGGAAAACCTCTGTGCACCCTCTCCTGCCATTTTACAAACAGCTTCCTAGCAAACTACCAGCAAAACGTGACCAGAAAAGGCAGCAGGTACCTTTGGTCTCTGGGTGTGCTGTTTGCTGGCAGACCAGTCCTTGCACAGGCAACCTTGGGTTACCAGAAGATTGATTTCTGGCCCACATGTGGCTGAGCTGGCAGCAGCCAGGTTTGCAAACACCAGTTTGGATGGGAAGCTGAGCCTTGCTTCTTTTTCCATAAGACAAGCCATTAATGTTTGCATTCTGATTTTATTTTATTTTTTTAGTTTTGTTTAGTTTTAAGATGGGAAAAGAAAAGGTATTGAGATGAGGGCTTTGCATACCTTGAAGGTGATTATTCAAATTTAAATGGTATGATTAAAAGTCTTTGTCCTACGGAGAGCATCACTGGAAAGATTATATTAAGGAATGATCAAAGGAAGAGGAGGAAGCCTTGGAGCAGTGAATGCAGGGGAGCATTTCTCTGCTTCAGCAAGAGAGCTGGGGGCAGGAAGCTGTTTGCTGTGTCACAGGAGCCTCTCTGAAGAGCTGCCTTGAAGTAACACCCGCAACAGGAGGTGACTGCAGTGAGGATGACGAAGGCAAGAGGTGTAGGTGGGCTGTGAGCTGCAGAGAGGAGGCTGCTGGGACAGGTAGAGCCTCCTCTCTCGCTAGGCACTGTATTTGAATTCACTACCATGAGAAATAACTGGTTAACCAGTGCTATTTATAAGAAGGACTTCACAAAATGGCAAAATACAGGGATCTGAGTGGGCTTTGGAAATGGTCGCTTGTTGCAGAGGTTGCCCTTCAGCTCGTCCTATTTGTCCTGCACTATGGAAGCAGCATGGTGGAACCAGGGCAAGGCCTGGGCACTGCTGCACAGCCACGTGAGGCAGCAGCTGCTCTGCATGGCATTGCTGAGGCACTGGGGAACCAGGATTGGAGAGAAATCCCAGCATGTGGCGGTGGGCAGCAGAGCAGCATGGTTGGTTTTGTGGCTGCGGTTCCATGATGTGCCAGTGTTCGTCCTGGCCTCACACACCCTCTCTGGGCACAGGCAGGGAGCAGTGGTGTGGGCTGCCCATGGCAGCTTGCAGGCTGTCAGCGCTGTGCACAAAAAATCAATTTGCCATTCCTCTGGGGAGTGAGCTGCTGTTCATGGTTGTCGAGGTAGAGTACAGAAAGCTATCTGAATTTCTGATGTTTTCTCCATTGGAGGAGCTCCCGCAGGACCTACAGTGTCACCGGGAAGAGGAGAAGCATATGGGATGCTGCCTTACAAAGCATTGGGGTCAGTGTTGATGGGAACCAGATAGCTGAGCCCTCAGGTGCTGCTCGGTGTGAAGTATTCCAGCTATACGCTTTCACCACACCAATCCCAAACGTGCTTTTCCCTGCAGATGGAACATACAGGAGCAGAGCTGCCTCCAAACTGAGGCACATGACAGTGCAGGTTCAGCCATTGGTCAGCTTTTGCTGCTGTGCTGGAGGGGCACTGCATCTTCCAGAGATCAGGGCTTACAATCACTGCAGTGATTTTTAAAGGGGGTTAGAAAGAGCCACCATCACAGTTTGGTGAAACAGGAGGGGTAAATAGAAGCGTTGGTACAGCGTGGTCCTGAGCTTCGTGTGCTCGGTGACCTCAGCCAGGTCCCTTCCTTGGGGCAATGATGTGATGCTGGCTGTCACACTGAGCTGGGAGCTACGTGCATGCAAACGAAATCAAAGGCGTCAGTGAAGAAAGGCAATTTATTTTTGACGTTCTTAGCTGAAAGAAATCATTTTGTAAATCTATACTGCAAGGTCCATTTAACTGGCTTTGAATCAGTCTGACTAATTACAGAGCTGTCTGCTTAAATTAACACCCCCGTCCCCCTTGCTCGGCCCTTTGTTTGTATCTCGTGGATATTTTCCTCGTTTCAGTGCAGTACATGAAATCAAGCTGCTGCTCCTGCTGCCGCCTCTGCTGCCTCCCTTTATCCCAGTGAGTCCACATTTGGGTTCCTGCAGGAGCTGTGTCGGATGTGTCACCGGGCTGAATCAGTGCACAGAACAGCATTAACGGGAGGGGGGGCAGAAAGCAGCAGTCCTCCAGCCCCAGTGCTGAGGCTTTGTAGAAATTCCCTCTGTTCTTTTCAAAGGCTGAGGAGTGAATGAGGAATTGCACTGGCGCAGATCAGTTTTAAATTTGTTTTTCGTGACGCTTAGATGTATAAAAAATGTTATTGGTTTTTTCCTCCTTCATGACTGCGTCATGAGTGAGGTGCTTATCACAGAAACTGAAGAGCACCTCCTCGCTCTTCCTTTCTCCCTTTTACTGCCTTTCAAGGGCTCTAAAAGGGTCCACACCTTTCAGATCCCCACTGCTCCTTGCGTAGCTTCTGGCACAGCATCACAGGGTAGGGATGCTGAGCTCAGCTGGCGTGGCAGCGCCTGGCTCCGGGGCTGGGGCTGCTGTCCTCCCATAGCTCTGTGTGTCTCCAGCTTTGCTTTTCCTGCTAACAATTCTAACAGCTTCCAAAGTGAACGTGCGGGTTGCAGAAGTGGGACCCAAATGGTCAGAAGCCCAAAAGGACAGACAGTGTTACATCGCTGCTTTTTCTGCCTGGGAGGCCCATTCCTCTTCTGCACAGGGAGCTTATTGTGTGCTGATATGCTGACATTTTCAAACACAGATAAAGAAACAGTGAAGAAGATGATGACTTTTGTCAGCTGTGACCACAGCCAAAACCTGAGGTTGGATTTGCACTGTTCCAAGTCAATACTGCTGAACCCACTTGTGTTGTCCTTGCGTGTTCCTTGGTTCCATGTCCTCAGCCAGCATAAACCACGTACAACAGATCAATGCCCTTTGACTGTGCTGTGTTTTGACAGTGGTTTTTGCTTTCTGGGATCATCACCCAGTGCCCTGCTTGCACTGGAAAGGTTAGGCTCATCTGTAGGACCCTGTTGTGTAGGTCACCCATGGCAAACGGGCAGTGCTGCCTGAGTGGTGCTGTCATAAATACTCATCAGTGAGGTTGCTATGTGAAACTCTGAGAAATCCTTCACACATCAGCCAGGTAAAAGACCCTTTGTTTTACAGGTCAGGTGGAGGGATGGAGTGAGATTATCGCCTTTGCTTTTTGCAGAACGTTTGTCACATGCTGGGGAGATTTTCTGGCAGAGGAGGATTCGATTGTCTGGTGCAGACAGCCATATGGCACTGCACTGTGCGTGCTGCTGAAGTTTATAACTGCACACTCCTTGCATTCTTCAGCTTGAGTTGAAAACCAAACTGTCCGTGTGTGTTTTCTGTTGGCCTGAGCATCAGGTTCAGCTGTGCAAGGTGCTTGCTGACCAAGGAACCCTGTCCTCACAACTTAACGCTTTATATTTAGATGCCTACAGAACCACGGAAGGAAATGCAGTAACAGCTTGATCTGTCATTTACCATTGATTGTGACTCATCTGAAATCACTATTTTTGTTCCTTTTTTTTTTTTCTTTTTTTGTTAGTGCAACTGCTTTAGTATTGTCCAAATGGCTCAATTCCCAAAAGACAGTGTTGGACCTATTACACTCGGTGGAGGTTAGGAGAAAGAATAACATGTTGAAGATTCACCTAAATGCAGCAAAATGAAACATTCTCTGGGTTATGTCAGTTGTTACAAAAGCTTATTAATTTGATTTGTACTCAAATCCATCAGTCCCTACTGCTGAAATAGCAAACTGCAGATATTCTCATTAAACAACAAATTGGCAATTGAGGAATTGACACAAATGTCAGCAGGGGAGGCTGGGTTAGGCTCGCTGCTTCACAAAGGTACAGTTCTTAAAGCTTCACTTCAAAATTTAGCACTTAGTAAACTTGTAGAATACTTAAGGCCCTGAACAGTCAAGTGGAATATTAATCCTTAAAGCAGCTATAAAAGTAACCATCAAAATATAAGCCCCTAACTACATTCTTTCTACATTTAGTATTTTAGCTCAGGAGCTCCAAAGGCTCTGCCTGGTGTTCCATTTGGCTTTTTCAGTTTAGTTGCTGCAGGGGCACAGCAGACTAGCAGTTTGATTGAGGCTTATTCAAGTAATCTTTATTTTGCTTTCTGCCACTCTCATTTTACCAACTCTTGCAGAGCTCACAAAGAAGGACAAAGAAGAGGCAGAATGCCCACGTCGGGTGTTTGTGAGCTCCTCTCTTGATGTTTTCTTAGATGTCATTGTGATGTGCAGAGTCCTAATGAATTTTCTCACCTAAGATGAAAGAGTTTGGGTTGATGGGTTGTCGTGTGCTCTGGGGATTTGGTTTTTGTTTTTGTTTTTTTATTTTAGGTGTGAGTTTCAACAGTGTTTATACCCAAATTTGGAGAGTGCTCCTTCACCTAGCTGCTGACCCCTATCCCGACGTCTCTGACTTGGCAATGAAAGTTCTCAACAGCATTGCCTACAAGGTATGCCCTTCTGTGTGCATGTGTGTCCATCAGGCTTTTATATGTTGGTTTTCTTCGTGTTTAGGCACAGGGTAGGTAGGCTGAGCTGCACGGGTCCATGGAGGGCTCTGGTAAGTGATCCTAGTTCAGTCTGAATCTGTTTCTGAAGGAGCTTGTTGTGTTTCAAAATGATAAACGCTCATGTGAAGTCTTGCTGACATAGAATAACTAAATGGGGGAGGGCCTGGGATTGTAAATTAGGTGCAGACCTTAGACAGTAGGTCTTGTTTTCAAGTGTACTTATCTGATCAGTCCCTGGGAGAAACCTTCAATATCCTTCATTAAATTATCCGTTTGCAAACCGATTTAGATTATGCAAGTGGGACTGGCCTGCAGACTGAAGCCACAACGGCTCTCCAATCCAGGTGAACTAGTACATGTGAGTCAGCATGCAGACACCCCTGCCACTACTCACCTCCCAGCCAGGCCTACCCGCCTAACCACCATCCTCATCACATCTCATCCTCCAAGGATGACAAGATGTCCCTGGAGGCTGCCATCACTGCTGTTGGGAATCGCCAGCTTGGGGAGCTGGAGCAGCACCCTCACCTCCTCCCGAGGCGAAGCACCAGGCCACCCCAGAACATCTTCTCACCAACTGCCTTCCCCCCGCCCAGCAGCGGTGTCAGAGCTCTGACTGCAGCCCTTCCCCACGCTTGGATTCCACCTCTGTAGTTGCTGTAGCATCCAGACCATGAGCCATTCCAATGCGAGATGGCGTCTCTTACTGATGATTTCTAATGAATAACCCTGAATCTTCAGTTGGGGCTTCTAAGCTGAAGTTCTGCAGTAAGAGATGCCAGCATTGTGCACTACCATTTTAACGCCTTAGAGATTTCTTGCTTTTCAATCTGATTTTCTCTTGAGAAAATAGTTACTTATTTAAATTCCTCCCTTTGTTTTAAGCATACATGTCAGCGAGTTGGCAATGTCTGTGTTTGGGGATAGAGAATGGTTTTGACAGTGGGGGTGGTGAGGTCAGTCCTCCCCTGGTGATTCTGTTGTACAACAAATTGCTGTCAGGCACGAGGTTCCAAATGAAGGTGAATAAGAAAAGTGAAAAGATTTCCATCTCAGCTTGAGCTGCACAAAGCTGTTTTGGTGTTGAATGTTGGAAGGCTCTTTGCAAAATGAAACGTTAGTCTGACTATGGGATTTAAAGGGCTATAAAAGGAAATGGATCTGCTTTTTCTGACTTAACTATTTTTTCAGGACTGACTCCTTTGCTGGTGGAAAGAAATGTATAAATATTAATAAAGGTGCGGTTGTGCCCTGCAGATGTCTTTACCAGCACTGCTGTGGTTCTGCTTAGCCAGCAGGAATGTTGATCATTGTGCTGTGATTTGCGTAGGAATGCTGTGACTGTTTGATAAATTGGGTGCTGGTTCTGAGCAGTCTGGTCCTAAATTCTCTGCACAGGAAGGGATCCAAAAGCTCAAGAGGGTGAATATCACACATCTCATGCTCTGCTTCTCACACAGCTGCTCTCTGAGGCAGTGGCTCTTCAAATGGTTTTGCAAAATAATAAAAGCATTCCCATTTATGAAGATTTTTATCTGGGGTCGCTCCAGTGAATGAAGCTTATTTGTTGTTCTTCTTAGCCATATTTGTTCTTCTGTGAGCCACGAATGGCAGCATTTAAACGTGCAATTTGTCCAATGGTTTGGGCAGATGCATATATGGTGGCTGTGCTCTTTGTGACACTGTGCATTTGCTGTTGCCAGTACCACCAGCCTTGGGTAGCTTCTCAAATGGATTCCTCCTGTGGAATCTTGTTAGCAGCCCTCCAAAATGGAAGATGAGGCTTTGGACCGTAGGTTACGATCACAGACAGAGCTCCCACTGTGAGCAGTGCTGCCAGGGCTTACAGTCCCAAATCCATCCTTCTCTGCTGGCGTGAGCCTGGATCAGCTGTAGGAATTGCTGTTGCATGAAGGAAATTCTTAACCATTACCTTGTGTTGGCTGTACACTGAAACCCTTCCTTGGTGCTCGTGGAGCTTGGGCTGCACGTGGCTGGGAGCAGCCTGGGTCCCTGCCTCTCCAGGTTAAGCACATGCAGGCTGTGTTCCCATTTGGTTTCTGAATAAATTGATTTCCTTGATTACAAAAAAGCCCTGTTTCACACTAAGTAAAGCACTTGGATGTTCAGGGGTTTAATCCTATTCTTCTTGATACAGAATTCAGGGAAAAAGGCTTCATTTTGGAGCTTGGACATCTGAAAGTTTCCTCTGTTAACAGAATGCTGCAATTTGTGTGGCATTGGTGTTTCTGCTGTTTTTTTAGCTAAAGGACCTTAACAAAGTAGCCATGGGCTGACATTTGGGAATGGCACTGCTTACCCACATCTTCATTCTTGGTGAACTGAGTGTTCAGCTGCAGAACATTGCTAGGCTCTGTGCCTCGTGATTTTCCAACATGTTTTGTACCAGGTGTCAGGCGTAGAAATCAGTCACCCTGAGGGCTGTGCAGGCAGCACCACTGCAGTGTGAGGCTGTGAGAAGTAAGCACTCACTGCAGCACTGTGACACCAGGGCAGTGCTGTGTGTGATGGGATTGTGCAGGAGTTGAGGTTGTGTCTGCATTTGTAGAGCAGTTATTTTTGTTTTCCAATGAGACAAGTTCTACTGAGTGTAACGGAGCCATGAGTACAGCTCTTTATCTACAGGAGAACTCCAGTGGTCTTTAAATAGGGCCATGTCTTTCTGAGCAGCTGGTGAGTAGGTTGCACAGACGTGCATGCTTCATGAGTTGGAAATGTGCAGTTTTATTTCCTGGGCTGATTAGACATTGCTGGTTCTCCCACAGATTGCTGCTGAGTTGTGATTTATATTCATGATGCAGATTGGAGTGATACAATCTCATTCCCAGCCTGATCTTTTAAAAGTCCCAAACACACTTTTTGTACCAAAACAAACAAACAAACAGGAGCTGGTAAGCAGTGTTTTTAAGACTTTTTGAAATCGAAATTAATTAAGGAAAGTTTGCTTCCCTCCCAGATTGCCTCACCCAGCTGTTTTTAATGGAAGCCTTGAGGCTGAATTGTCCCAGCAGCTATCCCTCCACTGACATCGCTCTTGGTACAGCTTTGCTGTGCAGGAGTGAGCAATTCTGACAGCATGCTCTTTTTTTCTTTTCTCTACTGGGTGTCAATTTGCAAAGTTACGAATTACCATTTCCCCTCCTGAAAGAGGTGATGTGACGGGCAGAGGAGCAAATCCCTGGGAAACGGGGAGCTGCAGCCTCCAGCAAAACGCTGTCATGTCACTGAGCTGCAGCCTTGCACAGCTCACTTCTGGCAGAAAAGAAATTCCTCTGCTGTTTCCCCAGGAAGAAGGAAGGCTGCTGCCACATTCCCCTCGGTGTGCCCCTTCAGCACACTGTCACTGGCTCATCTTGTCCCTCCGCTGTGACACGAGGAGACCGGAGCTGTTTCAGGTGACAGAGATCTGACTGCAAGAATCTGCAAACTGAGCCTTCTGTGACTAATTAGAACTAGCAATGAGTAATTATCTGTGACTAGTTGTTAAATTGCTTCTGCTTTCCTTCCGTTCTCTCTGTGATTTTTATGTCCCAGCTGCTCACTGAAGACCCCACTGCACTCATGACCATGATGATGGCACTGGGGCCCCTGTCACCTCGTATGGGAAGGATGAAAGTAGCCCCAACTCAGCCAGCCTGTAGGAGGAGCTGGCCCAGGCTTATCTGAGGCCGTGGCATTTGGTGTGTGCCCCTGGAGCCAAGCAGGTGGTGGTCAGGACTCGAGCCCTTGAGCAGGTGGAGCTGGAGCTGCATGCTTTGCTCACTGCCATTCCCTGGCCTGCATCTGGGACCTTTCCTAGGAGGAAGGACAGATGTTTCTTTCAGGATTAGGTCTGTGTCAGCCTGCAGGAGGGCCTGGCTGTGTTGGGCAGAGCTGTGAGCAGCCCAGCTATGCAGACCTGCTGCTTTCCTCTGTGAGTTGGTGTGGACTGGTGTGTAGGATAGGGGTCCTGCAGTGACCTCCACAAAAGCTCAGCTCCCATTAGGGGAGTTGCAAAAGCAACTGGAAGGCAGATCTGTGGAGCTACCAGATGTGCAAGGACAGTTGTGACCCAAACATGAGATGCAGAATCAGGATGGGTACTGGAGCCACAAGCAGTGGTGCAGTGTTGGGTGGGAGCTCCGTGCTGTCAGCTCACCTCGTGGTGCAAGTTGTGCTGTGGGTCCTGGGCTGTGACTGCTTTCGGGAAGAGGCTGATATGTTGGTCAGTTATGTCTCTGTAAGCAAAAGAACGATGCTGTCTGGTAAGTGCTGTCAGACTCCAAGAGCAGCAGAATTGTCTTACATGCTGAAAACTGCACAGGGACTTTTCACGTATATTTTTAAACACCCCCACACACACTGATAGAGAGCTTAACTTCATTGAACCCCAGGTGTGCAACTGTATCATATAATAAACCCCTGCAATTGCTGTTCTGCAGTCCCGTTCAGCCCTCTGTTGTGTCTTTCCCTCTAGGCAACAGTCAATGCTCGCCCCCAGCGCATCCTGGACACGTCCTCACTGACGCAGTCGGCGCCTGCCAGCCCCACCAACAAGGGCATGCACATCCACCAAGTGGGGTAAGTGGGCCCAGGGCTCCCCATCAGGAGCCCACTGGGGTCTTGTAGCTTCTTGGTTTAGTGCTGATAAGAGGCACAGCAACAAAAGCTCTGGGGACAGGTGGGGAGTTTCTACACGTTACTCCTTTCAGGACAAAGCGTAAGAAGGCATGCTGGTTATCTAAAGGTGAATTGAAGGGACGTGGTGAATGTTGCTGATTTTACTGATGCACTCTGACCTGAGGTATCCAGATTTCCCATTGAAATCTGATCTCTTTTCTCCAGTTTCAGCTAAACGTCAGGGTTACCTGATGGTCAGCAAGTGATGCTTAAACTCAGTGAGACTTAGGCAATAGTATGAGCAATGCTAGGCTTGAAAATGTGACTCCTTCCCAAAGGATGCTGTCCAAGGGAAAACACCTGGCTTGAGATCTGGCTGCCTCACAATCCATGTGCAGCAGTGAGATTCAAAGTTGGAAAGGAGGGCTCTGAACTGCTCAGCGATGCTTTTAATGTCTTCTGGTAGCATTATGCAACCATGCAATTGCACAGTTTGCACGCAAATTAAAATGCTGCCCTGTGGTCTGCCAGGACTCCAGTCACCACATTGCTGGTCACTGTGCCATGGTCACACCATTACATGTGGGTGTGTGACTGCATAATCAACAGCTTCCCAGAAATTTTGCTTTTCTGATCCTGAATCTGGAGTTGGCTCAGTCAAGATTCACTGCTGGGATTTGTAACTTTTTTGGACTGTGTGTTGGGTTGTTTTGCTTTTGTAGGGGAAGCACAGCAGTGAAGGATAAGTCTTGTCAGAAACAAGCAAAGTGAAAGCAGTAACGTAATTCGCATGCAGGAGTAAAGGCAGCAGAGCAGATAATGGTAATGTAGCTGGTGTTAGCCTCTGCCCTCGTGTTTGGGGCTTAGCTTTGTTTCTGCTGTGAGAGGGAGCATTGAACTGCTTTCTGCTTGTAGAACTGGGCTGATTCTCAGAGGTGGAAAGCATGTCAGGACTGCAGTTTAGCGAGACGTGCCAGGTGTCAGGGGATACGTATCAGAGCGGTTCAGAAAATGAGGGCGAGTCACATGTCTGCTGCTATCTAAATCCTTTTACTCTTTTGATCTGTAGAGGATCACCTCCAACCACCAGCACAAGCAGCTCCAGCCTGACAAATGATGTGACAAAGCAACCAGTCAGCCGGGACATCACGTCTGTGCGACCTGCCAACGTGGGCAACATGGGGGTTCAGTACACTCCCCACTCCCACCAGTTCCCCAGAACAAGAAAAATGTTTGACAAAGGGCCAGAGCAGGTAAAGAGACTTTGCTTTCAGTTCTGATCCCCTGCTCCACTGGGTTTTGTTACACTTTCTGTTCTTTGTGTTTTATTTCTGCGTATCCCTCATTTGCTTCTAGCTGCTGCTAACACCAGGGTAGCTTCTTTTAACCAGTAAAATAAAAATGGATTAATTTTTTTCCTCGGGATGTGTTTTATGTCTCTGATATAGGACATTACTCACTTCTGCTGCCACCAAGAAGCGTTTAATCCGAGTTGATTGTTTATTCTTCCACAAACATTTGTCTGCCTGAGCGATAGTGCACAGCTGCATCTCTGTCAGTTGCTTTTCCTCCAACCTCAGCAAAGCATGGACAGAGGCAGACAAAGGGACAATTCTTCCTCCTTCAACATGCAGGCAGATGTTTCTCTTGAGATACTGGGAGATGCCCTTGCAGCAGCAGACTTACCTCCTTTACTGCAGTCCTGATCCACTCTGTGCTTGGCAGCCTCTCTTCACTAAGCACAGGTGCAGATGTGAGCCCAGACTGGCACTGGGAAGACCAGAGCTTACTGCAGGTCACTGCTGGGAGACATCTGGCCAGCCAAGAGCTATGGTGTCTCTTATTTTCAGCATCAGGCCGACAGGGGGTTTGCATCCATGTTAGCATCCAAATGACAATCACCAGGTACTGGGCATTTTTCCATTTAGAGAAGAGTGAAGAACTGGTATGGTGCCAAGTGGAGGAATGCTGTAATGTGCGCAGTGGGTTCTGAATGTCACTTTCAGATGACTTTAAGTGAGACATCTCAGACAAGTATGGTTGAGTCCAAGCACACTCGGATGCACTTGTGGCCATCACTTGAAGGTAGCACTTGGCAGTGGTAATAGAATCATAGAATGGCCTGGGTTGAAAAGGACCACAGTGATCATCAAGTTTCAACCCCCTGCTGTGTGCAGGGTCACCAACCACCAGACCAGGCTGCCCAGAGCCACATCCAGCCTGGCTTTGAATGCCTCCAGGAACAGGGTACCCACAGTCTCCTTGGGCAACCTGTTCCTGGTCAGATCCAGCTGTCTGACAGTAGTTTGTTGCTTGCCCCTCTCTTTACTTCAGAGCATTTCCAGGATGTTTCTGGTGCTTGCTCTGTGAGAGGAAACTGGAAAAGGCTTTATGGAAGGGGAAGATGGGAAGTGGTAAGGTGTGTGTTTGGCAAGCCACAGGCTGAGAGTACATCACAGATTTCAGGTTTTCTGACTTCTGGGAATTAACTGTTCTTTATTAAACTAGCATTTGTGTAGAGCCAATGCTTCTGTGTGATTCCAAGAAAAATTTGTCGAAGCATTAGTAGGAACACCTTCAATTCTAACGGGGATAGCAGCAACAGCATGGTTCATAGTTCAGAAAACCCGATTGAAGCCAGGGTGAATTGAGTGGTATCTCTATTTTTTTTTCTTTTTTGATGTCATGTGCTTTATAACAGACATTTAATGCATATATGCCCTTGATCTGAAGATGGGTTAACCTGAATCACCTTCCCCTCACCACTGCTTCTAATGCCAGGTTCTTGTGTAGATCATGAGAAGCCTCATCCTGGGACGTTTTTGTGATACACAAACACTTGGGCTCATGATTCATGCTGTAGCCTGGTTGTGTTGTGTGCTGTGCAGATGAGGTTGTTTGTGCATTTCTGTTAATGTAATGACAGTGGTCTTGGAGCTAGACACAGAAATCTTGGTATCCTTGGCAATGTTTTTGAGGGTTTTTCTCTGCTTGCGCACCTGCCACAGGCAGTCTGGGTATCACTGTGTGTAGAATTTGCCCATGCAAGTGAGATGGACATGGGGTAACATCCTGTTCTCTTTCTGGACAGACCACTGATGATGCTGATGATACCGTTGGACACAAAAGTTTCATTTCAGCCACAGTGCAGACGGGGTTTTGTGACTGGAGTGCGAAGTACTTTGCTCAGCCTGTCATGAAGGTAATACCTTGTTGTCTTTCTGAATCACGACACTGCAGCTCTTGAAAGGTTGAGGTGCTGGTTCTTAGCATAGGCTGGTGGCCTCATCTGTTCACTTTGCCTTCTTTCCCTCTTCTGGCTGAGGAGGGAAAGGAATGGATGTATTTCCATCATCCTGCTCTGGTGAGCTGTGTGACCACTGCTTATCACAGAGTGCAGGAGAGGCAGTGAGAGCCAGAAAGGTCAGGTATTAGTAGGGGCAGAGCCCAAAGCAAAAGCCCTGCATGCATAGAGTGCTTTCAGGAAGGAATGTAGAAATGAGGGGAGGTTCTTGAATGGAGATGGGGACAACAGAACATACCCTTCCCTTGAAGTGAGGCATGGCTCTCTACTCAAATGTGACCTGGGAGCTGTGCTTACATGCACCAGTCTTGATTCCTTTACCTTAGCAAGGAGGATACCATGGCTATTGGAAGCCTACATGACAGCATGGGGAAAACTTCAGAAGAATCGTTATTCTTTTCAAAGTTCAGCAACAAAAAAAACTTACTACAGCAAAGAATGAGGGTTGTAATGACAAATCTCCATTGAGATCTCTTTAGAAGTGAGTGCTTTCTGGTAACTCTAAGTTGGTTTTATGTGAAGTGAGAGATGCACTAAAGCTTTATTCTAGGAAAAAAAAAAAAAAAGACAAAACAACGAGACAAAACAAAGCTCTTCAGAGATGAGTAGAGATTGTCAATGACTGGAAATAAACACTTTAATTCCCAGAATCTTTTAGCCAAAGATCGGGTTTCAATCTTAAGCGTGAAATCAAAGTAAGCAGTAAACCTTGCCTTGATATTAGCAAGCACAATGAAGGTACCTTGGGATTCGAGCAGCACAAACTGTAACAGAACTTTCAGCAACTTTTGGAGGTATTGCAATTAATGTGAACTATAATGCACTGTTTGTATTAATGCCACCACCTGAGCAACTCAGCAGTGGATGCTTTTATGCAACTGTGATGTTTAAATCTTCAGAATATGCAAAGAAATGGCACATTTTATGTGCTGCCTCATCTAAGAATTGCCACTGAGCCATCTGTTACTGCTCCTTCCTGTCTTTAGGCATGTTACATTGTTTGGTGTTGAGGTGAGGTAATTGCCCCCAAGTTTAAGGCTATCAGAAAACCAGTTATATGGCAGCTAGGTTTCCGCTTAGCTTTAATTTGTTTAGAAAATCACCAGGAGGAAAAACTAGATGGTAGAGTGATTGCCTGACACTTCCTCAGCTGCTAGTGAAATTAACTTTCTTCTGATATCATTAGCAGAATAATTCATTAGGAAATACATCTGGCCCATGGGGCTCGGTCAAGCTTTATAGCGGGGTTTTCTCGCATCAAGATGAGTTTCAGTGTCTCAATTCAAGTCCAAAGGAGAGTAAAAGAAACAGAGGAGGATGTTCTTCCATCCCTTAGTTCTTATTAAAAACATTTGTCTACTTTCTAAGGAAAAAGAGGGGTGTCTTATTAATACAATAAATCACAGTAGGCAGCCAATCAAAATGCAGTTTAAATGTGTAGATGGGGAGCTGTGTATGTGTGTGTATATATATATATAGATTTAGTACTTCATGTGCATAAAATTAAGAAAATTGGGGGAGGAAAGAAAACATACGGAGTGTTCTCATATTAATTCATAGAAGCCAGGGAGGGGGAGTCCTGGAAATGAAAATTTCAGGCTTTCCTTTCACTGTAGTGACTCCCAAAGAGTTCAGTGTCTCACCGTGAGAATTGAGATGCTCCAGGCTACATCCCTATGCAGAACATTGCAGAATGATCTCTCTCTTAAGCTTTTACTGTAAAAGCAGGAGTAGTAGCAGTATGTATGTTATCTTAGTTTCTGTGGTTAGGGTTGGTGACATTCACTGCCTTGGGTTGCATTTTCTGAGCACAGAGCATCCTCAACAGCAGTATTTTAGGTAAGGTTTGCTCCAAACAAAATCTGTGTTTCCTAATGAAACAAGGAAGTGAATTGATTTCCCCATTACTTTTGTAAAGCAGCCTTAAGAGGCCAAGTGGAGGTTTTTCTGCCAAAAAGCTGGTGTGTTATACTGACTGATAGGGAATTGTATGGGGCTTTGTAATGAGGGTGGGTGCTACACGTGCAAGGGGCAGGGAGACGTCCCTCTACTACAGCTTCCTTTGGCACATCTTGATCACTGCTTGTGTAACCAGGCAGCCCTGGCCATGCTGTAACTCGTGTCTTGGCTGAATGTCCTAAGAGTGCTCCTTTCCTAGAATCTGGTCCTGCAGCAGTGAGGAACAAACAGCCCTGGCTTGCAGCTGCTGGCTTTTGGGAGCGTTAGCCTCATGAAGAAGGCAAAGAGTAAAGTCTACAGAGTACTGATGGAAAAAGATGACGTTGATGTGCAATTCCAATACTTCATTTGGAGATGCTGCCTACCGTCATAAACAGGGAAAGATAAGACAACTATTCCTGTAATGAATAAACATAAAATGACTGTGAGTGCATCTTAGTCATATTTAATTTATGAATTCAGCTTTGCTTCATAGACCTCGCTATGAGAATGCTTTCATTGGAAAGATTGAGGGATTAATTTCCAGCGTAAATCAGTGGCTGGGATTCAGGCCATCATACTGCCTTTGATTTATCGATTATCTAATCAGATGCATGGAGGAAGAAAACGCCGCATTGTAAATTCTCGGTGTGCCAGCAAAAACAGTTACCTACCACAGCTCTGATCTCTGCAGAAGTCATTCCTCCTCCTAAAGCTGGGATGGCAAAAGGCTGTTCTGCTCACCACGGGCAGCCTTGGACCGCGTGGCACAGGAAAACCTTGCTGCCAGCTGTCAGGAAGCCCTGAATCAAGGAGAGCAGAGCCAGCATCTGCTGCTCTCAGGGCTGGCAGAACATGCGGGCAGGAGCTGGGAAGGATCCTGGAAGGTGAGAATTACATAAGGAATCCTTCCTGAAAAATCCCAGCCCTCACTTCAGCGCTCTGTGCTCTCTGTCTTGGCTGTTGCTCAAAGTCCTGGTGGAGGAGGGAGCCCTCTGTGCGATGCTGCAGTAACACTATGCAGGGACAAACTGTATTTACTACAGGAGCAGACTGCTGAATTTCCCCCGCTCCCATCCAGATACTGACTTCCACGCTGACATGGAGGGACACTGTTAAAAAAAGAACTTGGTTGGTTGACACCACTTGGTGGGAGGTTTTGGGATCATCGCTGGTTGATGTCTGAGTGGAAGCTCAGAGATGCAGAGAATCGGAGCCATGTCATGATCCTCATCATGTAGCACAGTTTGCTACTCCCACGTACCTCTGGGAGCTCTGCTCGGAGGAGAGCTGAGCAGCAGCCAAAGCCCGGCTGTTGTTTACTAAAATGACTTTCTAATGCTTAAATGTGAGCTGGATGGGAGGGGAGACAAAGGCGTGAATAATGAGCTTAAATAGCTGGTTCTTTTGAATAATAATTTCTGGTTCTCCAGCCAGCAGCAGCTGAGCTAGAGGTCACTGCTCTATTACATGCATGTCCTGACATAATCCTGTGCTTCTGCACCACCAGAAGTTCCCTCGTGATGTGTTCTGTGGGGTTCATCTTACAAAGTCATCACAGAATCACAGCATGCCTGCTTTGGAAGGGACCCCACAGCCCTACCCCTGCTGTGAGCTCAGCTCAGGCTGCCCAGAGCACATCCACAGCCTCAGGCACATCTGGGGACGGGGCACTCACAGCTCTGGGCAGTGCAGTGGCCTCACTGCCCTCTGAGTGGAGAATTTCCTCCTCACATCTGACCTAAATCTCCCCTTTATTCTCTCTTCTTATTGCACCCACCCAGCTCTGTCTTGCAGGCTGCTGGGAATGGGAGAAGCGCTGCATTGCACTGCATGCTGCAGCTCTCTGTGCTCACTGCACTGCTGGTCTGGGGGCTCGGCTGGTCAGAACCACAGACACTGTGTCACCTGCAGCACAGCGAGCTGAACTGGTACCGAGCACCTCTGTGTGGTTACAGGTACTGGCAGTGCTTGGCAGTGATAGGTTTGGTTCAGCAGATCTCATTATAAGAAGAGTGTTTATTGCTGAAATCAGATAATAAAGCAGCTTTCAGTTCAGCCTCCACGGAAAAGTTCTTTTTCTTCAGACCCGAGAAACCCGGCAGCTCCTTTAATCTGATATTCTTCATCTGCTAGAGAGCATAGCTGTGCCTCGCTCAGCTGCAAACTGGGTTTCTTGGCCCAAAACTGAGACAGCTGCTGGGTGCCCCCTGGAAAAATGTGCTGTTGTTCGTGCCCTGCTCATCCCATGGCCTCCTCCTAGGTCCTACTTTAATTTATTCCCAGAGAAGCTGGATTTTCATTAAGGTGTAGCTGTAATCTCCGTGCTCTCAAATCTACTTTGATGTATTTTATCTCAGGTTTGTTTATTGCTGTACATTATTGGTCATTTGTCACTGCCTTTCTAATAGATGTCATATTCTTGAAAAATTGAAATAGCACTCCTTTTTTTTTTTCCCAGCAGAAAGGGTGGGTTTCTTATTTTAAAGCAGCAGCAATTCAGCTCAGTAATGGTTGTTTTCCAGAGCATAATACATTTTGAAGATAGCACATATAACAGTGGCAGGTGATTTAAGTACTTTCTTAGTCAGGAAAAAAGAAGTGTGTGTCTGTGGGGAAGGGGAAGGAGCAAAAGGACTTTGTCTTTTATGTCACCCTTCTCCAAGGCTCGCTCTGCCCAGAACAGCATCATTTCCTTCATCAAAGGAAGACAGCTCATCTTCATCGACCCAGAGGTGTTTCTAGAGCAGCAGTGTTGCTGCTCTTGGATAATTTTTTAAGCGTGAAGCAAAGGACACATTGCATATAACCCTGCAGTGGGTTGTGGGTGAGATCAGTGGGCTGTTCCTTCCAATGCTGTGCTCTGGGTGAGGACGTGACCTGCTGCCTGGAGCTGCTTTTGCACCCCATGGTCCCCCTGGCTGCAGGTGGGGTCCTGCAGGGAGCCATCAATGGCTGTGGAGTGTGAATAAAAGCAATGAAATAGGTCAGAGTGGTTACGTACTGCTCAGGCTCCCATTCCAAATGAAGGTGTGTGTGTAACCAAACCCAGGCCACTCAGGGGAATCATTTTCCTGCAAATGAAACCAGTTGCCATTAGCAGTGGATGTCATGCTGGTAATTCACGCACCTCAGGAATTAGGGAATAAAGCAACACATTTTTTGGCCTGCAGTTCTCTACTGAAAGATAGATTTTAATGTGTTCATAGCTTTCAGTCTGTATCCAAGCCGTGCTCTCTCTTTAATCTCAGGATTAGGGCAGCAAAAGGAAAGGGGAAGGTTTTGCAGATGATGGGAAGGTTGAAATCAGAATGTCCTTTGAGTTCTTCCATGTACTGTATGGAGATGCTAAGGTGTCGTGGCTTGGTCTGATGTGAACACGCATGTTTGTGAATGGTGATTCATGGAGTTCTGATTTACTGTCTCATGTTGTGAACACGCTGATGTGTGGACAGATCCCAGAGGAGCACGACCTGGAGAGCCAGATCCGCAAAGAGAGGGAGTGGCGGTTCCTGCGCAACGCCCGGGTCAGGAAGCAAGCCCAGAAGATCATCCAGAAGGGTGAGTGCCCCTCTTCCCATGCTGCAGGCAGCTCCCTGGGGCTCCCAGCACCATACTGGACTGTAATTCCCATTAAGAGCAGCTGTGCTGACCCACAGAGGCAGGGGTCCCTGCTCTTAGGCAGGGGGTCATGCTGCTGTTGGCTGTTTTGCTGCTTGTCACTGCCCTGCAAGCCCTCAGGACCTGGCACAGGCTGGATCCCTGCCTGCATCCCCCCTGTGGGATGCACCCACAGGGCAGGGTCCTTCTGTGGGTGCTGTTCCCCCCAGGATGGGAACTGAGGTGCATGGAGCTGGAGAAAGTGATGTGCTGAGTGCAGGGCTTGGTGCTGGAGGCACAGCCTGCTGCAGTGCTTCGCTCTCTGGAGGTTTGCTGGGCTCGACAGGGAGTTTAATGTCATATAACTGCAGAATATCATAAACCAGAATAATAGAGAATTGAAACTGGAGTCCAGGAAATGGCTTGGGGGATCTTTTTGAATACCAAAAAGGGGATTGTTCATGCTCGCCTGAAGAAAAACCTTTGTCTAGAAAGTGTTTATATTTGGTTGCTTGACCTGAGCAGCTGATGTGCCAATATTCATTAAAAAAAAAACAAAAACAACTAAGTCTGAAATATTAAAAGGAATTAGAATAGACTTAGAATCCCTTAATGAAAATGAAATTAAATGGATGCATGCTAAAACTAACCAGGACTGAGTGAATGTCTCTTGAGCTTACAGTTCTGCATGATGGATTCACGCTGTGCTAAAAAATGCAGTTTCAGGGGTTACCAACACTGTTTGCAAATCATGAAGTGCTCTAAAGAGAAGGGGGAAAGGTCTGTAACCAGCATTTGAAAGCCTCAGTGGAAAATGTATTTTTCATTTGTAAATTAACCTGAAATCTAAAAGAACTGAAATGAAAGGCTAAATAAATAATCCACAAGCTAAACAGGAATGCTGTAATTTGAATAAAGTAGGTTTATTTTATTTTGGCAAACAAAAGAAGTGGATTTCTGCATCAACACAAGCTGATACTTCACAGAAGCATGGAATGGTTGGGTTGGGAGGGAACTTAACCAGTTCCAACCAAGCGATTTGGACCCTATTGCCACCCATTTCTTTGGTTGCCAGATGCTTCTTTGCACGTGGCTGGGTGTGCTCTGCAAAATAAAGCATCCCAGCGTTTGTCATCTCAGTGTTTAGTTTGTAGCTTAGGCTGAGATGCGTGGCAGGGCAGAGGGGCTGGGGCTGTGCTGTGCCGTGGTCTCTGACTGCTCCTGGGGAGCTCTGCAGCTCCATCCCTCTGTGGGGCTGCTGGGGCACTGAACCCACTGCCTGCTGTCCCCCCAGGCATCTCCCGGCTGGATGATCAGATCTTCCTCAACAGGAACCCCGGTGTGCCCTCTGTGGTGAAGTTCCATCCCTTCACACCCTGCATTGCTGTCGCCGACAAGGACAGTATTTGGTAAGGGCTGCTCTGTGCTGTGGCTGTGGGGCACGTGAGGCTCGTGCTGCGTGTGTTGGTGCTTTAGTGTTGCACCAAGTCCTGCAACAGGAGCACGTGAGCCTGGATTGAGATCATTCCTCACAGCTGGGCTTGTGCTCTATTTCTTTTGCAGAAGGTGGGCCTACGTTGTTAACGAAATGAGGCTGAATATCAAAGAAGAACAAATTGAATTGCGATACAATGCACACAGCTTTTAGTTTAGCCATAACGTGGATCTCTTTGAGAGCTTATATAGCCAAGAACTGACCTCATATTCTTTCCTCCCCCAGTTTCTGGGACTGGGAGAAAGGAGAGAAATTGGATTATTTCCACAATGGGAACCCACGGTACACCAGGATCACAGCCATGGAGTACCTGAACGGGCAGGACTGCTCCTTGCTGCTGACTGCCACAGGTAAGCAGTGCAGCTCTCTCCATGTGGCAGGGCAGGACCTGGGGAGCCTTCTCAGAATTCAGGTGTATGGGAGCTGTGCTGTACCTCTTGCTCTCCCTGCTCTGCATTTGGCCGTTCCCTTTGCCCGTGTGGTCTTGGTTGAAGCACTTCCAAGATCGAACTTGAAAATTGCTTCTGGCAACGTTGAAATATCTGAACAGCTTATGTAAGTGCTGCAGTGTTCTCAAATAGCAAACAAATCAAATGCTTGCTGAAACCATTTCCAAGCACAGCTTTATTTGTTATGGCGTTCTGAGGTAGAACCTGGCATGGCAAGTTCACAGCAACCTCCTGTGCCATTCCTTGGGCACTGAGCTCCTTAGCTGATCAAAAGCTGCTTTCAGAGCTGAAGGGAAAATCATGCTGCAGCCAAAGTGTGAGGAATCAGGATTGGTTGCTGGTTGAAGTCCAGAGCAGACAGGAATTGTTTTAGGCACTGAACTTCTCCCATAGTTCTGAGTCTATTGTGAGTTTCTAGTCCCTGTGTCTCAGCCAGGGAAGCAGTCCTCCAGAATGCCCTGTTGCATCATGTAAGGAAGCATAAAGAGCTTTTTCTCATTCACTGGTCTGTAAAGCTGTGAGTAAGAAATGCTTCACTCCCAAGGAACCATTCTAAACCTGTCAGTCTAAGTGTTTTCAATAGCTTTTCAAACTTCATGCTGAAATATACAGGTTGGGTATAATTAAGAGAGGTGGAAGAGGATTTGAGAGGGCCTTTAGGACATTTTTCTTTCAATTTATTGATTCTTAGCACAGAAGTTTCACAGATGGGGAACAAATTGAGAAAAATACATGATGTACTTGAAAGATTTGCTGCTGATGGGCTGGGCTTTGATTCAGCTTCTTTGTGGGGCTGTATTTTGTATTTAGGAAGGTATTTATGTGGTTCTCAATGCTGGAGCAAGGAGGACAGAGACAGTTCCTAGAGAAGATTGGTCAAAGAGATGAACGACATCTGATGTCAGGTGTTATTTGTAGGAGGGAGAAAAGTTCCTCTAGAGCAGTTCCCAGCAGAACAATCCTTCAGACTTAATGGAATAAGATTAAAGAAAAAACAACTCCAATAAAAAGTATTAAGTTCTGGTGAGGCTCTCAGTTCTGGAGTTTGTTATGAGTATAGTGTTGCTTCTGTTCTTCTTATTGTGCACAATTACGAGGGTTGCGTTGGCAATGACATAGCATCGTGTTCTCTTCTTTGTGCTTCCCAAGATGACGGTGCCATCAGAGTATGGAAGAACTTTGCAGATCTGGAGAAGAACCCTGAGATGGTCACGGCGTGGCAGGGGCTGTCAGACATGCTGCCAACTACACGAGGTAGGTCAGAAGTCATTCATGTTGAAACGTTTTTTTTTTCTCAGGATGAGTACAGTAAAATGGGTTTCTCAACATCAACCACCAGTAACATCCTTGTTTAACAGTCTCTGCCTTTCTGGAATGGCCTTTGGCCAAGTTTTGTGTTTGTTTCTCATAAAACAAACCACCAAGACTAAAAGCCCAGCATAACAACCTCCCACACATGCTGAAGAACAGCTGGGGCAGCCTCTTACTGGGGTCCTTCACAAGCCTCAGAGCAGCTGTCTTGGCCAAGTGTTCCCCTAGCCTGTTCCTAAGGAGAGATCTGTAGAACAACGATGGAACTACCCTGCTCCTTGTGGCAGGAGTTTGTTCTTTCCTTCTGGGTGGGATAGTGGCTCACATACTGCCTCTTTCCTTCTGATGGGATGCTCAGCCTTTGCACAGCTTTGCATGTTGCACCTTGACTTCATTTAGCTCAATTCCAGCACTTACTGTCCACTGCTCGTTGTGGGTCAGGAGGTGACAAGAAATATGCAGTTCAGAGCTGGCACTTGCACGACAGCACAGTTAAACATTGAACAGCTTTGGATGCTAGAAAACTTAGAAAAAGATGTAAAAAGAAGCATTGACATCCTGCTGTGCACAGGATGAAACCAGAAGACCAGTTTAGGTAATCCTGAAGTCTGTTTTAAGATATTAAAGGAGATGGACATTCTGTCCTTCTGAGACCTGATAATGTACTAATGCTCTGATGGGGTTTCTCTGTCACTTGAATAGTTTTAACCAAGGCTATGGGTTTTTCTAGATGTGCTGTAGTTCAATCAGTGCTTGTGGGATTAATGCAGGAATTGCTGGGTGAGATTCTCTGGCTTGTGCTGTGCGAGAGGTCAGATAGGATGACCACCATCACTCATTCTGACCATAAAATCTGACAGTTCTCATTTCAGAGCTTGTGGCTCATCACAGGAGTCTGACACAGCTCTTTTAGCTATTCATTGGATTTTACCAGTGCTGCCTTGTTGAGCTCGTATCTGCTGTTTTCCTTAATACCTCCTGTTTCGTCTCCGGTGTTTTAGGAATGAGGAACTGCATTTGAGGTAACGTTAGGCTTTGTGCCTCACTGCAGTATGTGTGCAAAACTGATGAGAAGCTGCTGGATGTCTGCAGCATACTGAGAAAATTGCCGTGGTCCAAACTTGCTCTTTGCAGAGATGTCAATAAGAGCAGGATGAAAACAGTGGTAATGCACGGCGCGCGTTCGTCCGTAGGCAGAGAGGAAAGTATCCAGCAGTCATCTCAAGTTGCCCTTTGTAGTGTCATTCAGTTGGTTTGTGTTCCTTTCTTGCCAACTCCAGTTTTCATGAAGGATGTTGATTAACATTTACCATCTCTGGGCTCTGAATCTTGCTTCCTTGGTGATGGACTCAGCTGAACAGCTGATGTCTGGGAATTCCCTTGGACTGCTCTTGCATCGTCTTCTTGCTGCATCATCAGTCGTGTTCAGGGAAGATGTGACAGCTGTAGACTGAACTCCTTCAGGCTAACTCCATTCTCCTACCTTGCTTTCTATGTGCACCTTATATAAGGACATAGCATTTGCTGACTTTACCATCTTCTCTACAGGGCTTTAATGTAGAAGAAAGGGTTGTTAGAGAGCAGTGATGTTTGATGTTGCAAAATAGGTTAAGAGCTGGGCAAGAGCTGATTTAGCTCTAAGAGTTGAGAGTTTACACTTGCCAAAACAAGTGTGCTGAAACTTGAATCTGTTCTCTTAAGATGGTTTTGCCTTTTTCTTTCCAGTAAGGTCTTAGGAAGTCTGGGCCCTGTTTCCCTTGCCTTTCACCTTTGAAGCAATAGAACTAGGTTCAGAAGAAGAAAAGGGCAGATTTCTGTGGAGAGAGAAATAACTGTACTCAGTTCAAAAGAGCTATGTGGATCAAGTCCCCTTGGAAATGAGACGCTCTATTGAACAGTTATCTTTTGCTGCCAAGACTTGAGTTGTGGTCCAGCGCTGGCTCATAAAACTGAAGATGCATCTTTGAAGCTGCAGAGCTCAGGAGTTTTGCAGGGGTTTGTGTGCTCCCACTATTGATTTCCTTCTCTCCACTCCCATCTTTTTCCCCAATGTCAGACTCATCTCTGAATTTAACAGTCTTGTTGCAAGCAGAATACTGACTTGTAGGCAGTTTTCCCTCTTATGAAAGGAAGGAGGAATACACAGTACCTAAATACATCCTTTGGAAGCTTGAAGGCATCACTGGCTTGTCAAAGGAATGGGGTATTGACAGTAACAGATGCTCAGGGACTGTGATGGGGGATGATACAGGGTGAGGCACAAAGCTTAACCTCTCACACTCCTCCAGACCTTCTTTGTGCTGTGCAGCCCGAGGTGAAAGAACTGAATGCACCAAGTGCTGAGCTGGGTCAGATGCTCTCGCTCAGAAGTAGCTTGACCCCAGCTCATTGCACATCAGTCGGCTTGAGTGAGACTCAGGGATGGTGGATCTTAAACGTTGGTAAACTGCTGTGTGGGCAGTTTTCTGTGTTGATTTTGATCTTAATTAGATCTGCGTCTGCATGCACGATGTGCCAAGAAAGCTTCTTTAAGTCGAAATTAAAGATGCATTGGTACCAGGTGCTCTGGTGTAATGCATTGTTACTTCTCACATGACAAACACGAGAGACAGGAGGATCTGAGAAAAAGGCAAAAGATGCTGTCAGTAGCCGTAGTGTTTCAAGGCAGCATAAATTCTGCAGAAAAGCTGTAGGAAAAGCCAAGCAGTTCTGGAATCTGCTCCCAGCTGCCCTCGGGCTGCTCCCCCCCAGCTCTGTGTGTGATGCACCCACGCTGTGCTGTGTCAGTTCTATGGGAGCTGCAGCTCCCCACTGGTACCAGGGTTGTGCAGCCTGGGCTCTGGCCCTGGCTCTCCTCTCACTCAGAGCCAGCTGAGTGCCAGCTGAGATCCTGAGATCTCCTCGTTCAAGAGGAAATGTCAGACCTGCAGGCATGGTGTGTGCACAGCCACTGGTCCTGGGAAGGGGCTGTGACCAAACTAATGCTGCTCGGGATGGAGGCATGTGCTGCTCTCGATGCTTCTGCTTCTCTCTCTGTCCTGTCCTTTGCTTCAACTTGCTTTTTCTAATCCTGTTGTAAGATTTGTTTTGCTCTGGCTTGACCCGTGGTGTCACCCCTAATCCCTGTCTTCTCACAGGTCTGGCCCGAAGGGTTTCAATCTATCTTGACAGAAGTAAGCAGGGAGGTGAGTGCTTTCTTTCCTGTTCCTATGGCCAGGCGGGGTGGGAAGGAGCTCCTTGTCCACGTCTGGTTGGTTGGTTGGTTGGTTTTTGGAGTTGTTTGGAATGAGTACTAGGTCCTCGTGGCTCCTGGAAGGCTTTGCTGCTCCTCCCTCTCAACTCCTCATGCTGTGTGTGTCTGTGATGGCTGTGAGCAATGCAGGGACGGTGCTGTGCACTCTGGGTGAGCTCAGCCCAACGCTGAAGGAAAGGATAAAGATCCACAGGTCTGCATCATCTGCTGAGCTCTGCACAGGAAGCGTGGGCAGTTTTCTGGGAGGCAGAAATCTCTCTTTCTTGGAAGATCTCAAAGCATCTCCAGGCAAAGGAGTTTGGATGACAGGTTCCAAATGCAAGAGGCCATTAAGCTGATGTGGATTTTGCTGGGATTATTTTGTAATACACTTTTGCTATAACGATCACTTCAGAGAGAGAAGCTAAAGAATCTCACCTAGCAGGCTTAGGAGAGTAAACGTAGTCCTTTGGCAGGGAAATGCCAGGTAAATGGTACAGGTTCTGTTCTTTCATGTGGCAGGGAGGTAGATGAGCCCCCATCCTCCTGCTGTGGGACCCAGGGCTGCATGGCACCGAGCCTGACCCCTTCTTGCTGCTGGGAAGCAGATGGCTGGCATGCCAGCATCTGTGTGCACACATACGTGGGGTGAGTGCTGACGTGATGCTCCTGAGCTGCTCTGCAATTATCGATCTTTGCTGACTGATATGAGCCAAACACATCCGTAGTGATCAACAGAACAAAAATGATTGCAGGGGTGTGCGATGCAGAGCTCTTTAGCTGGAGGTCTTTGCAGATCCCAAAGCACTGAAATTGAAATTAGCAAAGCTGATGTGTTGCTTTCATCATTGTGGCTCTGTGTTTCACTCAGAAATCTATTCTCAAATGGAAAGGCTGAAATTAGCAAGGCGTGGCTGCAGGGAATTCCCTGCTTGGTAATGCAGGCATCCGAGCAGCATAAGGAAGGGCCAGCAACTCTCTTGTTGGATCAGTGCTGCTAATGCCAAGCAACTGCACTTCATCCCTGCAACTGCAAGCAAATACCTGGGAATCAATACAAAATATTCACGATCTCTTCTCGCCTGCTAAGGAAGTCGTAAAAGCACACGAGGTTCGCCGTTCATTTGGCAGCAGAATGCACCACTATTTCATCACTAAAGCACCAAAAATCCATTCTCATTGCCCAGTCTTCTGTGGGGATTTTACTGAATGGAAGCTAAGGGGCTGTCTCTTCATTCATGCCTCGCTCGGCACAAATGGCTGCACTGCAGATCTCTGGTACGTTGGAGAAAGACCAATGGTTTAATGATGGTGCAGGTCACATCGGGCCACCGAGTGCAGATCAGCAGCAGAATCCCTCACGTCCGTGTGAGCTGCATTGCCTCCATCCCCAGGGCCCCCCGAGGGAGATGTGTTAACAAGGGGATGTATGTCCAACCTGCGTGCGCTCCCATCCATCTCTGCCTCGTGGGAGCCGTTGGCCCCAGTAGGTAAACAGCCGTCATCTGTTGTACCTCAAGCAAATTTCTACTTACGCCAAGCAAGAAAGAAGAAGCACATGCTTGCCAGCTCCCTGCTTCCTTCCTGCTCTCCTGGGGCTTCCCTAACAAAGTGAAGGACGTCAGTACCTGCACTGCAGAAATACAGGGCCATGCCCTCTGGGGCTGTGCTCTGCTTTGAGTCACGCTGCTGCTCCTGTGCTCTGTAACCCTGCAGGTGGGAGAGGGAGAAGAAGAGAAGAAGAGGCAGCCTGGGGGATCTCAGCACCTGGGGGGATCTGGGGGTGGCTGTGCCTCATGGAGGCTGCAGCCAGCAAATGGTCCAAGGGTCAGAATCACACTGAAGTTGTGCTGTAGAGCAGGGGGGGAAGGTAAAGTGAGCCCACACCTCCCGGAGTCTGGGGGTGAGTCCCATAGGAACAAGTTTGGGAGAAACACCTGAGTTCTGCTTACAGAAATAACGTAATTGGAGATGTTGCAGCTCCAGGGGTTTGTGTGCATTTCCAGCATCTCAGGTCCTGCTCTCCCTTGCTGTGCGTAGTCCTTGGCATGAGGAGAGTGACACTGACTGAAGGATACTGTGAGAATTAATGAGGTGAGGTCACGCAGCCCTCCTCCCACTGCCTCCTGGAGGGGAAGGCAGTGCTGTGCCTCACTGTTCAGCCACGGGGGTCTGTGCTCAGAAATCATCCATCACAGCGCAAGGTGCTGCTGTCTGTGGGCTGTGCAGGTGCTCCTGATGGTGCCTGGTGCAGGCTGCCCACATTCAGCCATGATAAAAAAAAATAAGCACAGACACCAGAAGGCAGCTGTTTTCAACACCGCTGTTATTTATTGAAACTTACACAGGGAACAGTCCCCATGAGACACATATCTGATGCACGGGGGGAATCCTGGGGGAGCAGCCATAGGAAGTTACAGCCTCGAGAGCGGCTGCTTTGCTCATCATCTCCCATCACACAGCACTGCAAGCACTTGGTGCTAAACGGCTCAGGAACAGCAACAACCACCTCATTTTTTTTTCCCCCTGCATTGTGGATGATTTATTACTTGTTACCTGGGAACATATCATTCCTTACAGGATAACCTTAATCGTAGCTAATGATGCTTTTGGGGAACTGCATTGCTGGATCCCAGTCCTGCAGGTGTGTGGTCTCAGGTGTGTCAGGGGCTGTGTGGGATCACAGCTCGGGGGGCTGCATGGGGTCACCCCTCTCTGCCCCACTGCTGTGAGCAGGAGGAGCTCAGGACCAGGGCTGCAGGTACCCGCAGGATGCATTTCCTTCTGCCTCAGTGAGGCTGAAGCATCCTGCAGCCACCAGCCAGCGCCCAGCAGGTGAGTCCTGGACAAGGACCTCCGTTAATTAAAAAGGAAATTATAATTAGCAGTAAGACTCTGTTTTCCCTTCATCCTAAAATACTACGATTTAACATGTAGACGTGAGCCAGCGCTCTGTCGTTCCCCCCATGACACCATTTGCCCTTTGGTGGAATAGTTCTGTTCTTTCTGTTTCGTTTCTCGCAGTCGGTGCCGCTTCAGCCGCAGGGTCGGAAGGCGCCCTCCCGCGCCACTCGCAGCCGAACACCCGCGCGGTGTCACAAAGGTTTTTTTCTCCCCGCGGCCTCATTTAAGCCGCGGTTTTGCGCGCCCGCCTCACCCGGCCCTTCTACTCGGCGCCCGCGCGCCCTCTGCAGGCGGCACCGGCTGCCGGTCCTTGGCTGGCAAAATGTTTTTAACGCTCTCATAGGGTGTTTTTAATGAATCAAAGCATCCCTGGCAAACGTGTAGCTTTGGGTTGGTCAGCCTTTGCAGCGTAAACACCAAAGGGTGGTTGGTGCACAGCTCTCTGCTTTTAGCAACACGTTTGCACGCTGTGCTGGTCCAGAAGTTCCCTCTAATTAAATGTACAAGGATTGTTCCTTGGAGAGTTCCTCTCCTAACAAAGGGTTTTGTTGCAGTTAATTCCCAGGTCCAAGCACTGCTGTGTTCTGACAGCAGTGTGCTCTGTGTGGGCTGAGGGAGCTCACTGTGGGGCACGTTGTTCCCTGACTGGAAGGGAGGTGGGTTTGTCTCTGCAAATTGCCATAGCAGCAAAGTTCACCAGTTCACACAGGCTGCCAACCTGTCTGTATGCAGGTGCCAAAGTCAGGTGTGCAGGGGTATCCATTCTGTGCTGCAAGAGGCTTACATGAGGACTTCTGTGTAGACTTCAGCCAGCAGTCAATTTGTGCCCTCGAAGATGAGGATCAAAAACTCTCACGGATGTATTTTAGGCAGTGTAATTGCCGAACCTGTCTGTATAGCAAATTGGTTTTTACTCCTAGCAATGTTCAGTTCAGTACCCTGCAGCACTGCTGTTAGTGTTTCTTGTTCGGAAACTTCTATTAAAATGAGGGATCACAGCAATGCAGAGGATCGCGTGTTTTGCTGTGTGTGATGTCACCACTTTGGTCTGCTTCAGTCTTTGCTGGGTGCAGTGTTCTGTATGGGGTGGGTGCTTTATGAGGACCCTGCAGGCATCTCCCAAAGCCCTGCAGGGCCGTGTCTGCCCCACGGGTTTGACGTTCTGCACCCAGGCTTTCCTAAGCATTTCCTCCTGGCAAGAGGTAGAGGCCATGGACTGGACTCAAATCCAGGACTTTGATCCCATTTGGAGGTTGTGTGGATGTGTGTATGCAGCTGCAGATTTCCTGTAACAACAACAGATTCCGTGGCCTTGTGCTACACACACTGGGCTGTAAGCAGAGCACATCTGCCTCTGCTGACCTAATTTACACACCCCTGCCTTTGTTTTCTCCTAGGAGCAGGAATGGTGGTCGACTGGGAACAAGAGACTGGGCTGCTCATGACCTCAGGAGATGTGAGGATAATCCGCATCTGGGACACAGACAGGGAAATGAAAGTGCAGGTAAGATCCGTGCGTGTCCTCCTCAGCATTTCCCTCCAGCAGCACTCCCACACTGCTGCCTGCACTCAGGAGAGCTGCTGGGGTGTCCTGTGAGCAGTGAGCACACGGCTCTGCGTCTGCAGCAGGATGCTGAGTGAGGTTGCCATGCTGCAGGGAACAGGAAGGCTTGTTTCCAAACTTCCTAGAAGATAATCAGCCCTGGATAAATGCTGCCATGCTTTAACCCTGCAAAGCAGGATGATTAGGCCTATGTTAATCTTAATTACTTTCACGTATTTTTTTTTTTAATGTAAACTAGAAAACATCAAAATTCAGGAGGTGAAAATCTTTGAAATGGTGAGGATAAGTGATTGTGCTGCAAGTATCTAAAAAAGAGTTTCTTTTCTAATTACAAAGAGTGGTGGTGTTGAAATTGGAGTGGTTGGAACTTCCTGACTCAGTAACACTGGAAAACTGAAATTCAGCACAAAGAGCAGAAAGCGATGTAAGCTGAGCTAACAAAGGTGCTTCCCACTCTTTGAACTGCAAAAAGTGCACCTCTGGAAGCACTTTGGATGTAGCTGAAGAAGCAAGTACCTCATTTTCACTTCTGCTGCTTGTTCCTGCTTCAAAGACGTGCTCTGCTTTCAGGCAGTTAGCATGGCTGGCTCAAACAGCTCTGGAGTTGGGTGCTCCAGCCAGCAGCTCCTTCACTCAGCTGTGAATAGCAGCTAGGAAAGGTGAATATGTGCGACAGCAAAAATAGGACTGAAGTGTGAAATTAGCTAATGCAGCTCTAACGTGCCTCCTGATTGTTATCCCACTTTTGCAGCATTGCTTAGTTTTTACTTGTTGTAACTGAAAATGTTTTTCTTCATGCCAACCATAGGCATGATTCCGAGCAATTCTTTTGCTTATGGCAAGCAGGAAGGGGGAAGCAAACAGCATCGGAGTGAGAGTGCACCACGTGCTCCCAGCACAGCTCCTTGTGAGCTCCAGTTTTCTTTCTTCATGTCATTCCTTTTAGTGCACACAGTGTCTGCCATCTAATGAGAACACCTGAATTGCTTGTCACTTATAGGTGGCATGGCACTGTCCAAGGCTGTGTCTGCTCTGACACTGCTCCAGAGCTGCAGAGGTACACAGACTGTAATGACTGTGCCATGCTTAGGTTTGGGTTTATATGTGTTCTTGTATGTGCCATTAGAAATTTTTGCTTTCTACAGGTACATTCATCCTCCTTGACTGAAGTCCTCCAAACATTTACCATCCTGCCTGCCGTTCTGGTGGCTTTCACAGCTTACACCTAACAAAGATGGTTCATGGAGAAATAACTCCTGGCAATTTATCTCAATAGATATACTTAGTAGAGGATAATATGAACTTTTCCTTCCCAAAACAGACTGTGCCTTGCTTTTCACAAAAGCACGTTTTGCTGGAATTCCTCCCCTGGGCTCTTTGGGATGAGCTGTGGGACATGCAGCTCTATCACACGCAGCAGTGACCATCATCTCCAGGGCCACCACTCCCACTTCTGGTCTATCCAGAGAGTCTGGAGGAAGGCTGCACCAATGCCATGCCACGGTTTAACCATGGTTTAGTTTTGAACTGATGTACAGAATGGAGAAAGGAGGTGGAGGAGGACAGGGATGTGCCTGGCTTAGCAGCCTGCCCCCTCATGCCTCCTCCTGGGGGCTGCAGGCGTGAAGACACACCTCAGTGTCAGCTGGGCTTTGTGTGCTCTCTCTGCAGGACATCCCCACTGGGGCAGACAGCTGTGTGACCAGCCTGTCGTGTGACTCCCATCGGTCACTGATCGTGGCAGGGCTGGGTGACGGCTCCATCCGCGTGTTCGACCGGAGGATGGCTCTGAGCGAATGGTAATCCCTGTGCTGCCCTGCTCTGTGGGACCCTCACCTTTCCCCCGTCTTGCCTTCACCACCTCTCCCCTCTCTGCTTATTCCTCAGCCGTGTCATGACCTACAGAGAGCACACAGCCTGGGTGGTGAAGGCGTACCTGCAGAAGCATCCTGAAGGCAACATCATGAGCGTCAGGTAGAAGAGATTTCACTGTTGGAGCTGTTTTGCTTTGCTGCTTAAAATCTGCCTCTGGTATTTCAGGAGCTAAAAGTGTCAAGAGTTTGACAGTTGCTTCAGTAATTAACTCCTGCTGCAAACTTGGTGGCGAGAAGGCAAAAAGAAACGCAGAGCTTTCTTTGGAAGCCTGTTAGTGAGGTCTGGGAGTAAACAAGAAAGTATCTGTGCTGAAATCACTATCACGAGGCGTGTGAGGGAGGCATCGAGTGAACCAGAAACCCAAGCTAGATATAGCATCTCTTATGTTGTTGTTCTTTATTGCCAGCATCTTTGTGGGGTCATTTGAGATGGAACGCGAGAAGGAAGGAGGTTTATGTTGCATCTGTTGGGCATATTGCTGCGCAGGATTACTTCGCTATCTAGCAATTTTCTACACATAAATCCATTTCTGCAGCCTGGTAAATACTGCATAGAGAGCAGCATATACTTATTTGGCCATTAAAGAACAACAGATTATAATTTATTGTCACAATGCTGCTGTTTGCACACAGAGAGGCTCTTTTTTACTTGGTTACAAAATGCAAACAAACCCATTTTCTGCGATGCAGAACATTCCTGAAGTGGGGGATGGGTCAGCAAAATAATTATTAAGATTTTCAGAAGGGGACTTAAGTGACGTGGCTGCCAGATTTGTCAGGATCACGTATGAGAGTTTTTAATCTTCCTTTCTGTAATCTCTTTCAACAATCCCAAGGCTCAGGCCTGCATGCTTGGCCAGCCTGTATTTGAAGGCTCATTTTTCCCCCTCCTCGATGTGCTCACCAGCAAGTGATGCTGTTTCTCAGGATTGAAAGGGTATGAGAACGTGGTGTGCCTCAGCAAACAGGTCTGGTCTCATTCTGGAAGAACTTTGTTTCTTATGGCAAACCCCATCACTCTGTTTCTCCCATTTCACCCTCTCATTCATTTGACAGCAAGATCCGTGGAGGGGGAACAACTTGTTCCATGTTTACATGGGTGGATAGTGATAGGACAAGGGGGAATGGTTTTAGGTTAGATATGAGGAGGAAGTTTTTCACACAGAGGGTGGTGAGGCACTGGAACAGGTTGCCCAAGGAGGCTGTGGATGCCTCATCCCTGCAGGCATTCAAGGCCAGGCTGGATGTGGCTCTGGGCAGCCTGGGCTGCTGGTTGGTGACCCTGCACAGAACTGGATGAGCATTGTGGTCCTTTTCAACCCAGGCCATTCGATGGTTCTGTGATTCTATGATCCAAGGAAAACAAACTCTAGGTCACAGAAGGTTCTGGTGTAACTATTTCCTAAAAAATAGTGTGAGGCATTGTATTGCTTATGGAGTAATTCTCTGAATAACAGAGAAACTTTTCATCTGGACCAGAGATGGGAGTGTTGAAGACAGAATGGCTGGCTCTGACCTGGGTCCTGTGGCCCTCATTGCTCAGCATTGGTTCACCACGTGATGCTTTGGTCAGCATTAAATGAATGTACTGTGTATTTCATCTCTCTCAGATAGTATTTCCATCCGGTATTCTGGATATAAATTAACCTGGAGTTTAATTTGTCTTGAATTTAATTATGTGACAGCTGGAGTTGCAGCTTCTTATGATGGTATAAGTAATCCTGTATAGCAGCTTTTGATCGGTATTAGATATTCTGGAGGTAAGAAAACAGGAGGCAATATACTTCTTAATGTTTTTTCAGTTGTTCTGAACTCGGTAATGTGATTCACAGTTGTACACAGTCACCAGGGACTTGAGAGGGGAAAAAAAAAGCACTTCAAAAGTTGTGGTGTCAGAACCCTTACTTGTGCTGCCAGGAGGGTGAGGTCAGATGAGGTGACACTGCCTTTAGTTTCCGTGAGAGATCTCTGTGCCTGTCCCTACAGTCTGTTCTAAGGAGCAGAGGAGCAGATGAGCCTTCACAAAATCTTCAGCCCTCTGTTCCAGGGCTATAGGAGATGTGTCCACTTCTAACAGATGGGATTCTACTCAGTTATTTTAGAAGCATCACTTAACAACAAGAAATCATTTGTGTTGGAAAAGTGCTCCATTTACCAAGCATGGCATCTTGTCGCTGCTGCTATTGCTTTCCCCATCTTCTCCTCTCTCATAAAGCCACAAACGGGGCTGACACAGCCTGGGTGTTAAGCAGTGTTTGCTATGTGGGGTCTACAGAGCGCTCTGGGCAGTGGGGATGCGCAGACATTTGGTGTAATGGATTGTACCAGCAGATCCCATCTGGTTACAGTTTCCTAATCCAATTTTCTACTGCGAAAAGGAGAAGGAATTTGGTCCTGACGTGTAGCTTAGTGCATTGGAGACGACATAACAGTAAAGGCACTCGTACTCGGGGCTGGGCTGTAAGTGATAAAAGTACTAACGGATCGCTCCCGAGGGCAGAGGCAGAGCTGTTTGCACAGCACTTAGTGCTTTGTGGATGGTACCAAATATCAACGACATCAGTGGAAATTCAGCTGCATTGGCAGAGGAGGCAGTGGTGCGTGTCTTCCCTCTGCTAACCTTCTGCTGGAGGTGGTCAGCTCGCAGGCAGGCCATGCTTGAGGGCTGCAGGACCTGGCCTGGCTATGGCCTGACGTTGTGAACCTCCTGTGTTGGCAGTGTGAATGGAGACGTGCGCTTCTTCGACCCCCGGATGCCAGAGTCCATGAAGGTCCTCCAGATAGTCAAAGGGCTGACAGCCCTTGACATTCACCCACAAGCCAACCTCTTTGCATGGTAAGTTTTTGTTTTGCCTCTTGCATCCCCTGGAGTGAAAAGAGAGGACGATTTGTCTCTGCAGCCTCACCCGTGGGTTAACTAGTTTTAACCTCACCACAAAAAATGCAGCTTTGTTCCCACTTATTTTCTGCCTTCCACGCAGCAGCAAAACCTCTGCACTGGTGGCGGAGTGGTGCTGTAGGGTCTCACACTCCTATGTATGTGTGGGCACAGAACAAGGACCAGCACCCACCCTACAGCACATGTGAGCACAGCTCTCCATCTTTCCTGTCTCAATCCCACAGTGTAACAGGTAACTGTGGTTCGAGCCTTTCTGCAAATCTTTCTCCTGAGGTTGCCATGGTGCAGTTAATGTTGGTCTCGCTGCTTGTAAGAGCTGCTTGCACTCCAGCCTTATGAGCAGCTCAGGCCTCCACAGCTGAAAAAGGGGCTGGAGGCGAAGTATCGGTGTTACCACTCTGCTGTCAATAACACCATCTTCTCTGGGTTCCTTTCAGTGGCTCAATGAATCAGTTCACTGCAATCTACAATGGAAACGGTGAGCTGATCAACAATATCAAATACTACGATGGTTTTATGGGACAAAGAGTTGGAGCCATCAGCTGCCTGGCTTTCCATCCTCACTGGGTCTGTATTCTCTTCTTGGATTTTGGAATTTGCATTTCTCAGTTAAAGTTGACATTAGGAGAGGGAAAAGCACAGAGACCCCCCAGCACAGAGCAGGGCTGTCCCAGTTTTCTGAATGTCTTTGAGCCCCTCTTCCAGTCAATTCCACAACAGTGCAAAGGTCCCAGCAGTGCTGCTGCTTTATGACCCACAGAGCAGACCAGCACACAGCTCACAGCTGCTGAACCCTTTTACCCGTGGCTCAGCTTGCTGTGCTGTTCCCATCACTCTGGGTCTGCAGCCTTGTGTGACTCCGTGGTTCTCACCACAGAAATCCTCCACGGTGCTTTTGCCTGGAGCTGCCTGTAGAGGGACAGTCTCTCACTTCTAAGCACTCTGTGCTTATTTATTCCGTGCCTCCTCTGTTGCAGACAGCAGGTTTGCCCGGGTGTCTCTGGGGCTGCTTTTACACTGTCACTTATGTAAGGCTGTAGGAAGACCTAATGCTGTGCAGCAGAAAAACAAAGCAATCGGAGATCTGCAAAAGCTACAAGCACACAGAGGCTGTCCTGCAGCTGGCGGCTGGGGGAGAAGTGGCTGAACGTTTGTGTTGCTCTTTGAATCAGCAAACTCACAAAACCCTCACCATCCCAGGTCTCCTTAGCAGGGTTATTCCTGGCCCTCTTATAGCAGAGATTGTTAATTTTCAGTCCAGGCGACCGTTCCTAACGAGCAGATTTGCAGCCATTTAGAAAAATTATGTTACAAGTTGGCAACTAATAGCCACCATAATTTTTTTCTCTGGGTGGAATGGGCACATAACTCGCTGGGACAACGTAGGTGCTGGCAGAAATGTCGTCAGAACTGCGTTGAGAGCTTTCCAGCATCTGGGCATTACTGCTGGAAATGTCACCCATTACCACACACCAGCTGTACACATTTATCCCCCTTTGCCCTTTCCACAGCCTCACCTGGCAGTCGGGAGCAATGACTACTACATCTCTGTGTACTCGGTGGAGAAGCGGATCAGATAACGGCTCGTGGCAGCGCAGTCCCAGCAGGCAGTGCCTGCCTCACCCACGGTGTACATAGCCAGATTATCGACTTGAATGTTTCGTGTTGGCTGCTGCTGCAACCCGTAACTTGAACATTTTGGTTCTGACTTAGCTACTGATGATTTGGGCGAGGGGGAAGAGAGACAATCTCCTACTATTATTATTGTTATTATTATTTTTCATCTGTATCCTCTCAAAGCTGCAGAAAAAGGAATATTTTATTTTTGTTTCCGGTGGTTGGCTTCTCTGTTAGAAACACAGCTCCTGAGCTTTGGATGAGGCAGTACCCTCAAAGAAGGCTCTTTGTTTTGATCTTTGCTTCCTCGTTTTGCTGGAGCATCGTTCAGGACTGACGTCAGGACTCACTGCAGCTCTGAGAGTCCCAACTGACAGAGGGACCCCTCCAGTGCCACCGCCCTGTGCCAAACAGCCAGCCCTGGGCTGCCTGCCTGCAGAGCTGCACCGCTCCTGCACTGCCCAGGGTGGGCAGGGGATGCAGGGTAAAATCTTTGTTATGTCACCCTTGTTCTCACGTGGTTTCCCTTCCCCTGGAAGAGAGAGAAGACCACAGGACAGAGAAGGAAGGCAGAGATCCCGAGGAATGGAGCCTGGGGAGAAGACAGGAGCAGGGCAGGATGCCACCGCGCCGTAAGGTTGCACATGCAGGACAAGAGGGAAGAAAGCATGGCCATCTCTGTCATCCCAGCCCATCTGGAGCATGTCACTCATGTAACCACTTCCCACCTGAGCACACGGCGCAGGCTGGGGTATCTCAGTCACAGTTCTGCAGTCATTTTTGCCCACAGTGAACTCTGCAAACACACGTGCAGAACTTCTGCCCAGCAGAGCTGAGAGGAGCCAAGCTCAAACCAAGGCTTTCCTCTCGTTCCACGTGCTGAAACTCAGCGAGGTGTTGGATATTTGCACACTGGAGGCTGCATGTGTGCAGCACAGACATGGTGTGTGCGTGGCTGTGGCTTGTCCGTGTCCCTGCAGCATGGGGTGCATAACCACATGTGGTCTGAGCACAAAGGAATCACTAAAGAGAGAGAGAGGACAGCAAGTCTTCCTGCTTGGAGCAAGCAGCTTTGTCCCAGCTCCCCAGGGATCAGGCAGCTCTGTTATCTGCACCTTCTGAGTCTGTAATGAATGTTTCTATCCCTTAAAGCCCAGGCTGTGTCTGGAGATCAGCGTGGGGAAGAGATGGGCGAAGCCAAAAGGCAGGTTTCTTTCAAGTGCTGCTGAGGTGCAATTTCCCTGGCCAAGAACGGGACTTGCACTGTGCAAAAATCACTGTGGCCACAGAGGTTGACTTCCTAAACCCAAAGTCCCCAGGCTCCCTTCCAGCTGCACCAGTGGGTCTGCAGGCTCCCAGCACGCTGCCAGAGATGAGGCGGACGGTGATGGAGAGGAGAGAAATGTTCCCTTACTGTGTGAATGGCAGCTTCCCCTCTGCCACGGCTCTGACCCAGCGCTGCTCCCTGCACACCTGATAAGTCGTTCCCTGTGTTTGAAGGCAGCTGGGTCGTGGAATCTGCCCAGAGGCTCCACCAGGCTCACTGCAGGGAAGCTGCCCACTAAATGCTGCATGCACCTCTGGATGCTCCTTGTGCTGAGCTTCCTTGAACTGCGTGGGCAGAGCAGTGCTGAGGGCTCAGTGCTGACCCCACGAAGGGCCCTGTGCAGGTCCATGGCTCGAAGGCTTTAAACTAAAGGAAAAACTACCTAAAAGTCCACTTCTGAGTTACCTGATGTTACTGATGATCTAACAGAGCTGTGCCTCCCGTGCCGGGGGCTCTGCGTAATGGATTAACATACACAGCTTGAAAGCAAACAATAGACTTTTTAACTTCTATCAGTGTATTTGTCAAAGGAGTGAGAACTGCCTGGCACGAGGGCACGTGGCCACCACCAGGTGGGTTTGTGGCTACTTGGCCTGGTGTGGCTTTCATCCGAGCACGGTGTGTGTTGGTGGGGCTGCGTGTTCACAGCTGTGATGCAGAGATTCAATCATGGAGTTTAACCCGAGGGTCTGGAGAGCATCCTACCTAAAAGTTCACTTATCTCTATTTATTTTACAAAAATTTAAAATATATATATATTAAAAAAAAAAGAAAAAAGAAAAAAACAATAAACCCAACACACGATTGTAATGTGAGAGTCAAACAATTACAGACAAATAAATGGTTAATAAAAAATAAATGCAGAAATGGTGATGGGCTGGGGATCGTTTCCTGGGGCAGTGAGTTGGGGGGGAGGGTGGGAGAGCAGAAACAGCATGGGAACATGGAGTGCTGCAGCCGTGGGGCTCCTTCCCTGCATCCCTCATCCCCTGTACTCATTTCCTATATGCCCCATCCCCACTAAACCCACCCTGACACCCCTTGTCCCCCTATCTCCTATCCACCATCCCCTAGGCTCCCCCTCCCTTATATCTTCTTTCTCCCATCTCTTATACCACCTTTCCCTATAGCCACCATGCTCTATGTCCCACTATCCTTTATAGCCTCCATCCCCTGTAGTTCCCCACTATCCCCTGTAAATCCTCTCATCCCTTATAGATCCCCTCCACCCCCTGTAGGTCCTCTCTACCCCCTGTAGATCTCTATGGTTCCCCTTCATCTCCTATAGGTCCCCTCTATTCCCTATAGATGCCCCCATCCTCTATAGGTCCCTTTTCTACCCTATAGATGCCCCCATCTCTATGGTTCCCCTCCATCCCCTATAGGTCCCCTCTATCCCCTATAGATGCCCTCGTCTCTATGGTTCCCCCCCAACCCCAATAGGTCTCCTCTATCCCCTATAGATGCCCGCATCCCCTATAGGTCCCTTCTATCCCCTATAGATGCCCCTATCTCTGTGGTTCCTCCCCATCCCCTATAGGTCCCCTCTCTCCCCTATAGATGCTCTCGTCTCTATGGTTCCCCCCCATCCCCCGTAGGTCCCCGCTATCCCCCATGGTCACCACCTCCCGCTCCCGTTCGCACCTCATTGGCGCCCCCTGGCGGTCTTCCCAGCGCACTGCACGGCGCTCTCCCGTTCCCTCCGCGCTGTGCAGGACTTGGCCCTACGCGGCCGCCGTCGCGGGGCGGGGCGGTGCGGCCGGGGCCGCCCGGGGCCGGGGCAGGAGCGGCGGAGGGGCGATGGGGAACCTGTTCGGACGGAAGCGGCGCAGCCGCGTCACGGAGCAGGACAAGGCCGTGCTGGTGAGCGCGGGGCTGGGGCCGCAGCGGCGCAGCGGTGGGGGCCGCCGCCGCCCAAAGCCGGCCCGGCCCTGAGCCGATCCCATCTCTCCTCAGCAATTGAAGCAGCAGCGGGATAAACTGCGGCAGTACCAGAAACGGATCAGCCTGGGCCTGGAGCGGGAGAGGGAGCTCGCCCGGCAGCTGCTGAAGGATGGCAAGAAGGAGTAAGGGGCGGCGGGGCCGGGCGGCTGGGAACGGGGCTGCGGCGGGTCTGACGGGGCTGAGCGGAGGGGATGGGACGGGACGGGACGGGACAGACCTGCCCTGCTCTCCCCTCTGCTGTTGCTGGCCTTTGTGCCCCCATCACACACAGCTCCCCCGCATCTCACCCATCACAACCCCGCCTCCTTCACAGCACTGCTCTCAGTCCGTTCTCCTCCCAGTATTTTGCCCCCCCCAGCTGCAGCACCCCGCACTTGGCTGCGTTAAAGCTCATTTGGTTCACGTGGGCACAACTTTCAAGCCAGTCTGGGTCCCTCTGGCTGCCATCCCTTCCTTCCATTGTATCGAATGCAGCGCTCAGCTTGGCATCATCCACAGATTGCTGAGAGTTGATCCCTTCATCTGCCTCAGTGATAACAGTGTTGAAGAGCTCTGGCCCTTCTGTGCTGATCTCCTGCTCTTTCCCTACAGAAAAGCTATGCTCTTGCTGAAGAAGAAGCGTTACCAGGAGCAGCTGCTGGATAAGACAGACAACCAGATCAGCAACCTGGAGCGGATGGTGAGCGAGCACCGGGTGCTTCATACATGGGGCAGCACCAGGAGGGGCTGCTTTGGGGTGTACAGGACTGCACCCCAGCTGCCAGGGCCCAGCGGAGCTGTGATCCTGCCCAAAGCATCTGAAACTGTCCTGGTGCCGTGACACCTCTGTAAAGAATCAAGTGGGAGTGTGTTGTGAGTCTGCACTGCAGGCTGCGTGTGAAAGGCGTGTTCTGTAAGTTAATAGAACCTTAGTCACAGTGTGGGCAGCTGCAGTGGAAACTTCGTCCAGCTTGTCTTGGTACCTTGGTGTAGAAATGGATGTGTTTGCTCTGGCATGGCCTGGGGAACCTAAGCTTAGATTTGAGAAGCAGACAAAAGACTACTGGATCTGGTTTTGCAGCCACATGTGTCAAAGGAAGAGTTTTTGTATACGTTGTACTGCTGATATGATTTAAGCCTCTGTTGGGGCTCTTGACTGTCTTCACCTTTCAGTTTCTCTGGGAATCATGGGAGTCTGTGTCAGGGCTGTGACAGCTGTGACACTTCCCCCTGTCCCTCCTGTTTCAGGTTCAGGATATCGAGTTCACCCAGATCGAAATGAAGGTCATTGAGGGCCTGAAAATAGGCAATGAGTGTCTGAACAAAATGCACCAGGTATGTGTGGCCAGGTTGGCCAAGCACAGTGTTGCCTTGAACTCAACAGGATCCTGGATGTCTCCAAGCAGGACTCACTCATGCATGGATTTTTGGCTCTTCTCCTCAGGTTATGTCAATAGAAGAAGTGGAAAGAATAATAGGTGAAACCCAGGATGCTGTGGAGTACCAGAGGGTACGTATGGTGTGTGTGAGTAGCTGTGAACAGAGGCAGCCTGCCACTTGATTTCTCTGGGGCAGTGTGTGCCCAGCCTCGTTTAAGAGGCAGTCAGGCTGGAACTTGAAATCTCTCTTGATTGCCTGCAGAAAAATTAGGTTTGTTGGTTTTCTGAGCACCCCTTCATGCTGTGCATCCATTGGTTTGGTGCATTGGTGTATCCTGCTGTAAGCCACAGAGCTGCTGCTGTGCACTGTTCTGACTGGAATGTGCATTTTCCTCACTTGTGTAGCAAATAGATGAGATACTGGCTGGGAGCCTGACTGAGGAAGATGAAGATGCCATTCTAGAGGAATTAAACACTATCACTCAGGTAGGACTAACTTGATGTAATTTCAGTGCATGTTTTCGGGAAGCTGTTGGCAAAGGAGGAATAATCTTATTACCACTTGTGTTAGCTTATTCTGCCTCAGATTTCAGTTACACCTGTTTGTGCCTAATTCCTGAGTCATGAGAGATCGAGCTAATTGGTTCACACACAGCGATCACTTGAAAATGGGATGATTTAAGGGCTGTACTGTATTTGCTACAATCAGCTGGTTTCAGTTCTTACTGGGTAGCTGTTCTGCTTTACTAAATGAAGATCTTGAAAGCTCTGGATCGTGCTCAGATGAACAGGAATCAGTGTATATTACCATTCTCTGTGATGCCTTTGGCTCCTCCAAACACTGCCCTGGTTTGGCTTCGCTGCAGAAACACACAGCCAGTGGAAAGTGAGGTGCAGAAGATCTGCAGCTAACATTTATTTGAGGAGATTTGTAGCTTATAGAGAGTCCTGTTAATTTAAATGCAAATGTATTAAGCCCTGCTCTCATTTACTGAGCAGTGCTCAAACCCATGAGCCTTCCTGCAGGTCTGGGGGCAGGTATCAGTTTCTGCATGAAGTCCCTTCTGTCATTCTTGTGTTCCCAAACAGTCTTTGCACATAACTGTGGTGCAAAGGTCCGTGATCACCACGTGAAGCACTGCAGGCTCAGTGCCACGTGTGCTCTTTATTATTCTTGCAGGAACAGTTGGAGCTTCCAGACGTTCCTTCTGAGCCACTCCCGGAGGAGCCCCCAGGTATGCTGTCTGCTCTGTGTGCTCTGCAGCTTTGGCTCCACATACATCTTCTCTGCTCTATGCAATGCTTTGAGACTTCCTATTTGCTGTAAATGTCCCAGCAAACATGAAGGGGTGTAGGCTGTGTGGTGAAAGCTGGTACAGGCTTCCCTCCGTGGCTCTGACAAACCCTGTATTGCTTGAACCTTTACCTTAAGAGGACCCAGTGCCTCTGCATGGTGTCTGTGTGGGAAAAATCTGGGACAGGGAGGACAGGGCTTGTTTGGTTCCAGCACTTGTTTACTAAACACAGATCAAATGTCATCTCTGTGTTGACAGCAGGATGGCCAAACAAAATACAAGCTGCCCTCGCGGCAGGCAGCTGATGGACTCCATTTAGACTTGTGTTATCAGAATGTGGGGAAGGGGGCAATGCTGCTCTGCCCCTACTTTCCAAGAACTGGCTTGTCCTTCTGGGTGTTTGTTGGGCAGGTGGCCAGCTGGAATGGTGTCAGGTGCACTCAAAGTGTTTTAATTCTTGAAGTGCTGTGGGAAAGAGAGGCATACTGGATAGGTAAAATCATTTGTAATGCATGTTTATGAGTTCAGTGGCTTTCCAGGCACTGTGCAGGCATTTGCTGCTCTTCTGGGAAGTGGAACATGAGTCCTGGTCCATCTGCAGCAGGTGGCTCTGCACATGACTTCTGTTCTCACTGTAACAAGTTTCTTTTTCCTTCGCAGAAGCAACACCCATCAAGAACAGGCCAAAACCAGAGCTGGTGGCAGCATCTTAACTCCCGTTTCTGGGGATCCCCCCATAACTTTCACCCAGGACAGTTTGCCATCCCAGCATGTGCTGGGAACAAGCAATGCCTCGGCAGCATCCCAGCTGTGCTGGGCAGATTGTGGAGCAGGATTCCCTGTGCAGGGTGGGGAACCTCAGCCGATCGATTATTGCTCTTGTATCAAGATTATTTTCTAGTGCTTTCTTTTTTTGTAACTTAAATTCTCAACTCACTCAGCTGCGCTGTCTTGGGATTAAATAACAACTCTAAAACTTCCAAAGCCAAAAACTTCTCTCTAGGTTTGATTTCAGCTGTAAATCTGCCTTTGCTCTGTCCAGTCCCCAGCCAGCCCTCCACTTGGGGCACTTCTGTCTGATGTGGTTGTCCCAGGGCTGCTGTGAGCCCTTTTATGTCTGTGTTTCTCTCAGCCCCTCTGCTTTTCCTCCCCTGATTCTGTTCAGGAAGGGCTGGCAGTGCTGGCACAGCAGGATGCAGGCAGCTGCTCTGTGCTGTGTGCAGGCTGGGTACAGTTCTGCCAGCTGTGCGTAAAGCTATGCAGCCAGGGT